CTGTGCTTGTAACGGTTCCTCACATTCCGGTGGTTCCAGTCCGCATAACTCGGAGCCATCAGCTGGTAAAACGACATAAACCACCAAGTTTGTGGCTTGTCCACGGCATGGCCATGAACTAGCTCAGTCTGCAATCCAAGCAGACTATCTCAAATGAGATTCCATAGGAACTCATCAGTCTGAATATTTGTAGATGCCCAAATGCCCACATCTCCCATGGCGTCATCTTGGTTAACCTAACGTCTTCTTGGTTGACGGTCTCAGGGGGCAATGGGCGTGTAAGCTCGTATCCAATGTATGAACTCGGTGGGTTGCGGTAAGTCTTGGTGGTCGATTTTGCTGCATCGCCAGTGTCAGGGCTTCGGCAACAAACAAGATGTGGTAGATATAGGCTTCGCTTTGGCGCAGGATGGAATTCACAACATGTCACTGCTCCACTTCGATCAACACCTCTGAGTGCGAGTTCTCTTTGCTATCCGTATCACCAGACCCTCGGTGGCAGTAGAAAGCGGCGTGCATCTCGTTCGCAAGAAGCTCTTTGAACCTTCCAGCGACATCTTCCGGGCATTGAATCCAAGTGGTCACTTTCCACACTTCCTTCCCCCCGATTGGTCAAGTCAATTCGTCTTCTCAGCGGCGCAAAAAGAAGATTGATAGTCATAAACAGTCCAACTGCTCTGAGGTATGTAGAGACTCGGTTGATCTCCTGAAACGGTCGACATTTCAAGTTCAACGAAGGAATCCGGGTGCAGACTAAGCAAATTCAAGTTGGAAGAAAGGCTTTGCCATATAAATCATTGATGGCCTGATGGAGGAGAGCACACAAGATTTTCTGTTGACCTTTTCCCAATCATTATGTTTGAAATAGTGGTATCCGTTAGCATCAGGATGTGTGTTGTTTAGGGAGTTATCGGAAAGATGTAATTCTTGCCGTATAGAGACATCACTTGGGAATAGTGAGGCGGGTATATAAAGACTGAATCTGGCGCATTCTTCCACAGCGGGTTTAGCTCAGTTGGGAGAGCGTCAGACTGAAGTCCACTTCACTCATAAATCTGAAGGTCGTGTGTTCGATCCACACAAACCGCATCCTTTTTGGCTTTTTCGCGACCTGCCCAAACCATCCATATCGGTTGCGATCGGATGATGCTCATCTGGTTTTTGTTGTTTATTCTTAGTCGAAGGATGAATGGCAGTTAGGCTAACTGAGTATCTTGTCCACTTGCTCCTAACTCTTTTTATTTTATTTTAGAATCGTCTCGAGTAACGATATGGTTACTGCAAATATTCTTTGGAGCGTTGTTAGCAACTTTCCTTTAGAAGATTCAGAATGTCTTTTGTATATGGCTATCAAAAATAATGGTCATCGACTTGTTTGTTCGTTGTACTTGTAAGCTGAACAGCCCGGGTACAGCCAATCGCCGGATCCGGAAGCGGGTAGGGTCACCGTTCCTTCCGGGCCCGCCCTTCCCGCACCCGCCGAAATCGCCGAAGCTGCCGAACCCTCTGTGCTGGCAGGCGCGGCAGGGTAACTAACCGTTACATACATCGTCTCACCCAACCAACATCTTACCATATCCCGCTTCTCTTCGCTCACCTTGACACAATCACCCTTTGGATTCACCATTTCATAAATCTTCCCAACTCAGAACGACATCATCAATCATGGCGCATAACGAAGTCTTCCAATACTCCATCATCTCCGCCCTGATGGACGGCGTCGCCACACATGGCACCCCCATCTCGCGCGTTCTGGACCACGGCAACCACGGCCTCGGTACCTTCAAGTCCATGAACGGCGAGATGATCGTCCTCGACGGCGTCTGCTACCAGATGAAATCCGACGGCACCGTCGAGCACATCCACACGCCCTCGGAGATGATCACGCCCTTTGCGACCGTGACCCGTTTCCAGCCCGAAGTGTCGACGCGGGCCACCATCTCGAGCAAGCAGGACCTGAAAAAGCTGCTGTCCAGGCTATTTCCGCAGGGCAAGAATCACTTTCTGGCTATTCGCATGGACGGCACGTTTAAGAGGATCGAGGTCAGGACAGCGGGTGGTCAATGTTTTCCTAGGGAGGGAATGGTGGCGGTGGCCGAGAGGCAGACGACGAACGAGTTCAAGTGGGTCAAGGGCACGATTATCGGGTTCAGGTGTCCGGCGTACGTGATGGGATTGAACGTGGCGGGCGATCATTTGCACTTTATTGATGAGGAGAGGCAGAAGGGCGGACACATTTTGGCGTTTGAGACCGAGGGCGATGTGGAGGTTGGGGTTTCGCTCATGTCCAAGTTCCATTTGGAGGTGCCAACGGAGGATGAGGAGTTCAATGAGGCGTCACTCGTGCATGACAAAGATGGTATCGAGAAGGTGGAGGGTTAGAAGGACTCAAACGAGAACGGACGACAAGGAGGACGAATGATTGAAAGCATGTAGCGGAGGGATATTTACTATAGAGCGTAATGATAATTCATGGAATAGGGAAAATGGCAAAAAGAAAACAATGACGTGCGGTTGGCGAAGACGTCAGAAAAGTGAACAGGAAAAAAATGAACAGGAAAAAATGAACAGGAAAAAATGAACAGGAAAAAATGAACAGGAAAATTTGAAGAAAAAGATAACTTGAGACTCCCTCGGTAAGGATCGAACTTACAGCCTCCAGATTAACACGTCTGACGCGCTAGCCAACTTTGCGCCACGAGGGAGAACAGAGCTAGCCAATTGCGCCACGAGGGAGAACAGATGATTGGTTGTTGAACAAGCCAGGCCGAACTGCTCATTATGTAGGTGGTAATGCCGGGGAGTAAAAGGTGAAGACGGAGGAGATCATGGGCTTCAAACCTGTGCCAAAAAATGCGATAGCGACTGTGATGCCTAGCACATCAAGACTCACGACTATAATCGAACCGATCAATTAAATGTATGATACTCTGTAACCTCATCTATGCACAAGAAAAAGCTATCTCTGGATTGATGTTACTGGAGTGAAACAAGAGTGTTTGTAGCCCTCAAAAGGGTGCAAACATGACGAGGCATTGCGTGTTGTCGAATCATCGCTTAGGCTAAAGTTTAACACCGATGACAAATTATATGGTGCGCCAAATATAGTCTTTGGAAACCCTGGCCACTTTGTGAGAATAAACGAAGACAAGAAAGCCAGCAAGGTCCGGCTCCGTGATCCCCGCAACTCCAACTTCTCCAAGATCACTACCAGTGACACCGCATCTCGGCCCGCGTACCCAGGGAGGATTGCCGGGCTTCATCTTCCAAACCCAAACAAACACCGGGATTTCACCCTTGCTACGCATTGGTGGGAAAGTTACGGCGCCAGGGTCTCAACAACACCCTGCCCATGGGGATGGTCCTGCGATGTAACATGTACCCCAGAATCTCGGTCATTCGAACACAGGTACACCCACCGCATGTAGCTGTAAGTCATGCACACGATATTACTGTAGATCAAGATACTTCATCGGTGCAATGTCGACCCGCGAGGTATAAAGCCAGCACTCAACATACCTCTAACTGTTATACCGACAAAGGTGAGCTCCTCGCCGTCTCGTGCAACTAAAGACGCGCAAGATGGCTCGCTATCTGCACGCAGTCAGCCAAATCTTGGTGACAGCACTAACCATCATCATCCCCTTCGCCTTCGCAGACCTCACCACCACCATCGACCCATCCTCCAACTGGGGAACTTGGGAAGGATGGGGCACCTCGCTCACCTGGTGGGCAGCCGCCTTTGGCACGCGTGACGACCTGGCCAACATCTTCTTCACTTCCCAAACCGTGACCCTCAACGGTGTCTCCCTTCCCGGGCTCGACTTCAACATCGCGCGCTACAACGCCGGCGCTTCCAGCTGGAACACCATTAACGGCACCACCAAGATGGTCGTCTCGCCCAAAATGATTCCCTCGCGGCAGATCAAAGGGTTCTGGATGGACTGGGCCTCTACATCCCCGTCCTCATCCAGTTGGAACTGGTCCGCCGACTTGGCCCAGCGCGCCATGCTCTCCATAGCGCGGGCCCGCAGCGCCAACATCCTGGAACTCTTCTCCAATTCGCCCATGTGGTGGATGTGCAAGAACCACAACCCTTTCAGCTCCGACGACGGCAGCTTCGACAACCTGCAGAGTTGGAACTACCAGAGCCACGCCGTCTACATGGCCACGGTGGCCAAGTACTTTTCCGACACCTGGTCGACCAAGTTCTCTTCGGTCGACCCCTTCAACGAGCCCACCGCCACCTGGTGGAACGGCAAGACTGGCACCCAGGAAGGCTGCCACTTTGACGTGTCCACGCAAGCCGCCGTCCTCAACCACCTGCGCACCGAGCTCGACTCGCGCGGCTTGTCGTCGACCGACATCTCGGCTTCAGACGAGAGCTACTACGACCAAGCAGCCAAACACCCTGCAAAACCTGGGCTCGACCGCCCTTGCCAAGATCGCCTGCGTCAACGTCCACGGCTACCAGTACGGTTCTGGCCGGCGCGACTCCGTCCGCAGCCTGGCAACACAATATAACAAGAAACTCTGGCAAAGCGAGTACGGCGAAGGCGACGCGACGGGCCACGACCTAGCCAGTAACCTCCTCCTGGACCTGCGCTGGCTAAAGCCGACGGCCTGGGTATACTGGCAGGTCCTCAACGGGGGCGGATGGGGACTGATCGACGCCGACAACGATAAGAAGACGATTGGTTAGCCGACGCAAAAGTACTTTGTTCTGGCGCAGTTCGCTAGACATGTGAAATTCGGGATGCGCATCCTCGATGCCGGCAGTGATTACGCGACGGCAGCGTACGATGCGGCCAGCAAAAAGCTGGTCATTGTTGCCGTCAATTGGGGGAGTGCGCAGTATCTCAATTTTGACCTGGCCAAGTTCAAGACGCCCGGGGTGGATGGCGCGGTGGTGAAGAGGTGCGCGACGCAGATTGGGGGGACGAGCGGGAAGAGGTATGTCGCTTCTAGCGATACGGCAATTAGCGGGACGAAGTTTTGGTCGTACTTTGAGAAGGAGATGGTGCAGACATTTGAGGTTGATGGCGTTGTTTTGTGATTTGTTGTTGGGTGTCTCAATTGGTAGCACCTACATAATTTGGAAGTTTGCTTAGATGCACAGATGAATAAGGTCAAAACACCAAGCGACAAAACGCATTATCGCTATAGTACCAACCTAGGAGACAACAACTTCCGAACATAGGAAAGGAATGGAAATGTGTAAGAAGAAAGAAACGCGATGAAAAAATTAAACCTTATGTACCAACCAACCTCAGGATTCAGTAGAAAAAATCGCAAAAAGAAATGTCTTGACAAGAGTGGGATTCGAACCCACGCCCTTTCGGACCACGGAACTCTGAGAGGAGATTAAGGGTTAACCTTAACGTGGCGCCTTAGACCGCTCGGCCATCTTGCCTTGATGTTATTGAACATTTAATTTTGTATATTATATGAGGAATAACATAGAATTGCATCCTCGACGTTTCACGATGTGTTACAATACCCAACTTTGTATTACAATCACTCAACGATTTCTTCACATCTGCCACGAGTTTCGGCAAAAGCTTTGAATGAATCAAGTAAGCGGCCTAGAGAGCCTCGATTGTGCAATGCGTTTCTTTTCTTGCAGATGGACGTTATGCTGCTCCACGGTAGTGACCAAGGGGTGTGTGGGATGGTTCGAAGTGGACTGGGAACCTCAAGCACTTCTGGATTAAATTGACTTGTCTTGATTGTGCTTTTATCTATTAGTAATACTTTTCTAACGCTCCAGGACAAAGAAAATGAAGAGAATACGAGGAGAATCTTCCGCTACGTCGCCGGCGAACAACGGCCTCTCACGGCATCGGCACGAACAAGGCTAGCTCGCACCAATTTGACGGCATCCAGTGACACTAACCGTCCAAAGCATAACCGCTGGTATCCTTGGTCTTGAAATACGCCACGGCAATTTTCTGCAACTGATGCCTCCGCACCTTGCCAGTGATAGTGAGTGGCCAACCATCCAACCCCAGCTCTTCCAACGTGACCACCTCGCCCAGCGAAAACCCCGATCCCACCATCTGAAGGAACATCTCGTTGACGTCTATCGCTGTCACATTCTCGGGCAAGCGGTCGAGAATAACGTAGGGCATCTCGCCGTGCATAGGGGACGGGATACCGATTACGCAGGCCTGTTCGAATTTTGAGCGGTGTTAGCAACAGTTTGCGGGTCGCTCCCTTCATCCATTCGAAGAGTGTTTGATTAAGCTCAAAGGGAGCAGCAAACTTACCTCAACCGACAAGTGCCTGGCCAAGAAGGCCTCGATAGCCGTAGGATTGAAGAACCCGACTGAGCTCTTCACGACATCCTTCATCCTGCCCACCACAAACACCATTCCCTTCTCATCAATCACGGCCAGATCTCCAGTGCGAAACCACTTCCTGCCCTCTTTGTCGGTATAAAACATCTGCTGCGCAAACCCATCCAGATACCCATCGATATACGCCTCGCTCGAGATATGCAGCTCGCCCTGCTTGCCCCTAGGCACCACCTCCCACTCCTTATCAGCAGCAGCAGCAGCAGCAGCAGCCTGCAAGTTCCCCTCCTTGTCGACGTCAACAACCTTAACCCTCGACCCCGGCGTGGCCGTTCCCACCGGCATCACATCTCCCAACGGCTTCAGCCCTCCTCCAGCTCCTCCTCCGTCCTTCTTCAGGAAAGTACCAGGGGGATATCCCAAACCCCCCACCCCCTCCGTCATCCCAAACCCCGCCACAAACACCACTTCGGCACCAACGCCCAACAGCTCCCTCAACCGCTCCAGATACCCAACCGTGATGATCTCGCCACTAACGAACACACCCCTAACCGACCGGATCTTTTTTGGGCTCGAAACCCCTATGTTTAGCCAGCAACACCAGCTGGCTGCGCATCAATTCCAAGTTCGTGACGCCGCACTTTTCAATGGCTTCCAAGTTCGCAGCCACAGAAAACGTCCGACTGGCAATGACCACGGCACCGCCGACGTGCCATTGGATCAAAGGCGAGGTCATGGATAAAGCCATCATGTTGGCCGCGAAGATTAGGCCTGTTGTTTGCGGCCGCTTGACGCCGCCCGGCGAAGGGGCGGACCAGGCGGTGTGCGAAGTAACGGCCGCGCACACGTTTCTCGTCGTGCGCGGCACGCCTTTGGGTTGCGAGGCTGAGGTGCCGCTTGTGAAGAAAATGTTGGAGATGCGATCGGGTCGGTCTTCGCGGACTGTTCGTTGTTGAGACGAGATGCTGCTTTCTTGGTTGGTAAAAGGTGGCTGGGGGGAGGCGATGTCTGTGGCGAAGGAGATCCAGTTACCATCGTTACCACCGTTACCACTAGATGCGCGGCGGGCGGGGTTGGTGAGAGGGGAGAGGCAGATGCCTAGGAAGAAACTATTGCTGGTGTTGCCGTTGCCAGACTCAGATGCTTCACTGTCTGCCGGTGTCGCTGTCGCTACCGCCGCTTCCAGACGGAGTTTTTCGACAATCTCAACGGACGCCTCGTCTTCCACGACCACCACCGCGGGCCTCAGCCGACGGAAGTAATACCCCATCAACTCCTCGTCCTCGGGCAGGTCAGAGTGAAGTAACTGCACAGTTCGACAGACGAGGGTATGGCACTTCAGCGCCGCGGTCCACATGACGAGGGACCACTCGGCGCCATGCGGAATGAATGTGAGAATTGTCGAGTCGGCGGGGACATTGTATCTGTCGAGGATGGCACCCAGACGCGCGGTTCCGCGCGCCATTTGGTCGAAGGACCAGATCAGCATCGAGTCTTGGTATTTGGGGTCGACTGTTGATTTGACGGGGGATGATGGCTTGCCGACGAGGGCTTCGAGGTGGTTGGCGGGCTGATAGAGGGAGATGAGGGCGGCGCGACTGGGATCGATGTCGATGCCGTGCTGGTAAATGGACCAGACAGAGTCACCGTGGGGAGGCGGAGGACCACCGTCGAGCTCGGAGGGAGGCAGAGTTTGGGTCATTGTTGTTATCGTCGTCGTTTTTGTTGTGGTAGAGTGGACGAGTCGAGATGCATGGGACAAAATTCGTGATTCGAAAGAGGCGGGGAGGTCTGTTTAAGTATGTAGCTCCAGGGTCAGATCGACGTCGACTTGTCAATCTGTGGCGCGGGAGTGATCGCCTGGTGACCTGACCTGATTGACTCGTTAATGCTTGGGTAAAGTCATGTTGGCACAGGTAAAGGGATGCTCACGATCTATCTAGCAGCCGTCACACACGATGCTTCCCGAACGAAAGTTAGAAATTCTCGTCGGCTTTGAGATGAGGAATCTGCTTGGTGCCCTCGTCGCTCCTCGGTTTCAGTGTATGTAGTGTAACTGGATCTCCAAACTTCTGGTATGACGTGTGTTAGTCTCAGAAAAGGTTCGCTAAGCACGACGAGGCAGACAAGAGGACAGGGCGTCGGCACTAAGGAGCCAATTGATCATTTGTGCGACCCGGCTTTGGCCCCGATTCCGAGACAATTCCAATAGTGGATCAGAATATAACCGAAGATCGTAGCGGCGGGGGGTGCGACGGCTGCCTGGATTGGTGTGTGCTTGAGTGGTCGTCGGGCCCGACCCGAGAAGTGAGCTACACATACACAGTACAGACGGGGCTCGGTTACGGTCGTCGAGGACTGGCAGGAAGGCTTTCCGTTGCTAGAACTACGAAAGACGGAAAAGAAAACCCGACTTCGATCTACCAAGTAACTGTCAACACATGCTAGGCTCCATGAAACCATTTCTGAATCTCTCCGCTACTTTCATGCTTCTGATCTCACTTCCTTCATACTGCACCGTAACCAGCAAGCCTTTCTCGGGTAATCATGGCCGGAGGCAAAGAGATCCAGGTATTGCTGCCTTTGATATCTCTTTAACAATGTCAGCCTCTCGAGAGCGATCATATGAACAGCCCAACATCTCTGTCAACGATCTTCGATGTCCATGTAAAATCACGATCCTCGTACCTAGCCCGTCACGATGCCGCACCAGGCAAGCACCAAACCCGTGAGACATGAAACAAGCCGACCCGAGACCAAGTTCACAAACAACATATAAAATGAAGCACCAAGAGCAAAGGAAACAAAAACAAGATTGGAAAACAGTCTGCTGCGATTCAGCAATCTCTCGGTGGCTGATTGCTTGACTAAGTCTTCTGAGGCACACAATGATGAAGAAACATGGGGGGTATATCTCGAACAACGCCAAGCTAAGCAGCCTAAAAACAATCGCGACAAGCCGACAATACCGCAACTCGTCCGTTCATTCAATCCTCCATGTGGGAGACACCGACAGCCTCGAGCGCCTCAAAGCGCTGCTTCAAGAATTCAAACTGTGCCTTCATCGAGGCTGTCTCGTTCCTAGTCGCCGCCAACTCTGCCTCCATCGAGGCCACCTTGTCACTATTCGCCCTCAACTCCTTTCTAGTCGTCCCCAGCGCCTGGTTAGTCGCCGCCAAGTTCCTGTCAGTCGTCCCCAACCTGTATTGGGTCGCCGCCAAATTGCTTGTAGTTGTCGTCAAGCCCTTCTGTACTTGATTCAGCTGCTTCGACTTGAGCGTCTCACCCGTCAGAGCCTCCCAGAGAGACTTGTTCTCTCTCTGGACGTGCCTTTCGAGCTGTCCGATGCGGACGTTGTTGCCACTGTCCTTCTCGACCGCCGCCTTGACCTTGCTGTCGACGTCACTCAGCTTTGTCTCGACACGATCAATCCTGTGCAACTGGGCGTCATGTTTGTTTGCGTGGTCCTTGATGGTGGCACCCTGCTTGCCGATTTGAAATTCGTTATTTCTGATGCTGAAAGCTTGCTGATTGACCTTGGCGGTCAGGTTGTCGGCGGCCTGCATGACCGCCTTGAGGTCGAGGTGCCCGACAGCGGTGACCAGCCCGTCCTGGACGTCCTGTAAGAAAAAAAAAAAGAAAAAAAAAAGAAGGTCCAATCAGCATGATGGGACACAAGCTGAGTAGACCATAGGGCAATAGGAACAAAACGGAACCAGAATCTGTCCAGCTGTAATAACTGCATCACCAGGCCGGTCGACGAAAGGTACTCAATTCCACAGATGCCGACCTACTGAGCGTCATTTCAGCCGCAAGTCAAAGCTCCCCAACCCGACAATACGCTGACCAAGCGCATGTCGCCGACCAGTACGTATGAGCCCGGTGATGCGCCGTGGGACAACTCTGGGTTCAGATGACAACATGAAAGTTGTAGAGCTGGAGCCGCGTGACGTTTGTCGGACGACGTATCCGATGAAACAGGCCGACGGGGCCCCCCAGGCAGAAACTCCTTTTGCATTCTGAAAACTGACTCCCCCGCGAACTTGAACCCGACCCAGGCACTAAGAGTCCCAGGCCGGCGGCGGGCATGTGGTCGAGTCTCGGTTCAACATCCCACGGACGGCTTGGCAGCATTATAAGAGAACGATGGCGTATGACTGGAACAGAAACTGGGCTGGACAAAATGGACCTACCTCGGAGGATGAACCTGCGACGCCATTGCTGCCCTCAGCAGTCTCGTGCTGATCAGCCTGTAATCGACACCTGTCAGCGATTGCTGTGTAGCGATGGTGATATGGAGGAAGATGAATGAGTGTAATGGTAGGAGACGTAAAGTGACAACTTACCCGCTCTTGCGTTCTCGCACGCTTCTTCTCGTGCTGGTGAGGGCGGAGTTATTGTTATAGCCCATGTTGGTTGTTGCTGTTGATGTGGGTTTTGACAGAGTTGATGGTCTTGCGAAGACTTGAGGTGGCAAGGTAGAAGTTCAAGAAGAAGGGTGGTGAGGAGAAGGGTGGTGAGGAGAAGGGTGGTGAGGAGAAGGGTGGTGAGGAGAAGGGTGGTGAGGAGAAGGGTGGTGAGGAGAAGGGTGGGAGGGGAGGTTTAAATAATGGACTAGAAGGCTGATCTGGGGACCCACCCAGAATAGCACTCGCAGCGTGAAGGGAAATGAACAATAGCAAGCCAAAAGCTATCTCGAGATGGGACGAACCGTGGAAAAGTGGGCCAAGATTGTGGTGTTTGCTTGCGAGGTGAAGGCAACAGCGGCGGCAGGTGTTGGCGCTTCAGTCACCGCCCGGTTGCGCCGCGGTGCTGTGCGAAAAAGATACATCGACAACAGCCAGACGAGTTCACACAAACTGGCTTAATCACGCTCCAGTGGTCGGTTCTCAGCCGGATAAAAACCGACCGCTATTCAATAGAGGCAACTGCACGAGATTAATGTCTTCTGGACATGATATGGCTGGGAATTGGGCGTAAACTGACCACTGAGTTCATGCTGGAGAGGGGGGTGGAAGTACACCAGGCAAAGTTGACGCAGCGCGGGGAGCGGGCCAGTGAAGGACGTGAAGATGGTATGAGAAGTCGGGGCGGTATGCAGAATGGTGAATGTTGATTCTGGGCCCATCCGAAAGTGCCACACCTGCCACCAGGTGACGAGAGCCACCCCGCTCAGCCACTCGGGAAAGGGAAGTGTTGGAGGACCTTGGGCGTCGCTGTTCAGAACCCAGTTCCCAGGTTGCAAGGTGTGACGCAACAAGCTGTTGAAATTCTCGCCAGGGGAAGGTGTACTTTGTGAAGTGAAGAAGTGAGCAGGAACAAACAGGTTGCAGACTGTCTTCTTGCTGTTGATGGACTAGAAGCTGGTGCAATGTGGCTCCAAGCTAAATTTCACTTCGAGAGCATATGTGCCTATGTTGATTTTGATTTATGCTTTCTTCCGCAACACGGCAAAGTCGTGGGAGAGCGCACCAAGGTTCCGCCTGCGGTAACCACTGGCATAAAAACCCTTGCCGCTTCAGGTTGTCCGAGACTCCAAGTGGAATGGATCCATGGGACAAAGAGTACAATTTCCAAAAGGCAGCTGGATGTGTCACTGACACTAGTCTCGCATTAGGGTAGCCGTTCAAATATCTACCCCGCCATCTCCTCCCCATCCTCGTTTTTGCTGAATGAAAGTACTGCCATTGACGAGTCGGCCAAAAACAACCGCAAACCACCGCCCTAAATGCCGGGACGCTACAAGCAGACAGCCATGAAGTCTACCGGAGGCACGACTCCGCGTCCGCAGCGTATGCAACTCGCAGAGCGGGTCGCTCTGGAATCGGATATAGCCAAATTCCGCGAGCACACAGACGACAGTGATAGCGACAGCCTTCACTACCCAGAGCATCAACTGGAAGATAGCGATGTCGAGAGCCGTCCTGAGGAAGAAAATGATTTCGGAAGCAAGGCAAGTCTGACACTGCCAGAGTATCGTCTTCGTGGCACTTCCCCCCGTCCCTTTCCTCGCCTTTTGCCCATATCCCATATGCTGTCGAGCGACAGGTGGAAACCAAGTACCGACTCTGCCGTGATAAAGACCGAAGTGAAGCCCAAGGAGGAGCACGAGGAAAAGCCCAAGGACGAGAAGCCCAAGGACGCGAAGCTCGAGGAGAAGCCCAAGGAGCAGAAGCCGTCCTTCGCGAACCAGAAGCATAACGTCTCGACCAACCTCGGCGTTTCGCTGGAGGTTCGTCTGACTGCTGCTTTAGCTGCTTTTTGCTTTTTGGTGCTGGATACCTCGCTGGCCTGAAGTCACGCATCGCTTCAGTCGAGGCAGGTCTCGAGGAGTTGGGCACCGAATCCAGCAGCAACAACGGCCTTTTCTTCTTCCACTTTCTGCTGGAGGTACTTCACATTGCTGGGTCGGCCACTATCTGCGTGTGGGTGCTTCGTCGCCTTACTGACCTTGAGTCGCGCATCACCGGATAAGCGGCCTAACTGGATTCCCTCGGGCTGGACATCGGCAACCACGCTTGGCCGCACTGAAGGAGCAACCGGAGAGTCATTTTGACCCTAGAGTTTGAGTGGACGGCATCCGAGCAGTGATGGATGCATCGTTCAACACGAGCAGGCGTTGCGGTGTTGGGGACGGGTCCTGATATTCGCCCGGAATAGCAGCACAATAGGCGTGGCTACTGAGCCGTAAAGCGGACGGGTAGACAAGAAAAACAGCATAAATGTAACATGGATAAATAGCCCAGCCAGCCGTCAAGTAGAAAAATGAACAACAAGATGGAAACAACATGGTGGTTGTAAACTTGCCTGACAGTGACCATCGAGTGTCGGACATGTATTGATGAAGTGACGTTCAAAGGGGGTCACTTGACTGTGCACGTGATGGTGGGGTTGGTGGGACCTGTTTTCAGGGGAGGCAGACAAGCGCAAGAGTGAAATGGACGGCAATGGAAATGTGACGGGCGGTCAGAGGTTTTGGAGCAGAACAGACAGCTGATGAGGAAGAAGATTCAAGACATGGAAACCGAATGGAACTGGAAGGGAACAGAAAGTGGGATTGCTTCCACTTTAAATGGGAGCTTGGACCGTTCGGCTCTTGGGGTCCATGCATTCAATTCAGTCAACGGAGGATCCATGGAGCCTGGCCGCCTGTTGTACCCAGGTACCTAGGTACCTGCGGCTGTACATGTACTGCACTACTGCTGGCTGTCACTGTGACCGCCCGCGAGCTTGCTGCCCCGCTGTTACCTATGTAGGTGGGTAGGAAGGTGCCCCCTACAGGAATGGAGTCCCTCTGTACAGCACAGCACTGCAGCCAGCAAAGTGGAAGGCCAGACCACCACCACCTCCTTACCTCCAGCTCAGTCCCATCAAAGTCCCGTCCATCGATATTTTTCTGGAGCTCTGCGCCAAGACCCACGCCCGACCCAGTTGCACGAGCCTCACAACATCAAACTTCAAGTCTTAACATCAACATATTCTCTCCCGCTTTGCGCCCTTGTTCCTGAAGCTCCGCCGTTGCTTGGTCTTTACTATTCCGAGCTTTAATTCCTCTCCATCATGTCTTTCGGAGGCCAAACACCGACCATCATTGTCCTGAAAGAGGGTCAGTCAGCGAGCCCCTCCATGGTCCCCTCCTCCGCCGTCCTGCCCTCTCCTTGGCCCCCCCCTTTTTTTATCCTCAAGGTCATTATCGATCGCAAACTGACAACCACCACCCTCTTCCCACTACAGGCACCGATACCTCGCAGGGCAAGCCCCAGATCATCTCCAACATCAACGCCTGTCTCGCCGTCCAGGCCACCATCAAGTCGACACTCGGTCCCTATGGCGGTGACCTATTAATGGTGGATGAGAACGGCAGGCAGACCATCACAAACGATGGCGCCACCGTCATGAAGCTCCTCGACATTGTCCACCCTGCCGCCCGAATCCTCGTCGACATTGCCCGATCACAAGATGCCGAAGTCGGCGACGGCACCACCTCGGTCGTCGTGCTCGCCGGCGAGATCCTCAAGGAGATCAAGGAACATGTTGAACAGGGTGTCAGCTCACAGATCATCATCAAGGGCCTGAGGAGGGCCTCCACCATGGCTGTCAACAAGATCAAGGAGATTGCCATCAACACCAACGAGGCTAACCGCCGCGAGACCCTCAGCAAGTTGGCCGCCACCGCCATGACTAGCAAGCTCATCAAGAGAAACACCGAGTTCTTCACAGAGAGTAAGCAGCCAGCCAGCCAGCCAGCATAACCAATGTCGCAAACACACACTTTACATACGAGTGCTAGTACTAACAGATACCCCGCCTGTGCGCAGTGGTTGTCGACGCCGTCCTTTCCCTCGACCAAGAAGACCTCAACGAAAAGTTAATAGGCATGAAGAAGATCCCCGGCGGCTCCCTGACCGACTCGCTGTTCGTCAACGGTGTCGCCTTCAAGAAGACCTTCTCGTACGCCGGTTTCGAGCAACAGCCCAAGTCGTTCAAGAACCCCAAGATCTGCTGCCTTAACGTCGAGCTCGAGCTCAAGGCCGAGAAGGACAATGCCGAGGTGCGCGTCGAGCAGGTTTCCGAGTACCAGGCCATCGTCGACGCCGAGTGGCAGATCATTTACAAGAAGCTTGAGGCCGTCCACGCGACAGGCGCTAAGGTTGTGCTGTCCAAGCTGCCCATCGGCGATCTGGCTACCCAGTACTTTGCCGACCGCGACATCTTCTGCGCCGGCCGCGTCACCTCGGAGGATATGGAGCGTGTCGTCCAGGCCACGGGCGCCACCATCCAGAGCACCTGCTCCGACATTCTGCCCGAGCACCTGGGCACCTGCGGCACCTTTGAGGAGCGCCAGATCGGCGGCGAGCGCTTCAACTTCTTCGAGGACTGCCCGTCGGCCAAGACGTGCACGCTGGTCCTGCGCGGCGGCGCAGAGCAGTTCATTGCCGAGGTCGAGCGCTCCCTGCACGACGCCATCATGATCGTCAAGCGCGCCATCCGCAACAAGACCATTGTCGGCGGCGGCGGCGCCGTCGAGATGGAGATCTCTGCCTACCTGCACCGCTTCGCCGACCGCGACGTGGCCCACAAGCAGCAGGCCATCATCAAGTCATTCGCCAAGGCCCTCGAGATCATCCCCCGCCAGCTGTGCGACAACGCCGGCTTCGACGCCACCGACATCCTCAACAAGCTCCGCGTCGAGCACCGCAAGGGCAACACGTGGGCCGGCGTCGACTTCACCAACGAGGGCGTCTGCGACATGATGGAGCGCTTCGTCTGGGAGCCCGCGCTCGTCAAGATCAACGCCCTCCAGGCGGCCACCGAGGCGGCTTGCCTCATTCTCGGCGTGGACGAGACCATCAGGAACGAGGAGAGCCAGGCGCCACAGGCCCCTGGCCAGAAATTGCCGCCCGGCGCGGCCCAGAGGGCTTTGAGGGGAAGGGGTCGTGGCATGCCTAGGCGGTAGATTGGGGGCACGGGAACGAAACAAAGGTCTTGTCAAGTTAAAGGAGATGATAACCAACGTAATATAGATGGCATAGTGTAGGTTTGTTGGGAATATACCTGTACAAATGATACTGTCAAGCTGTTCTGGACGATGTCTGCAGTTGGGTAGATTTCGGTGACATGATTCCATCCATGATGTACGAACGTCGCTCAGCGTTCCATGCTGGCCTTGCTTAGGCTCGGTACCTCTCCCTTCGATGATGTTTCGTAAGGAGGACCGCCGTTCGTACGTAATATCGAAAGCATTGACAAACTAAGAAAGGTGTTCATTTAAAAACTGATAAAGCTTTTCTTTCCACGTACTTTATGGAATCTCTACCGTACTCTATCAACCGTCAAAACTTTATGTCTATATTGATACTAATAAGCGTCCGCGATTCCTTCAACAAGTCTAATTCTAGGTCTATGTCTTACTCATTGCCATGTTAGCATTGATCAATGCCATACAATACAGTTTAAAAGATGAAACTCTTCTTTCTCTATATGTATGTACTCTATCGTGCACTCTATCGACCAAAATATAAAATATCATGTATGCATATACAAAAATCGTTTGATCGACGATTCCTCCAAGAGGAGACGGCGGTTGCCGTAGTGATCGTTGTGGCCGCTGTGGCTGTTGTGACCGTTGTGGCCGTTTTTGCAAGCACAAATCAACGACACCGAGGAAACCCAGTGTTTCTTTTGCTCTCGATATTGATACTTCCCAAAGAAATGATGACTCACTCGTTGCCTTCTGGATCATCGTCTCCGGAAAGCAAGTGGCTTACGTCCATCTTTCCACTTCCACTTCCACTTCCACTTCCACTTCCACTCCCGTTTACACTCCCGTTTACACTCCCACCATTCGCACTCCCACCATTCACACTCCCACTCCCACTCCCGCTTCCACCTCCACCACTTCCACTGGCTGTTGCTCCAGAACTGCCACCCCCAGTTCCATCACTTTTCTCCTCCTTATCGATATGATCACCCCCACCTCCACTCCCATCGCCATTACGAGTACTGATGCCACCACTGCCATCCATCACTGTATCCCTCTCGTTTGATCTCAAAAAATCTTTCCCTGAGCTTGGGCCTACTGGTCCTGATTCGGGGTTCGTTGTCGCTGCGCCCGCCGGCGCCGGTAGAGCGGGCGTTCCTGTGCCTGTGCTTGTACCTGTCCTGGGAATTGTTTTGGGGTGGTTTTTGCTTTTTTCGTCCTTGTCGTGTCCATTGCATCTGGATCTGCATCTGGATTTGCATCTGGACCGACATTGTGATCAGGATCATAAGCACCGATATCAGTATGATTGTTGACACGTTCTTGCCAATCCTGATCCTGATCTTGATCCCGATCTTGCTCTTGGCCGTCGTGGTGGTGTTCGTGTTCCAAGGTATTTTCCTCAGCCATATCCATGTTATCTCCAGGTAAGCCTAGATCGTCCTGGTCTCGATCCTGATGTCGGCCCTGGTCCTGATCCTGGGTCTGATCTTGAGTCTGATCCCGGTTGTTGTCCTCATCGTACTCGTCCGGATCTCCGTTCAAAGCCATCTCAACATCATTATCGTCACGTTCTGGCTCTTCCGCTCCATCTGAGTGTGGGCTTGAGCTTCTTCGCATTGTTGTTGTTGTTGTTGTTGTCAAGAGAGGTTGCAGTCCAGTTTGTTGTTGTTGTTGTTGTTGTTATGTTTAGTGTTGTTGTTGTTGTTTGGTATTTTGTTGTTGTTGTTGTTGTTGTCAAGAGAGGTTGCAGTCCAGTGTTGTTGTTGTTGTTGTTGTTGTTTGTTGTTGTTGTTGTTGTTGTTGGCTTGTTGTTGTTGTTGTTGTTGGTGGTGTTTGTTGTTGTTGTTGTTGTTGTGTTGTTGTTGTTGTTGTTGTTGATGGCGTTCCATGTACTTGTAGAAGAAATACTGGTGGCTCTTGTTGCTCCTGTACTTGCTCCTACTGTTTCTGATCCTTGCTGGCCGTTCCCGTCGCTGTTGTTGATGCTTGTGAAACGCGAACCCAGAGCGCTATCTGTGGCCATTTCCACATCACCATTGGCGCTGGCGCTGGCGCTGGCGCTGGAGATCAGCTGCTGTTCTCTTACGCTTTCCATGATAGGCGTGTATCTACTTGACCTTTCTGCGGCGGCGTTCTGGTACTCATTCTGACCCTTGTCGTCCTCATCCCCACTGCTTGTTTCGATCAACATATCCAAGTCCTGATCAATCGCTTCATCGTCTACCGCTGCCACTGCCATGCCATCCTCGTCCATTTGATGGTCTCTTCCCGACAATGACCCCGGCCCCGTTCCGTGCCTGCCATCTTGTCCAAAATGTCGCTCTGCTTCACTATCACCTTGCTCCATTCCCGAGCCGCTTCTAGCACTTATAAGACTTCCGTACCCCCCGACTTGTCCACCACCACTACTCCCGGCCTGTTGATCCCCCCTGTCATATTCTCTTCCAATGTCAGGTCTCCCAGATCCAAGCTCCTGAACTGGATCATAGTAACCAACACGTCCATCAGGATGACCACGTTCGTTATGGTCACTCCTACCCATCCCTATCCCAACAGCTTCGGTACCCGCCACAGTCAACAGCGCCTGGAACGTATCCGAATCGTTATCAGGTTCGGACGCAGAAGAGGCGCCACCGGCGTGGCGCTGCTGCTGGTGTTGATGCAATTGCCTAGGGCTTTGATGCTGTTGAGCCTGCTGTTGCTGCGGCTGCTGATGGGGATGGTGTTGATGCAATTGCTGGGGATGCTGCTGCTGCGATTGCGGGTATTGGTAGGGCGGATACTGCAGATGGTGTGAATCATGCTGCAGCATGATATGGCTAGGAGTTTCCATAGGAACATTTCTCATTGCTTCTTGAGGATAATGCTGAGCATCAGCGCCATGGGACGGGTCAGGTCGAGGGTGGTGTCTAGTCTGGGGATAGCCCGGGTGGATTTGTTCACCATAGCTGGTGTAAAGCGTCGGCGTCTGCATATGCTGTGGTGGCGGATGAAGAGGATGGCGATGGTGCAATGACTGATGTATCTGAGGCTGGTGATGCTCTGTGTAGTCTTGCTCGTTATGGACTTGTCCATGGTTGCTTAAGGTGTGGTGATGGGCTGTGGCTCTTCGCGCAGACGATGGACCTGGTTGGCGTATAATTTGTGGATTGATAAGAGGGGGCAAGGAAACGTGTGGATGGTGAGACTGGTGATAATGGGAAGGTGCTGGTTCAGAGTGATGTTGCCGTTCAGGATGCGGGTGCGGAGGGTAAGGAGATAGATATTGATGGTGATGATGCGGAGGAGGAGGGGAAGGATGATGTGGCAGCATCGGACTTTCATGCGCCTGCGTGTGACGAGTAAAGGGATTATGCTGAACGGTGGCTAGGTTCGTTGTTGTATCAGGGGTTACCTGCAGGGGAGGGCCGGGAGAAGGGGATGTCAAGATGGAGATTTGGTGACCGCTGGCATCAGTAAACTGCGAATGGCTCTGATTATATTGATGCGATGTGGCAGTAAAGAGATCTATGTGAGATGGTGGCTCGGGCGGCAAGGCAGGTATAGGGTGCGATCTGGGCTGATCACCGATGGTGACAGTATCACCAGCCGTAACATAACCAGGAGATCGGGTGGGTGTTGGTCGCTTGGAGTTGCTGGGATTAAGAGGCGGGCTAGGATTCGGACGCTTTATGCCACTGGACGTTGGAGTCACGACATTAGACAATGGAGGCGATATGATATTGGGTAACTGGGGCTGAAGTAGGGGCTGCTGCTGCTCCTGCTGCTCCTGCTGCTGCCGAGTTTGGGACGCGGATGGCAATGAAGACTTTCCCAGTTCTTTGCATTCAGAACAATTCCTAATAACATCAGAGACAACGTCCTTAATGCGACTCCAGTGGTAACGCTCCGTAATAGTGGCCGTAGTCCTGTTGATGCCCGCATGCGATTGGTTGTGCACCTCTGTCGCGATCTTGTACTGGCGGCGCGGGTCTGAGATGACCTCCCTGTCCTTGAGCATGAGGACGCCGCCTTCGAGTAGCCTGTAGTGAGTTGCGGCGCTACGAAGCCTGCTTTTCTCGGCTCGGTCAGCCCCGGGAGGATAGCGGGCGTGTTGCAGATAGTACTTGATCTTGTCGAAACGTTCTTCACTCACAAGTTCTTCGTTACCGTCCGCGTCGCCCAAGTCCCGGCCAAAGATGATGGCGTCCACCAGCTGGTCCGGGTAACTCTTGAGGTTGCCGGCCCCCTTGACACGGCCGATGCGCTTGAAGCCCAAGCCGTCCCAGATCTTGACCGACGCCACGTTGGTCTCGTAAACCAGATTGAAGACCGAGTACGTGTAGCCCAGCTTGGGTGCCCAGTCCAGGTAGGTCTCACCCATGAGACGACCGACACCACGGTTACGGGAGGTATCCGTCACAATGAAACCGGCATTGCAAATGTGGCTGCTGCGGCCAGGGTAGTTGGGTTTGATGTAGAAGGTGCCCAGGCAGTCCGTCGGCCAGTTCTGGTTGTCGACAATGTCCTCGGGGCGCTTGATTTCGCCGAGAAGCATGATGCCAGCAAAGTTTTGAGCCAGTATCGGCGAACTTGTCGAACTCCATGGGGTCCATCATGGGGTAGGTGTCGCCACCCTCAATTTCATTGTTGAACTGATCATGGAGATAGTGCAGCAGGGAATCGGGCACTTGATGGCGCGAGGCGAAGGGGACAACGGTAGCTACCGTCGTGCGATCCCGCAGAGTCACATGGCGAGGGACAATGGTGTCCGGGAAGGAAGGGTGAGCAGGGTCGGGAAAGGGCTCCGCTCCAGAGACGCGGTGGATGGTTCCGGCCGAGGGGTCGTCAAGAATGGCCGGCATCTTGTCTTGCAGCAAGTCTATTGATCCGAAAGGTTGAAAAGACCTCTTTCCCTGGAGATGTCAAATATGCCTCCTGCCAATTGGTGTTAGCCACCTTATCCAAGGATAAAGGTGCATTTTATTAAGATAAAAATGCTCGTAGTTAGAATATACGCACTTGTAAAACAAATGACAACTATTCAAAGCTAGTTGAAGCAAAAAGGACAGAAATCTCGTCGTATAAGCAAGTGTGTGTGCGAGTGCGAGATATATAGAAGACCAAGGCGTCCAAATCGGGCCACCTAGCACAAGTATATCGTATGTAGATACGCGGCGGGGCGAAGTAACCAAGACTAAACCGGATAGTCGGTTGATAGCTTCCGATAGTTCGATAAGTTCGAATCCGTATCGGAACTCGGCTCGGAAAGCGGGAAAGCGGGGCCGTGACCGCGGCCGAGATCCGGTAATTTCGTGCGGGTAGCGGATGTGACGAAGTGTCTTGACCGAAAACGAAGGGCCGGGGCGGTACACCCCTCAGCCCCACCTCACAGCCCAAATCCTCGGGGACGGACTCTGATTCCCGCTCGAAGACGAGGGACCGAAGAAAAACTAGGGACGGGACCGGGGAGTCGCACTGACGGTATGGACTTTGTAGGTAGATGGACACTCCGAGGCGTGCCCGATGTCCGCCAATGTTGGACCACACCAATCACCGGCTTGTCTTTGATCTTGTCCTGTCTCGTCTTGTCTTGTCACTTGCTGTCGTGCACCGGCCACCAAGGTACAACAGGAACCGTAACGACAAGCATGCGAGTTGTTTTTGACGTGACTGAATAAACGCGCCGTGGCAGCTCTGAGCACGACGAGCCGCCGTTCTTTCCCCGTGTGTAACGCGGGTAATCGACTGGGTGGTGCGGTGTGGTGTGGGCGGCGGCGGCAAATCTGATAAGGGCGTTTGGGTTGGATCCCCGTCGTTCTGAAATATTCGGCTCTGGTGATGATTTGTGCTCATTGGGGAACAAAAAGAGGAGAGGATGTCTGAGAGCCGAATGAAAGAGACTCTTTTTTTCTCTCGGTTGAATTGGATGTGTCCGCTGGCTGCTTAGTCATCATCATCAACTCAGCCGTCTTCGCAGCTCCTTCCTCATAAGCGTCAAGATCCCGAGTCGTGAAGCAGGAGCGAACAAGCTCGTCGAGTGACGTGCCGCGTCCTGCCTTCCATATCGAAAAGACTTGACTTATACAGAATCCGGGATTTGGTTCAAGCAATTTCCTTTCTCTGCTACATGCTTGACACATCAGCCCAACACGCTGCGCAATGTTCAAGACGCTCGCTCTTAACATCGAGGTATAGGAAGCAGTATACGTCTGTATTGAGGTATACATCCACTCACGCTGTTAGTGAAATGCTATCTACAACACTAGCCCACCACTATCATGTTTGCGTCTCAGAAGCACGGATTTATACCTACCTCTACTGCACCATGGCATACTGCAAAGACAACCACACGTCACGGCCATCTTGAATTCCCACTCTCCTGTCTTTGCAAGGACATTCTCCAGAATGTACCTCTGCATACCTCTAGGCAAGGTGTTCAGGCGCAGTACCGTATAATTCTGAGGGGATAGGTTTTCAAGTTCCAAGGGCTAACAGACAGAATCCATGCACGTGCCTTAGGGTCTGGGTTTAAGAAGGGAATTCGAGCAGATGTTATCACAGAGGTGCCTCAAGTGTACAGACAGATTATGCCTAATTTTGAAGGAAGTTGAAAATCTATCCCCGGAAATTATACGGTACGATAGGTAATCGTGCGGATCTTCCTTGTAGGGCTGAACGTCTGCCAGTTCCACTTGCATACCTACGTAAAAGCAAATGGCAAAGCTATAAATCACCCTGCGTTGCCGAACGGTCTGACCTGGAGTCTACCGATATAAACTGAGTTGATACGGTACCGAAACTCAACCCTCACTCGCCTCTCCAACCCATCTCATCTCACATCCCATCCCATTTCATCGTTTTGCAAAGACTAAGGTATTTCGGTATATAGTACAATAAAGATGCTATTCTACAACAAACCCCTTTCACATATGCTTGTTTTGCACACAAGGGCCCAGGTCTGGTTTCTCTCTCTCTCGCGGTCGGTAGGGCAGTGCCATGATAATACAGATTTCCACATTTCCTTTTTCCATAAGCGAGGTCTTCCTTATACACCACCAGCAAACATGGCCCTGAGCGCATCCTCGCTCAAGAAGGTATCCTTCTCCTTCTGCACAGCCACGCTGTTGTCCTGTGCCCGTCTCTTCCGGGCGTCGGCCGCCCGCGTCTCCGCCAGCTCAAAATAACCCTGCACGTCGGCGGGCGTCTTCCATGTGACCACGCCGCGCTGCGCCGCTTCGAGTCTGCGCTTCTGGCCATGCTCACCGGCGCGGCCGAGGACGCCGCTGATGAGGGCGGTTGCTCGCAAACTGTTGTAATAGAATCATGAAATGTCAGCAACGCACTGCAACATAAGCATCACACGCATTAAGTGTAGGTGGTTTCCTTACCTGTCGTCGTTGGCCGGAATCTGGTAAGTAACCCACGACGGGTTGGTGTTGGTATCAATGATACCAATGGTCGGGATCTTGGCCAAGCTGCACTCGTACAACAGGGTCATGTTCTCCTTGGGGTTCAGGCAGACAACGAGATCGGGTGCCAAGGGTCTGCGGTCGTGCAGATGGTCCTCGAACCCTTGGAGGGGGCGATCGAGCTCGTCCACCACCGTCAGCGGAACACCTCCCAGCAGCTGCTCGCGGTTGGTAATCGTGCCGGGCCTCCACTTGGTGAACAGGTGGCAGGCCTTGGCCATCTCGGCGGCGCGCACAACGATGGGGCGCTGACCAGGACGGGTGCCGACAAACAGAATCAGGCCGCCGCGGTAGGCGACCTCCTCGACGACGCGGGCGGCGCGGCGCAGGTGGATGGATGTCGTCTCCAGCGAGATGATGTGGATGCCCTGGCGCACACCGTAGATGTAGCGCGCGTTGGCCGGGTTCCAGAGCGAGGTGTTGTGGCCCATGTGGGCCTGGGCGGCCATGAGGTCCTCAAGCGACGCCTCCGAGGGCGGGTTGCGGAGGTACTGCTCGGGGATGTAGCGGACCTCGACGCCCGCGCCGAGCTTCTGCGTTTGCGCCTTGGTCTGCTTGAAGAGCTTGTAGTTGCCGGGGATGGCCTCGATTTCCTGCTTGAGCTTAAGCGCCTCCGCGTCGACGAGAGTCGGGTCCCATGTTGTAACGGTCTCGGCGGCAGCGGTGGCGGAGGGTCCGGAAGATCCCCAGGCCTCGGCGGCAGCGGACGGAGAAGCGACGAACTCGGGAGTGGGTTGCTCGATGCTCTCGGCGTAAAACTCGGCCTGCTCCTCGAGGGTCGGCTCGGCAAAGGCTGTCTTGGCAGCAGCCTGCTTCCTGGTGTTGTTCGTCGGCGGCGGCGGCGCAGTGAAGTTGTCCTGGGAGTAGAATCGCGGCGATTGGGCCTGGAGAGAGGCCCGCGAAAGAGGAGTGGCCAGGGCCCGTCGGCCTAGAAGCGAGAACGTCAGCTTGCAATCATTTAGCTTGCACAAGGAGGAGACCAGAATACACACCTAACCGCGCGCCGATATTCCGAACAATCATGGTGGAAATGCTGGGGTCGGACACATCGTCGTCGGGAAGGATGTTGTGAATCGGCTGCTCAACTTTTCTGGACGGTACACGGCCGACGGTGGCCCGTGCGTCAATTACCTTCGGCACTGCGCCCGCCCGGCGTGGATCACTGCACCATCCACTATAGCGCGGCTTCCTCCAGGCGCTGGAACGGCCCCACTACGGGAATCCGGGGTCACTCGGTGGCCGACCGTGTTTACGGCGAGGGATGTACTACGGGCGGCTCGGCATCAACCCACACAATCTCTTCCAAGCTGAGATGAGAAACGACGGGAATTCAACAAAACAAATAAATATCTAAAAAAAGAAAGCTCTCTCACAGACCAAAGCTTTGATAATACAGTCCGTACTCTAGAGGTAGTGGGTAGTAGTTGCAGCTTCATGCCTAATCCGAGGCTTTGTGTACATGAGTTTCTACGGTAACCTATCAATCCAATCCGGCCAACCCCTCTCCCATCTCTCACTCGCAGATGAGGGCCCCGTTCCCGGCTCTCCCCATCCTGCATTCAATTATGCATCTCCGCCTTTTAATAAAGGCGAATGAAATGTGAAGAATAATTGTTTGGATTGGGCAGCCCATTATCAACAATCTCTCGAAGCCCAACAACTAACAACTTTACTAACAACACACTGCTGCATCAAATCATCACTATCAAACTCATAAGACCTGCTTTCGTCTTATCATCTTCTCTAAGCTTTAACTTCTCTCCAATCAAGAAACCAATACGACCCAAAAATGTAAAATTCTTCTGCTTCTTCAACGGCTGCTGGTCAACCTCGAAATGGTAAACACACTAACGATAACAACGGCCAGGGTGACAATAGCACCCGGAAGAAGGAGCTCGTTGGGGACACCAGCAATGACCTGGGCCGGCTCTTGTGGCTGAGACATTGTGCGCGTGCGCGTGGGACGACGACGGACGGGCTCCTCCTCTTCACTAACCTCCTCGGATTCCTCCTGCTCAACCTTCTTTGTTCTCCGCTCACGAACCACCGACGAAGCAGGGGGTGTGGCAGGGATCGTCTCAATAATCGGCGCAGGCGTAGGCGCGTGGGAAATGGCAGGTTCCGAGGGATCGTGCACGAACAGGTCGACCTTCTCACGAAGGCCGTGACGCGCAAGCAGAATGGCTTCGAGGAGATCCTGATCCGTCGTGATGGAGACCGAATCGCCCTCGTCGTCGAGGTAGCTGAGCGCAAATCCGCCGGAAAGCCTGCCGTTCTCGACCTCAGGGGTACCGCCAATCGCCTCCACCTCAGCACCGAGCTTGGCAGCGACAGCAGCGACAAACTCAGCCATGCCGTGGGAGGCTGTCACCTGCAGACGGTGGACGCGGCCGCTGGGAGCCTTGAACTTGAAGGGGAAGGGAATGTCAGCGGGGTTGACTTCCTGGATACCACCCAGCTGACTGTGGGAAGGCGACTCGATGCCGGCATGGCTCGCAGAGTCACCAGGCGCCACGCTGTCGACAATGCGCTCGCTGCGAGCGATGTCGGGCGACATGAGCGATCTAGGCCCATGGTGGGTGTGGTGGTGCGAGCCGTCGCCCGATACCATGGACTCGGTTTCGTGGTCCAGCGAAAGCCAGAACTTGTTCCAGGCAGGCCCCTCGTTGTCGCTACCGCTGCCCATCGTGTTAATCTGTTCGAGGGTGGCATAAGTGAGCTTGAGGACGTCAACCATGCCGACAATCTCGCCAGCATCGTTCATCACCGGCAGGTTGAGGTAGTGGCCATCGTGCATCTTCCTCAGCGCAGCCTGGATGGTCATCTCCATGGGCGCAAAGTCGGGATGGGGGGTCATGACGCGGACCACGCTGCAGGTGGCAGGGTCAAGGCCAGGGGCAATCACACGGAGGACGACGTCCTTGCTGGTGAAGATACCCGTAATCGCTCCCTGATCCTGCACCAAGACCGCCGTGGTGTGGTTCTCCTTCATCAACTGGGCCGCCTCCTTAACCGAGGTCCGGACGCTGACCGTGGTCGGCGGAATGCCGTTCAAGACAGACTCCAGGGTCGGGCCCGACATCTTGGATCGCAGGGCCTCGACGTACTGGATAATCTGCTGGGGCTGGCTGGTGCCGAGCTCCGACTGAACACCCTCGAGCGCATCGTACAACCGCCTGGACGAGGCATAGGCGCGCTCCAGCTTCTCCATGGCGTCGTAGAAGCATTTTGTGATGTCGAGAATGCCCGAGATGTCCTGGTTCTCGTCCATGACGGGCAAATGGCGGAAGCCCTTGCGCACCATGAGATCAAGGGCGTCGGTGGCGCTGGTGTCGGTCCTAGCGCACAGCGGGTTCTTGGTCATGATCTCGGCGATGGTGACGGTGTTGGACTTGAGTCCGGCACCGACGACGCGGAAGGCCAAGTCCTTGGCCGTGAAGATACCAGCAATTCTCTCATCGTCATCGGTGACAAGAACACAGTCTTCACGCTTGGCGGCCATCAACTGGGCGGCTTCGGAAACGGTGGTCGCGGCCTTGATCTGGAGGGCGGGACTCGGCTTGAGGGCGAGGACGGTTCCGGGAGGGGCTTTGCGGGTATGACGGGCTCGGCTGGTAAGGTGCTTTTTCTTGGAGAGATCGCTCTCCATCTTGCGGCGGATGGCCTGGCGCGAGAGTGGTGTTAGAGGGCATCTCCAACCTCATCAGAACAGAAGGGGGCAATCGGCGGTGACAGGTCTGGATCGGGGATCACGCACCTCATCTCTTTTGGACTGTTTTTGCCTGCTCACGCTGACGGAGGCAGAGCCGACCTCACTCCCGGGGGCGGCATGGTTGGCTTCGAGGACGGGGCGGGGGATGGCCGAGCCGGCGTGGTTCTGGCCGTAGGGCGTCGAGCTGCGATTCTGTTGCTGGGCGCTGCTGCCACCAGCACGGCTGGGGCCGCGCATGGTGGAACCTGGATTGGTCGACATGATAAGGGGATGCTCGACAACCAAGACTGTCAGTAGAGGTATCGTTTGTTTCTACGCAACAAGCGGGCAAGCGGTCGTTGTGTGGTGCTGGTTCCGTTGCTCGACTTTCGCAAAGTGACGATTTTTCGTGGTCCCTGAACCTGAACCGATTTGCGACGAGACCAGAAAAGGCCGAGCTAGGTGTCGTCCAATAAGGTGTTCAGATGACTCGAAGCGGAATCACACCTTGTCAGTCGCCAGTCGCAAAAGCAAAGCCCCGAGTGTCTGGGAGTCGTTCCAATGGGTCACCTCACGGAGAACGAACGACGAGGATTGTAGTATGTAGTGTGAGGAACTGAGCGACGAAGGAAAGCCCGGGTGCGTCGAATGAATTGCCGCGCCCACTCAATGGATGTCAGTCGATTCAATTGCCTCCTTCACAAAATGTTGGATGCAGTTTCCGTCGTTACCGCCGCGCGCGCACCGCAAGAACCGCAACCGCAATGAAAGTTACCCCTTGTTAGTGGCCGCATTACCGCACCACCAATATAGGAAAGCACGGGCCATGCCACCCACTGAGTAGAGTGTTTTGAGCGTGTGATTACCCCACCATGGGCGCGCTCACGAGACCGCATCCCATTTTCCTCGGCGATAGCGGGGCCTGTTTTTGCCCGTCTTCGCCTATCTGGAATTGAACGGCAGCTGTCAAATGTCTCGAATCTCTGCTGTTATTGTTTTTACAAGATGGTCATGTTACCGGCAAATTGACGATATTTCCCTTGCAGTGAGCACATGCCTAAGGTACAGCCAATGGCGTAGCAGGATGTTAGATGTTGTGCTGCGAGTTGTGATGGAACTACCGAGAGCTCTCTGTAACGGTGACGGTGAATGCAGCTGTCCATTGAGCCATGTTTTGAAGTCTTCGATGTTGGTGTGATGTTGGGCTTGTCCGCCACTGTCAGACTCGTTTTACCACCGCAACTGAAAGCGATGAACAATCTTTGGCAATTGTTTTTGAAGAAAGGGGCCGCTCATTCAATGATAAGATAATTTACATGGGCGATTGCGGGTACCGAAGAACGGTGAGCTTCTATTTATATCTCGTTAAAGACATGCTAATCAGTGATCAGCCCCAACCTCCTGGGATTTCACGTGTGAAAGTGCCGGCCATACCGTACGTGAAGAAAGTGAAGAGATTCCGCCGGTGGAATTGAGACAGCCATTTTCTTTTGTGAGAGGCGGGTTGAGACCATCTCTACTCATGACTGAAGGTAAGCATCTAATGAACCAGCGAACTCGAAGTCATCATGAACGACGGAAGTAGCAGTATTCACGGGATATTGCGGTTTCATATTACTACCCACCAGCGTGATCCATATACCGCTATCACTGCCTGGTTCCTACGGACAGGCACCTCAGCACCCCACACTCGGAGTTGGGGAATCTTCATCGTGCCACGACGATGACCACTTCGAAACGACAGACAGACATGTTCGCAGCCCGCCAATACGAGAGAAGAGCATCGAAACATAAGAAGATCTTTCTCAAGTCTTGAGTCTCCGGTCCCCTGCACTGCTTACCGTACCCATTCCTTCTCAATGCCACCTCAGCCCTGTAGGTATCTTGTCCGCGCTCCGTTGTCTTCTTCAACTCAGGCGTCGGACGGTGCTCTCCTTGCCTTTTGATCCTTAGGTTTCGCGCCAGAGGTCTGCGCGTAATCTAACATGCATTGGACTGGCATGCCCGTACTTTGGGTGCGGGCAGGCATTTCCGGGGCATTCAGCAGCAGACATGTAAACAAAAAGTCGCAACGGACGAGGTGACCCTCCATCCTCGATCCTCGTCCTCGTGGTGCAATTCTCAACGGCGCCGTCATCTCGTGGTGGTGTAGTTTTACTTTCCGGACCGTTGTTTACAGTCGCATCGCTGGTCCAACCACCCTTGACTCGCGCGCGGGATGGACGATTCGGAGACGGGAAGCCACTGGAAGCAACCTGGAAGCCAGCACAACCAGGATGCCTAGGACTGCGATGAGACCTGAACAGGCTGAAACGCTGCCCTAACGGGGGACCTGGAAATGCCAGCCAAGTGCCTGAAGCCCTGAAGAGCATCATGATCAATGCTTGACCAGCCGCAATGGATCGTGCATCCGGCAATGACGTCGATTAACCCAGTTGGGACCAGCGGCCGCCGCCAGTTGCGCATCCCACGCAAGAGGTGGAAGACGGGCAGACCCCACAGCAGACGACAAGGAAGCGATAAGCCACCAACGACCAGTCCTTGTTTCGCGGAACTGTGAATTTTCTCGGTCCTATTGCGGGTTCAGCTTCTAGGGGTCACAATGACTTCATTCGCTATAGTTATCTGGGCTATAGCACCACCCAAGCACTGGAATATTTAGGAGTGTTCATGTCCAACGGCATGGCAAGAATCACTTGGCCCTCATCAGCCAAGCATGAGCCCGCGTTCGAGTCCGTCGGAGAAACATTTGCAGATTCAGGTTGCTCGAGGTTGGTTGTCTCTTGCCCTTCACATGGTTTGGGGGCCCTCATATTGAAACAATATGTGCCGGATATGAGGGTTTCGAAGCCACACGGAAGGATGCGCCCTGAGTAACATGCTATGCTGCGGCGTTTAAGCAAGCCCAGGAATTCCTTTCCGTGAGCTGCTGTGCAACGCGGGAGTTGAGATTGGTGTTGAACCTAGGAATGGGAATATTGAGGAACGGTGACCGTTGAGAAGTTAAGGTGTTGTAGCAGCACAGAGCAAGCCGCAAAGACCTTTATGAAGCACGCCAAGCATCCATGTACCCTGACATCCGTCTGCCCCTGTGTACACTACAAGTTCCTCGTCTGCTCTTTTCCATTCTTCCCGTCGTCAAAGCATAACTTGGAAGGCAGAGGCATCTGCATTTCGCTCTTGTCTTGTACCTGGGGGTGAGCGTGGGCATGGAGAGGACATGGACGTGTTGTGCCAGGAACAGACAGACGGAAACTGCCAGGAACAGACAGACGGAAACTGCCAGGAACAGACGCTTGTTTCGCCAATCACGTCTTATCTGCGTGTTGGCGATCATCCCCTCCTTACCCCCTCCAATGAAGGGTGATACAATCGGCAGCAACCAACGACAACGACGGGCACTCGAAACACAAGTAACCATGGCACTTGCCCACGTCCATCCGCTGCACCACCTCCACGCTGGATGGACGGCCCACGGCACTGGAGTAGTTTGTGCTGGAGCAGCTGGAGCAGTTGGAGCAAGCTGGAGCTTCCACTCAGCTGGCTTGCTGAAGGAATGGAGCATCTTGGGACGACTTGGAGCCAGTCAAAGCATAAAAAACTGGGGCCCACACAGAAAGCCCAGAACTGCCATTTTGCACGACGGTGGCCGGGAGGAACAGCCCGGGTCGGCGCTGCGTAACGTCATCCACTTTTCCACTTTCTTGGCTCTCTGGCGATTCAGGTTTCTTTTCCTTTCCTTTTTCCAGCTTCATGTTTCTCCGTCGGTGATCAACATAGCTACAGGTGTTCCCCCCTATCTTTTGTGCTGGGTCCATGGTGCTTTTGCGTTGTCCTTCTCTTCTCCTCATTTCTCCCGCCAGTCCTCCATTTTCACTCGCTTGCGCGGCTTCTCTTCAGATTGTCGAAGGAATTGAAAAAGAGGGACCGGAATTCCAGAGAGCAGCACGCACGACGCCGACGGATAGCGGACGCAACCCACTAAAATTCGCTAATTCTAGACGCGGGTACCAGCAACTGCCCGCCGAAACGACCAGTGGAACTTGCCGCTCGGCGCTTTTCCGGTATTGAATCTTACGAGCACCACACCGGCACCGCATCAATCGTGAAACGGTGGGATTGAGGAAAAGGGGAGGGAAAAACACGAAAATCAAGTGCCAGCAATCAATCAGACCAACCACGGGGCCTGGCCAATTCCATTTCGCTGCCAAAGAGACTGCTTTTGAGCAACGTTTCTCTCTTTCACTTCGTTGATCTCGGACGCCCGTTGATCAGGCCCGGGTACATCGACACATCAGCACTAGCAAAGCCTCCAACAGACTGGCTGCGGGTGCGCTAAGCGAAACACCAAACGGGATCACCGCCTCCCTCCAATAACGCTCCTCTTCCTCCACCACAACCCTAGAGAGGCAACCACCCATTCGTTTTCTACCTGCGCATCGGCGATCGAGTTCGTTGTTGCGATTGCACGGTTGCAAGAAAAGGAGACCAAACCCGTCAGAGGGATCGACGCATTGGTGTCGCGAAGAAGATATCTTGTCAAAACCGGCGAAAAATACAACAAGGGGAGCGAGCACCGACTTGGGGCTGGATTTCCATTTCGAGGTTCAACCGCACCATCCAACACAATGGCGCCATCTTCACAAGCTCAAAGTCAGCCATCACTACCGATACTGGCCGCCATGTCGCGACGACAATATCCCGTTTCCCTATCTAGTCGATCTTCAGTGCCATCATCGTCATCATCGCCGTCGTCGCCAACCTTCAAGCGTGCGGCCATCGACGCAATCCTCCATATCCGGGCATCGCTTGCATCTGCGACACAAAAACGCAGCAATGATCCTAGTTGTTCACCACAACCGGGCGTGAACCTCTGCGAGAAGCCAGCAGAGGCAACTTCAAATGTTACCTGGGCGGTAGTCGGCAGTGTGCTGTGAGTGTTTGACGTTTCCTCGTATTCTTCCTTCAACCTAACCTGTCGCATCCCCCCGGTCGATGCCCTTTCAATGGCGCCGCCACCACCCCTGGCAATTGCCCGAAATGGAAACACCAAGAATAAACACTGGTTGGAACGACTAGTTGGAACGACACGCCAGATCTCATTTACTGACAATGCCTTGCAGTGCTTTTGTCGCGGCAACCACCATTATAGTAGCATATATCCTTCACCTTCGCCGGAAAAAGGTCCACAAAAAGGAAGATCAAAATGACCCGTTCCAGATGTCCGACTATGGTTTCGACGAAGCAGCTGCCGCAGAGGCAGCTAGGTCAAAGGCGAACCTATTCCGACGATCCCAGCAATCTTCCACCACTTCGTTTTCCAAACCATCGCCACCAAACCCCCTAGAACGCAGACTGTCCTTTGACGATTCACCCTACGCTGTTAGCGCCGCTGCCGGTATTCGATCATCAACAACGGTTGGGGGAGATGTTATTTATAGCGACATCAGCACTCCGCCGGGTGCGGCACTACCTGTCGGCGTCGGTATGAGAGGCGAGGGCCAATTGTTTGGAGTTCCGGGAATCGAGGGTATGGACTTGGGCGGTATGCCGATGGATCGGGAACGCGAAAGGGAGCGGTCGAGGTCGAGGGCTAGGTCGTCCTACTCCCACTCTCCTCATAACGGACCCCGTAAACAGATGCAGCGCCGATCCCGACCGGCAAGTGTGCAGAGCGCTCCATTTGCACCCGGACACATGACGCCACCGCGAGGGCCCAGGCCGGGTCGAGGAGGCGATGGAGCCAGTGCCGCCAGTGGAAGCGGTCTTCGCTCTCCCCTTTCCGACGACGCTTCCTCTGCTTCTGGCAGGTCTTCTGAGATGTTGCGCCCGCCTGTTGACGGTGATATTGACCCTCTTTCCGGCGCCGCTATGCTCGGCCCGATGCCATGGGAGAAGGATCAGCAACAGGATAAGGTGGTGGTTACGGAGACGACAATGGAGAAGCAAAGCAGCAACACAAGAATCGAGGAGGAAGATGAGACGGTTAATGAGCCTAAGGGCAAGAACGAAATTCGTTTGGTAGCCGCCTCGGAGGAGACGAGGCCGGTCGTACAAGAGGAGGAAGAGAAGCCCACAGCTGCTCAACAGGAGACAGTGGAAGTCAAGAAGGAGGACAATAACGAGCATGCGACAAGGATATGACCTGACCGCGGATTAATGACGCGTGCGTGCGAGCGCGCGTGAAGGAGCATTTTGGATTTTGTACGGTGTAATGAATCATTTTACCACTTACAGGAAAGGAGAAACGGACGGCTGTTTTTCTGGTACATTACCTTGAGATACAACGGATGCGATGCAATGCCGGGCAGGGGTTTATGGATATGCCTTGATTTTTCTATTCTTTCATTATCGACTTTACCTCTTGAGTTCGAGGGAGATTTTAGCCATGATACTATTTGTTATCATTATCATCATCATCATGAAATCGTCGCTGCGTTAGCGTTATGCATTGTCATTACTTTTCATCATCATCATAATGCTTATGTTTCATGTGTTTTACTTTATCGATAATGCATGGGGAGAGATGGATACCTGTCAGGCGAGTCAAATATCTGGCGGCAGGCTGGATTTCACGCTCAAATATTGGTATGATGAATGGTATCTGGGTGTTGATTAGTCTTGTGAGGATAAAGAAGAAATGATTTTAGCAAGACGTCCGTGGCATAGTAATTCAAATCTTGTATATACGTCTAGATGCTCCTAAACATTGCCTCTGATGCAACATATCTGGTTTTTTTTCGTAATGTACTTGAAATGAATTGTAGTTTTGAAAGGTACTTATTGACTTACTCCACTGTGTAACTTCTCTTACTGCATTTTTCCAGGCCCCTCCCCCATGTGCAAACAGTTCCTACATCTATACGGAAGATGCAAAGAGCGGTCATGGAAGTCTGACACTACCTAAGTGGTACCTACCCACGGCACTACGGTATTACTGTACTTAAGCTCGGTGTTTGTTTACAAGGAACATTCAACACAGCTGTATCTACCATGCTCTCTTATCTAGAAGCAACGGCGTCCGAGTCTCTCCTCGGTTACTATCGGACAACCCCGGGACAACCCCGTTGTTTTACCTGCACCCTCGAGGATTACGAACCTCCAGTTTCAATCACACTAGCTAGACGGGGGTAGCGAGGGGAATAAGGCGTCAAAGAGAGAACGAACGGAGCACAACAAACCTGACACAAATAAGTCTCCTGTAAATAGATACCTACAAAGGAGAGAGAAAATGCTATCCAACATCCTAAAATAATCCCACCTTCCCATCTCATGTGTACATACAGCGCATGTGTAAGTAACTCAGTAAGTAGTATCCTACATACCTAACAGGAAATGAATGACAGTAGATACCTACACTAGATGAATCCATACAAAACTAACCGTCCACAAACCAAGACAACCAACAAACCAACCAACCCACCCCTTAACCTCTTAATCCCTAAGGTGCTTTTCACCACTGACCACATCCGCATCAATTACCTATAGCTATGCTCCTGCCCAACTCAACTCAACGAGATAGATTTACGCGTCCCATACCCCCTTACTAACCCCACCCGGTGGTCTCGCTACCGTGATCTCACCTTCGCCACCACTGACTTCCGACTGGGCATCTTCGTAGGACTGGGACAGAGTCCTTCCAGCCTCTGGTGCTGGGGAGGTGGTTTTCTGTAGAGGTACTTGTTCCCAATGTTCCTGCTGTTGTTCCTGTTGTTCCTGCTGCTTCTCCTGCTGCTGTTCCTGTCTCTGTTGCTGCTGTTGCTCTCCATGAAAATCCGTCGGCATCACTCGCACCTTCCCACCACTCTCCCTAACCGACGATGACGACGATGACGACGACGGGACCTCAATCTCAGCATGTCTCTCCTCCTCTCTTGCCGCCTCGAGCTCCGCCCGGGGGATGGAGACGACTTCGACTTGTCGGACCAGAAGAATTCCTGTGCGAGGGAGCTCGACTTCAGCATTCCCAGAGGCGGAGGAAGAGACGGAGGAAGATGAAGAGTCGAGGTCAGCGGGGTCGTTTTCAATGTTTTCTTTATCACTGACGCCACCGCATGGTGACGACGACGACGAAGATGTGGATGGTCGAGATGAACCGGCTGAGTCCGCGGAGCTGGCCGAGGAGGAGGAAGAGAGGGAAGCGGTCGAGACGGTTGAGTGTCTGTTGGAGGTTCCGCTTCCGCTGCCGCTGCCGCCTGGACCAACGTTGTTGTTGTTGTTGTTGTTGTTCGAAACCTGGGCGTGGTGATTAACAGCGGCCTCCTGTCCATGTGTTTGTGTCTGTGTCTGCGTCTGTGAAGTATCCTCGGCGAGCATAAAGACGGGGTATCGCTGTCCGTCGGGCTCGTTACAGTAGGTCACAGCCACGGCTTGCTCCCATCTTGCTGCCTCCGAATCGGTGGATGTTTCTCCATCTTGCGACTGCGACTGCTGGTGCGTCTCTTTCTCCAATTGCTGCTGCTGCTGCTCACAGGCTCGGTTTTTATTGCTATTGTTGTTGTCTGTGCTGATGGAAGAGGAAGGCGCACAGTCATAGGTACCGTTGCTGTTGTTGTGGTGCTCTTCCACCACCGCTTCTTTTCCATTGCTGTTATCATCTGTGTCGGTACCAGTGGACTTTGTCGAAGCTGGCTTTGACGGGACGGGCGAATGAGCGGCACCTCCACCACTACCACCACTACCGAAGATCCTGGGAAGTCTCTCGCTGTTACGTCCGGTTGCGACTGTATCGGGAGCGGCGGTTCTACCACCATGGTGGTGGTTGTTATCGTTATGCGGATTCGAGACAACAGCCGTGACAGGCGCCGGCGCCGTCACCGTCTGCCCCGGCTTTGCATTGGTAAACATAACAGGCGGCACCTTTGCGCCGCGCAAGACGAACTTGGACTCGAGGATCTTATCCATGCTATGGCGCTGGATGAATAGGCTGCAGATCAGCGCGGCCACACCGGCGCCGGTGATGGTCCAGTAGACGCCGTGGAAGCCGGCAACGTACGCGTCAAGGGCGCCGATGCGCACGGGATCTTTGGGGTCCATGGCTGCCATCTGGCGGACGAACTGCTCCGAATTGTGGGCGATCTCGATGGGCAGGCCGAGCTCCCCCAGCCGCTTGACCATGACGTTCTGGAACACGGTCCCGCCGATGGCGACGCCGAGCGACATGCCGAGCGTGCGCATAAAGGCGTACATGGCCGCGGCGCTGCCGGCGTCCTCGACCCGGCTGATGGCTTGGATGCCGACGTTGACGCTGGTCAGGAGCATGCCGTGGCCGATGCCGAAGATGGCGAGGATCACGGCCCAGATGGCCGTCTTGGTGTCTTGCCTCAGGTAGTGGAGCAGACCACAACCAATGGTGGCGAGCACCCAGCCGCTCCAGATGGACCAGCGGAAGCGTCCCAGGCGGGACGTCATGAGAGAGATAATGATCGATCCTGGAAGGAGAAGGCAGGTGACAGGGAAGATATTGAGGCCGGATTGGGTGGGCGAGGTGAAGCGAACGGCAGTGAAGTAGAAGGGCACGTAGTAGAGGGCGCAGAACAGGATGAGACCTTGGAACAGGGCACAGCCGTAGGCAGCGATGGCGGAGCGCGAGCGGAAGAGTGATGCGCGAAGGAAGGGTTCACGGGCGCCGTACCTCTCCCAGACGATAGAGGCGAGGACGCTGACACCGCCAACGGTCATAGGCACGATGGTCTGCACACTGCGCCACTCAAACTGGATACCAGCCCAGGACATACCGACCAGAAAGCTGGTCAGTCCTCCGATGAAGAGGAAGCCTCCGAGCCAGTCGACTCTGGTCAGCTTGGAGCCCAGAGAGGTTTTCTTGGTGGTGAGTTTGACAAAGGCGGGCACAAGAAGCAAGCCCATGGCGCAAAAGGGGAACTATATTGTTGTTGTTATTAGCGATTATAGTCCCCTACTAACTTCGAGAAGCCGCAAACTCACGTTCAGATAAAAGCACCACCTCCAAATCGCATGTTCAACAAAGAGTCCTCCAATCAACGGTCCCAGCACGCTCCCCAGCGCCCACGCTGCCAGCACGATAGCAAAATACTTTGGCCGCTGCCTCAGCGGCACGATGTCCGCAAAGATGACCTGGCCCATGGTGATGATCCCACCACCCCCAATTCCCTGCACCGATCTGCCAGCAAAGAACACTGCAAAGCCCTTCGCAATGGGTGCGCACAGAGCCGTGCCCAGAGTGAAGAGCAGGACACTCGCAAAGAGCATCTCCTTGCGCCCAAAAATGTCCGACAACGCCGCGATAAAGGGTTGGCACACGGCGCATGTAAGCAGGTAAGATGTTCCCGCCCAGAAGGCGTCGGTCGATGTTCCCCCAAAGTCTTCAGCCAGGGTGGGCAAAACAGACACGAGGATGGTGGCGTCGAGCGCGACCATAAGACTGATGACAGCCATGGTGATCATGACTGCCAGCTCCTGCTTGCCGGGTTTCCAGTCCTCGAACGAGGGTATGTTTTCTTCGAGCTTGGAGGGATCAAGGACGCGGACCAAGACCTCCTCATCATCGTCGGTTGAAGAAGAGTTTCCCGTGCGTGGTGGTTGGCGAGTATGGTGGTGCTGGTTGATCATTGGGACGGGTTCTGAGTAAGAGCGATGGGGTCCCGGCGGATGGTGGGCGGCTATTAGGGGCGGCAACGGAGGAAGGACGTCGATAGGCGACCCACTGCCGCGCTTTTCCGGGTTATTTTGATGGTGGGTTGGCTCTTCATGTTGTTCGGCCATCGGTGCTGGTTTTTCCTCGCTTTAAAAACGAAAGATTGGATGCGGAGCCAGGTCAGCTCTAGCTGGATGCGGATATCTCCCAGGAGTAACACGAGGGCGTTATGTAATTGAACTGTCGAGACAAATGGACCGGATGTTTCGTGGGATATGGAAATTCCTCGGGGTCTGATCTTGCCTAGCAACGATGGAAAACCAGGGAAGGAGACCACTGGCAGTGGGAAAAAAAACTCTATGAGTCCGTGAAGAGAGGAATGGAGGATAACGGAAGGAAGAGTAGGGTTTAAGATTTGAGTTTGCCGGATGATATCGAGCTTTCAATAACTCATCGTTGACAGGATTGATGACGCTCGAAATAATCAAGCAACCGTAGAACAACAAACAGAGGCCACTCAGAGTAGGACGACTGGCCAATCTAAGTGAAACCCGCTATCGTTGAGCCACATTGAGTGTGTAAACCATGACGTCTCAGTGAGATGACTAGCCTCAATGATCGTGGTATGGGCTGGTTCTTTTCGTCTTCTTCTCTCATCACTGGATGATGAACGAACAGCATGCAAGGTGAGGTGGACTGAGGTAAGGTGAAACTAGTGAGGCGGAGATAGACTCGTCGACCAAAAGGGTCAAAGGTCCGTTAAGACAGCTCTCCTCCCCTCCTTCCCGATCCCTCGGCTCCTCCGTCCATCGTGCTGGGGCGGCTCTGTGGAAAACTCATAATGATATCCTGGGTGGGCCCTCTGGATTCGAGATGGATCTAGATCAAGAAATCCCGGGTGAACACTCCCGACGACAGTTGATGGGGAATAACGACGGGATTACCGTCACTGAGCTGAGAGATGCATTAGCCTGCTGTACCAGAAAAAGGAAAGTGGTGGCATGCGTACATGAGCAATGTGAGTTGTGCTTTAGACTTGAAGGCTCGGCTATGTAGGGAGCTAGGCAGGTACCTAGGCAGGTTAAGAAGCGCGGTAGAAAAACAAGCGGACCAGTTTGTTAGCTCTTAACCACTTGAGCTGTGGCTGGCTACCTAGACATCTCGAAAATAGCGAAAGCGAGCCAGGCAGCCGGCAAGTGGGTGTTGGGGCCGTAAGCCTCGATCCGTCCACTTGGGAATGTTTGCTCTCATTTTCATGGTGTTTCATATGATTGGCGCAATAAAGACCGTTGGCGTCCCTCATGGCTTGCGTCGATGGGCTGGGTCGTTGTTTTAGGGCTGAGCTGAGATGAGGCGGTCTGGTACCAGACTACCAGATGGCGTCTCGTTTGCCCGGTGATGTGGCGGCGGAAGCGGTACCGACCCAACATGGCTGCTGCCGATGAACCGGCGAGGTTCTTCGCTGGCCGTTCATGTTCACATGGGGCAGCCATAGATACGAAAACTGCGGCTCAACTAACAACTGTAATCTGGGGCCGTCGCTATTGGCCGCCATCAAGCCAAGCAGGCTGGCTGTGCTATGCAGCAGCATTTGGAAGTGGGAATGCATCCGGGCATCTTGACATGTGCAGAAAGCGCAGAAACCGAGGGGATGCACATTTTGCCTTGGACCGGAGCGGATGAGTGAGACCGAGTGTAATGCTGTGGACTTTGTGAGGTTTAAAATGATGTATCATTATCGAAAAGACTCTGGGTCTGGATATAAGCTTTGCGCGTTATCCTGTTATCTCGTCCTCCAGTGGTTGGCGACGACATGATGTTGGTTGGCGGTCGCTTACTGAGACCCGACGACTGTCGACCATGTCAGCGTGCAATGGTGGGAATGTTGACGAAGAAGGCTGGTTCCGGAGTCGGCTTTCAACATTGTTGCGAAATCTGGGGGCAATATCCCGCGGGACGCAGACAACAGAACTTGGTGATGGAAAAAAAGCGGCCTAATGCGGCCATGTCGTCACGTCGTGTTGGTGTTTGGTTTGAGGTTGAGCAGTTTGACCGAGGTGACGCTGTGACCCAATGTGCAATCACTTTCTTGCGTCCGAGTTGATACATTTTGACCGACACTCTGAGCCGTCCGAGACCTGTTTCTGATGGGTTGGGATTGACACCCGTCTGACGTATTCAGTAACTGATAATTGTCGAAGCTTTCCCGTCAAAATAAAGCTTGAATCACGGGATGACAATAACACCTCTTTGCCTCAGGAGGGAAAGAGTTCGGCCTTCTTCGAGGAGTTCTGTTGGAACGGCTGTGCTTTTTTGTACTGTACCAAGCTGCCCAGACAAACAAACCAAGGCTGAAACTGTATCACCGAGAGGAAGGAGGTTCAAACAAAAACAAATAAGCAAGCAGCCTGCATTGAAATGCTAACCCTCACATAGACACCAAACGCTTTTCTAACTTAACTGTAGAAATCATCATCACAACACTCACAACCCCCCAACAACCCCCTCCACCACATCCCCCAACATCCTCAACCCATAATACCTCGCCACATTCCTATACACCTTCAGCCGTCTCATCACCTCCTCCCGCTTGACCAGCTCCCTCCACTCGCCCGAGCACGTGCAATGCTCCATGAACTCGTTCACCCTCAGCGCGCCGCACCTGCCGCACTTGAGGTCCTGCGTCGTCCACTCCACCACCATGGCCTCCACCTCTGCCACCAGCCTCTCCTCGATCTCGTTGCGGTCGTAGTCCATTTCGCAGTAGGGGCACTTCCACCTTCCTTTTTCTTGTCCTTGTCCTTGTCCTTGCTGTCCTCCGTCCAACTCCGCCGCTCCTCCTCCTCCTCCTCCTAGGGCGTCCGATGCAGCAGCAGCAGCAGAAGAACCCATGAAATCCTCGTCCCGACAGAGATCAATGTCCCTAGCCATGGTGCAATTGTCGCAACTAAACTGCGCCAACCGCAGGCTCTCAGACGGGTTCTGGAACGCGCCGTCCTTGCTGAACTCGCGCACGTCGAACATGGCCAGGAGTTCCTTGCGCAGCAGCCGCGCTTCGAGCGTGATGTTCTTGTCTAGTGACAGGACCTGCATCAGGGCCTTGACGAGCTCGAGGACCGGGTTGGCCGACGCCGCTACTTTCTTTCCTCCTCCTGCCGCGTTCTTGGTCATCGACGACTTGGACGTGGACGAGGAAAGGTGAGACAGGTGAGACCCCGGCAGTTGCGGGAAGGTGTAGTCGCCTGCCAGCTCGGGATGCAGGAGCTCGCGATTTTGGGTGTTGATGAGGTTGGCAATTTCCTTCTTGAGCGGCTTTTCAAAAGCTTTGCCGAGGATGATCTGCCCGACGGCACCGTCCTCACCTCCCCGCATGTTGACAGGTAGTTGCGTAAGGCGCGGCGTGGCGGTAGGGTCGCTGCCGAAGGACGGTCGCTTGATGCCGTGCATGAGCTGGATGAACTCGACGACCCAGTCGCGGAAGATGGGCTGCAGGCGGACGGGGAGGAAGGTGGCCATTTGCCAGTGCATGATCATCTGCAGGTCTTGCTCGTCCTGCTCGAGGACTTCTTGTGTTGCTTTGCCGCCGTAGTTGAACTCGTCGTACCAGACCAGGTAATCCCAATACTCCTTGATTTCAAGATCGATAAAGTGGAAGAGCGGTTTTCCCTTGATGCTCTTGAGGATGTACTGGGCATAGGCATAAGCATTGCCCACCTCGGACTTGGTGGTCTGAAGCAGAAGTCTGTTGGAGCTGGCAAAGATGACGTGTGATCCCACGCGGCGGAAATCGGCCATGAGCTGGAGGAGCGCCTTGCGGCTCATCATCTGGACGTAGTAGTGCAAAGCACGGTCGTAAAGGCACGAGGCTGGCGATTCAACCCAACGGACCAAGTGCTGGACCATCACGTCGGCCATGGTAGATCCCTTGCAAGCTTCCGCCCACCATGACTTGACCATTTCGCGAAGGACCTGCACGCCAGCATTGGCGAAGGCGTTCTCCGAATAGAGAAACTCTTCGCCGTCTCCATTACCGTTCGAATCCGCTGCGGGATTGAACGAAATGCTGTCCGCACCTTCCAGCTCATTGATGAGCGAAGAAGTGAGAATGGTGTTGATGGCCAAGTTCCGCACCTCCAGATCTATACACACCGAGGCATAGGTACCGGGGTTGTTCACAGATGGCATCTGAACCTGATCGAGCGGGCCAACCACGTCGTCTTTCTCGTATCCGGCATGATCGGGGCGCGGACTCGGTGACCACCAGAGCACGACATTGTTGGCCATGAGCCGGCGAGCATAGGCGATGTCAATCAGGAAGCGGGGATCGTCGCGCTCAAGGTTGCATAGCGGTACGTCGCCGTACCGAGCAAGAGCCGTCATATGAGTGATCCAGGAACCCAGGCTGAGGTAGTGGTTGACCAACCGACGAGCCACCACACTCTGCCAACCCAATGGGGGCAGCGAGCTGTCTCCTTGATCGTAGCGCAATGGCATCACGGGGAACTCTCCCAAGATGGGGATCTCGTGAACCAGGAGGTTGCGTTGCGAGGATTGGATGACCACCATAGTCGGTCCAGACTCTTCCTTTCTCAGTTTCTTGACAATATCACCAACCTCAAGGAAGGCTTTCCGACGGGTGGTGACTTGGGTGATCTTGATGTTCAGCTTCTCCTGGTACGGGAAGCACTCTTGCCAATCCGCCCCGGCAGCCTCCTGATTCCTTCTGGCCAACATGTCGGCATAGAGCTTGTTGATGTTGGGCAGGTCTTGCCCTCCATCCTTGGTCCTCTGCTGGATAATGACATGGGCTTGGTCGCTGGTGGTGGAGAAAAGACCAAAGATCTGACGCTCACCAGCACTAATGTGGGACAGATAGATGTAGGCCATACGGGCGCCGCCCAGGTACTCCCTCGGCTTGAGTGGCCTCTTCAACCCGGACAGGTCGAATCCTTGGTCGAGACCTTTTCCAAGCACGCCGGCTTGGCTATCGTCAATTGTGCAGAGATTTCCAAGTTGGAGAAGGGCGCGCATGTTGAGCGGTAGTTGTTTCTCATACACGCCTTCCACGCTGGGATGGTTGAACAGCAGAGAGAATTTTTCTGCTTCCGCAAAGTATATGTCCTCCGGCACCGTAAGCTTGAAAAGATGCACAGAAGAATGGCCATTAGGCAGCGTATGGTTGACCTGTTCAACATGGCAACCCTCAACTTCAATATCCGGCAGATCCCTACTCTTCAAGTTCAAGAAGACTTGCCGGGGCACATTAATCTTGAGAGTATGGATCTTGGCATCAATCAGCACATGAGCGGTGACAATGCCCGGACTGTCTGATGCTCTCAGCTGAAGCAGCTGCCAGGTGTTTCGGAATGTCATCTCAGCCTGACTGCGGAACGTCTGCTGGATATTGCTCTGGACATTGCCGCGCTTTTCACCGAACAGATGTCGTCTACGAGCCCGTGCCTGCTTTTGGAGCTTCCACTTTTGCTTCTGGTACTCCAAGAAAGCCGCGTAGTCCTCACTGGGCGACGGCATCTTCGGAGGAAGCGCCGCGAACGGGTCCAGATTCTCGGCTGCTGCTGGCTCGGGATCCTTGCGTTTCTGGGCCGACGCCGTTTTCTGCGTGGCAGAAATGGCATCACTGACAGTCTTGGGCTTGAGCAAGTTTCCAAAGTCCTCCATATCTCCTAGTTGGGTGCTGTTCGCATGGTGGGTAATATCTTGCAAGGGGCCTTTGGTGGTAGGACCAAACAAGTCGGTGAGCTTCTTTTGCTTCATCTTATCCTCCTTGATATTGATCCTTCGCTGCAGCCAGTCCGGATGCGGCACGCGCGGTACCGGGTTGCGGACCTTTTGCAGAGCGGCTGGGATGGTGATGAGCTTCTGGATGACGGAACCGAGACGTTCGAGGTAGTAGTCCCAGTCAAGGAGTGCTCGAGGGTCGGTATCAGCAGGCTCCTCCTTGAGCCACTTTTTGAGATACATCCTCTTCGTTTCCTCCTCGGCCGAGAAGATGGCAACGGGCACGGCTCGTTCGGTAACCGGGGCATTCTTCGGTCGAGCGCAAATGATAAACTTGCAGTTCAAGCCCTTGTCTTTGACCATCTGCTCGCCTAAAAAGTCCGCGAGACGCCTGGCAGTAGTGATGGATGTTGACTTTTGGCTTCCGTATTCCTCCAGCGTCTTGCTCATGCTGCGGTTCTCCGAAATCAGTTCCATGAGTTCTTCGTCCGCAAGCGTTGCACCCTTGCTATGGAGTACATCAAGCCAGCGGTTCGCAACCTTGGCGACAGCAGTATAGCATTCCGCCAGGGTGGTACCCTCCAGGAAAAACTTGAAGATCTGCTGCTGGAAGATCTTGATGAGCTTCAACTCGCCTCTTCGCTTCACTTCAAAACCCTTGAGCTCAGCAAGACTACCATCATCATTGAAGACGGCATATCTCTTCTTCAAGTTCTTATCTTCTTCCTTCGAGGTAGGTAGAACCATGCATTTGTACGGTCCATCGACCTCGAAGAAGATGGAGTTGTCGCTGTGCGTTTCGTACTTGAAGGTCTTCGGATCGACCAAGTCTTGATACTGGTGGTTGGTAAACTTGTCATGGACCAGATGGTTCAACATGACACAAGGGTAGGAGATGGTCATCTTCTTGCCGTTCTTGAGCTTGAACACAAAGTTTTCTGGGAATGTTGCCGGCAACATGCACCAGATACCATCAGTGTCCAGCTCGAGTGGACGACCCAGTCGGTCAATTAGCTGTCTCGCCAACTGAATAATGGTCGCGCCCGTTAAACAAGTGACACCGGCCATCTCCATCGAGTACCATCTAGATCCCTTTCTCATGACGTATCCGTAGAAAGAGTTGAGAATGACCTTGTGAGCCAGCTGCAGAGAATCGAACAAGATGATCATCTTCTTGGCATTGTCGACCTCGGACGCGGATGCCCCCGCGGTCTTGAGTGCATCCGTCTTGCCCTTCCACACCTTCGCCTTGCCCTTGTAGTCGTATCGACGGTCACGGAAGTCACGGACCGTATTGATGTAAAAGGGGTTCTCGCGCTGGCAGATAATGGCTTCTCTCACAATCGTGGTGGAATCGTGGATCTTGTGATACACCTTTTGTGAGTAGAGCTGCAATCTCTTTCGGATGAGAGTTGCTTGTTCGTCTGCACTCAGGTCTTGGAATGACCGCATCGGGCTGTTTGGGTATTTCCCTGGAAACCTCTCGTTCTCAAGGGCATGGCGAATCATGTTGTATTCGTCGCGCTTGGCTGGCAGGTACTCTCCTCTCCATGCCCACGGTAGTCTTCTGTCACAGGTCTTCCCTGGGCGGTTGAAGTCGCATGCTGCACAATTTGACTCGGAGATCATGGAATCGGGTTGTAATCGGTTGGTTGTCATGATGTTGGGGTACATGGAGGCGACATCAAGATGGTAGATGAGAGGCCGTTCCAATCGATTGGGAGTCTCCTTGAGGTTCACCAACCTGGCCGTTATTTGCTTCTTGACCTCGTCGTAATTGGTGATGTCGCTCAACTCCTTCTTCTCTTCAACCGTGATGCTGAATGTTAGGGCTGCATCAAGTCCCGAATCAGCTCGTCTACGGCCGTCGGATCAACCGCAAAGTTGACGGGAATATCGGCGCGGAAGACGCCGGCTTCGATACTTTCGACGTGACCGCCAACATACGTTTCAGAGTCCAACAGGTGTCCTTCCCAGAAGGACTCTTTAGGTTGAACATGTTTGTTGGGTAACACAATCTCCTTTTGGTAAGCCTGTACCATTAGCAACATCTCGCATAGCGTACCCGTTCCCTTTCTTAGTGTATCGTCTGGACCTAGAGGCAAGATGGTACAAAGAGAGAAGATGAAGGGATGCACATATTTCATGTACAGATAGTATGTGGCAACGGCATCGGAGACGGAGTATTCAGCCAGCGTTTGCGGCCTCTCGCTCGCATACGGCGTCATGAGCTCGGGGTCGAGTTCGTCGGGGTCGTATCCAAGCTTGGCAACAGTGACGGCCTTGAGACCTCTACTACCCTGGGGTAGGTAACTGTCACGATTCACCCAGTGGAAGCAGTCCATGTGAACACTGTAGTTGCACTTGTACTGATCCTCGCTATCCTTCTTCCAGCCAATCTCGTGGTACATGTCGATACCATTGATACTGGCACGAGCCTCCACGAAAGGCCAATCGAAGAAGTCACCGTTGTAGGTGGCGATGACGGTCGGCCGGGCCTCCTTGATGTGCAGGAAGAATCTCTCGATAAGGGCCTTTTCGTCCGGTTCGTTGAAGATCATAAACGGACCTTGATATTCGGGTTTTGGTGTATAGTCGAAATCAGAAATGTCTTCGGAGATAATTTCTCTATTCGTGATTAGGAAACCCTGGCCGTCGATCATGTATGAGACCATCATAATTTGGTCGATAGCGGCGTCGGGAAACTTGAGTGGCAGCTTGGTGGTCTCGATATCGTACGCCATCACGACAGGGTCGGCCATGGCCAAACGCTCCTCGTTTACTTTTATTGTCGTGACTCCATTCTTGGCCTCGACATGGTACCATCTAGCAACTCGTATGTCTGTTGTGGACGGTCAGTCGAGCACAGGGTAGGATTATTGTGGAAAGGAGAAAACTGACCCAAGTCTATCATTACTCTCACATGGTATGGGACGTCGTATTCCCGGATATCAACAATGAAATCGCTTGCCTCTGCAAAACCAGCATTATGTCGTCGCTCGTCATTTCGTGAATCGTCATCAAAAAGATCAAACCCGCCGTTCGCTCTACTTGGGGGTTATATGTGTCAGCAGCAGTGGTCAGCCTGTACATGAGAAGAGGTGCTACCCACGATGCGACTTCGGCATATGTATCCATTGCATCCATGCCCTCTTTGTTCTTTTCCGCAATGGGCATGACATCGCGCTTGGCGGACATCAAGTCCTGCACGTTATGAAACCTCAGCTCCAAGAATGTGCGGCGATAGCCCAGCAGGTGGTTGGGCATCTTGAGATCTTCCTTCTCGACCCTCCGGATGGACTTGACGCAGCCGCCACCGGGCACTCTCTTGCACCATTCCTCCACCTCGCCTTCGTGACCTTTTCGACATGCGACCAGGAAGTATGGCTCGTATTCGACAGTGGCTTTGAATGTTGACCCGTCCTCTTCGATGAAGTAGCAGTCGAGTGCCGCGCGGCCGCCGCCGCCTGGGATTCGGGGATCGTCGATTGCTGTCGCTTGTACGTTGACCAGCCAGCCTTCGCGTTTCTTTCCGGCATCGTATCGGGCGAAGCCCATGTTTTCGTCGATCTGGTTCGCAAGGGCTGTCTTTCCCATCTTTCGTCTATCGAGGTAGCCTCGCCGCGCACGCTGGCCGAGGCGGCGAAGGTTCGTGTCTTGGATCCGCCATGGTAGGCGTTCTTGCCACCACGACGGTAGCCCTTTTGAGGCTGCCGCCGTAGAGAAGTGTTGGGCATATTGGAAGAATCGGTTGGCCTTCGCGTAGACCTCGAGGAGTTCGTCTTTGGTGTTTTCGTCCGCCCTTCGTCTTTTTCGTCCTGTTCGTAGACTCTCTTTTCGTCGCAAATGGAAAATTTGGGAATTCGAAGGAGTGACGAAAAACAGTGCTATGTCTTTTCACAAGTAAGTTGACATGGAGGGCCAGCCAAAGTTCGAGTTATGGCGGGGCTGGTATAGGGTCCCTTTGGAGTTGCGAGGGAAGATAAAAGACAAAGAGGCCGGGATGCGAAGAGGTACGGAGTTACCCGTTGTTGCTGTCAATGTTTGGAAAGTCTCAACCACTGGAACCCATTAAAGTCGTTTAACTGCCCTGGGAGACGCGCCAGACGCGACTGGCCGGCCTGTCCAATTTGACGCGACAGGCGCTAAACACACGCGTACCCCACCAGTCAAGCTGATCGTTTCAGGGCACTCACAGGGTGTCAAAGCGCTGAACAGGGGTGCCGTCGGAACGGTGGGGAAGTGGGCTGCCGGCAGACACCCGGACGCGGCCCCCACCATGCACGAAACCAAGCGGATCGGAAAGAAAGCTTGGACCTTGTCTTGTCCAGTTCCGTTGTATCGCCGAGTCAAAGCTCCGTCATGACATCAAGCTGGTCCCGTAGCCGGCTCCGAATTTGAAGGCTCGATATCTGATCTAGCAACTGTGATCCAAACTGGAAGTATTCCAGACGAGAAGCTCTGATGGCAGTTGAAAGCTGAATCTCTAGCAGTACATGTTCCCCGTGTTAGTGCGTAGAAGTACCTGCATCTTCCCCGTACTGTAGGTAATCCCGCAAGGTCCCCACCGAGAAAAAAAAGCTCCCCGCGACACGCCCGGCCGCCGAGCGAAGACAAGAGAACGTCAACGAGCTTGTCTCCATTGGACAATTCCACTTTCTTGCTTCCCAGTTTCAACACTTCAGCATCCCAAACTCACCACTTCGCAACTTCACCATCTTTTGCCATTGCAATCCACCCAACTCTCAAGCTTCCAAACCCCAAGATTGCGACAAGCGCATAACAGCAACTTCCACACACACGAATCCATACATACACATCAAACTTGCGCATTTCCGAAAGACAATCGCAAAACCGCAACCATGTCGCGCGACCAAACACCAACAACACCAACAACTCCCGATGCCGCCCGCTCCTGGCTAAGCGGCGGCTCAGCTCCCTCCGCGCCGTCCCAAGATCTCACTCCCCCAACCGGTCAACAACCACCAGCACAATCGATCACCAACAACGCAGTACCAGAAAGTCAACAACCCAAAAAACAACACACCAACAGCACCTACATCCCCATCTCCACTGCCCTCTCGTCCATAAAACCCGAAGACTTCCTTTCGGTGCACGAAACCCCGTGCGCGCGGCAGGGGTTCATGACCGGCATCGGCTCCGGCGCGTCCATCGGCGTTCTGCGGTGGATCATGGGCCTGCCGATCCCCAAGGCGGCCAACTGGGGCGTGGGGTGCGGGATCGTGGGCGCGATGGCGCAGTACGAGTACTGCCAGTGGCAGCGGCGCAAGGAGAAGGAGAAGATGCAGCGGGTGGTGGCGGTTTACACGAAGAAGCAGGCGGAGAGTAGAGCGAAGGAGGCGAAGGAGGCTAGGGAGAGGAGGGAGAAGGCAGCAGAGCTGGAAGGGAAGGGGGAGGAGGGAGGAGGAGGACAGAGGAAGAAGAGTTGGTATAAGTTTTGGTGATGATGAAGTGGGGCTGTGGGAAGGGGCTGTGATGTGGTATGGTTTGGTTTGGGGCTGAGACACAGATGGAGGAAGGCATACCATAGAGCATAGGAAGCGGGATGTAGGAGTAGGATGTGATGTGTATGGACATACTATATACCCGGTCAGTTCTGGGGCGTTTGGATACCTACGTACGTACAATGGAAGCATGGTTAAGGCGCACTACGGCAGCGAGTTCAGCATGTAATCATTCATTCATTCATTCATTCTCGGGGCCGAGTCAGGGACAATGGCGTGATACCGCGGTTTCGAGGTAATGTTAAGCAATGATATTAAGCAAGGGAAGTAAGCGCCTCTAAAGTGCTCTATGCTCGAGGCGCCTCAGTTCTGCAAAAAAAACGAGAGCAGAGAGATCCATGTGCGAATCTGTCCTTCTTCAACCAGTCGAACTCCATGCTTAAGTCCAATTTCCCATAATCCCGTCTGCCAGCAATTTGCAAACTGCCGGCGTCTTATCGTATCCGATCCAATCCCCCTCATCCAAACGCCAAACTTGCCAATGAAATACTTCAAGCCATTCAAGCCGTTCATCCCAATCGAGAGGATAGCATAAAGTTGCTTGCCAGACAAACAGGGGCCGAAAGGGCCGATACCTGCCAACCATTAAGCCTCAGCCACAGCAGGGTCAGCGCCAGCGCCAGCCATGCCAGAGACGCTTGTATCACCATCATCATCGCCGCCATCACCCACACCCGTGCCTCCAAAAACCTCCATCGCAGCTGCCGTCTCAGTCTGCGTCACAGTCGGTGTCACACTCTCCATCATCGTGACCGACGGCGGCGGCAACTCAACCACCGTCTTCATCGCCGTCTCCATGAACCTGACCCTTCTCTTCTCGGCCTTCAGCTTGCCCTTAGCAGTCGCAATGACATCTTTGCCCTTGGGTCCGCCACCATCAGTGCCGCTCCCCACGAGTCCGTCAGCACCCGCTCTTCGCTCCTTCCTCCTGGCGCGAGCCTCGCCCATCTCGCGCTTGCGATACTCGGCTAGCTGCTTCTTGCGCTTCATTCTGCGCGCGTGTTCCATCTCCGGGGTGGGTTTGAAACCGATGCCGTTGATACCGGTACCGTCGTCGTCGCTGTCGTCCGGGTCGTAGATCGTGATTTCTGAATCTTGCCACGTGAGGCTGGCGCGGAGGGGGTCGGTTATGGTGGGTGAGGTGGGGGAGGATGTCGAGGTGGATGCGGCCGGTTGAGGCTGGAGGGGCGGTGTTTTCGATTTGCGAGACATCTTGGCTGCGGCCGCTCCTGACAACGACGACGGCGGAGCCATACTGATGTTGGCCGGTTTCGACGCTAAAGGTCTCTGGGTTGGTGTAGAATTGAAGTTGGCGACCCCTTTGGTGATTTGGGAGAGGGGAGAGGATGACGGTATTTGGAGGGCGCTGTTTGGTGTTTGGGTATTCCTTGTATCGCTTGTTGCGCCCATGCTGTCTCTGATTTTGGAATGTTGTTCTCCGGTGGGGTCCACGTTGAACTGAACACCCTTGGGCGCCAGTCGCCGCTTCGGAAACGGCCCATCTGGAGTGATGATAGAGCCTGACTGTTGAGTGATCGGAGTGGACGGTGGCGGCATTGAAGAACTCGGAGTCGATCCGGTAGCTTCAAAGGGTGTCCTGCCATTGTTCGTCGAAGCGGGGGGCCGCATTGGGGTTTCGGCGACACCCGTCATATCAATGTCTCGATCGGGGAGCTTGACTCGTTTCCGGGGGCCGTCTGGTCGCCCATGATCCTCATCGAATTCCTGCATGTCTTGCGACCGTGACACGCGTGGAAATGGGTAGCCAAAGTGTTGATGCTGGGTTTGCGACGATGTTTGTTGTGGTTGTGACAGGGACGGTTGCGACGCTGTCAATGTTGATGTTCGTGCGGGCGCAATGCCTCCACCCAAGACCCCACCAGGAGAGGTACCGCCGAGACCCCCGCCATTAAGGAAAAGGTGTTGTAGCCTGTGTGCTACCGTGGTCCGCGGACTCTTGCTGCCGTCCTCGGCATCTGTGAATGATCTGATTTCGAATGTGAACTCCCCTGTCAAGCCTGTCAGAGCCCTGGTCTGGTTGAGGTTGGGGATGGTCGGCTCGAAAGGCAATGGACGTTTGCGCTTGGGGGTCGTAAGGGAAGACGGGGCTTCCATGCTTGCTGGGGTCGTAAGCTATGGTACTGTAGGCACTCGATACCGGGTGTGGATTGAAGCCTGGCTCTCTTGAAGTAATAAAGATGATGTGGTGTTGCGACTGCAGTTGCTCTCTTCACCTTGTACACCAGGACGGCGTCTCTGTAGTGAGCTGCAGGGTACGTTGCCCGTGGGTGGGCGATAAGGATGATGCAGGATGCAAGGCGGATTGATACCTCTATGCCTAGTGGCGGCGATGATGCATGGCGTAGAGGAAGAGATCCGAATGTGTGGTCAAGAAAAGCGACAAGAGCCAGTTCTTGAAGCAATGGATAAGTTGATACTGGAAGATTGTCGACTTGGTATTAATGCGAGTAGAGATGTACCGACGGAGGGTTATGTTGGTGAAGGTGGTTGTTGTTGACGTGCGCCCTTGCTGAGATGGTCAGTCGTAGAGGTCGGGTGGGTACTTGGCTAGCTGCTGTACCCTGTCTCGCCTGCTTGCTGAGCGACCGGTCAATTGTTGGCCGTAGTGCAAGTTGTTGGAAGAGAAAGTGGAATGGAACACAGGCTCAACCCATCGAACGAAGAGAGAGCGTCGAGGGAAGAATTAGAAGGAGGAGGAAGCAGAAAAGGTGCTTCCGGTCAGGAGAACCTGAACAAGCTTCGTGGTTCCCTTCGATCCGGCGGCCGTGGGTGTTGTCCATGACAGTCTGGCTCCTCCCCAATCGATCGATCAATGGACGGAACCTTGTGAGGTGACAGGGCCCTGGACCAACTGAGGTGACGGCGGGGAGTGACGGAGGGCTCCATAGCTGGCCCCGCAACGCGCCTCGTGGCAGCCCAGCCAGCTCGCCCAGTTGGGTTTCGCGGCCAAGGGTTCAATTATGGCAGCTCGGGCAGGCAAGGAGCAAGGGACCAGACCTCACGGCAAGGGCCATTTGCTTTCTCCTGTACAACCAATCTAAAGGCTTGCGTTTTTCTTTCTTCCATCTGCTTGGAAATCACCGAGAAGCTCTCGAGTCCTGTACATGTTCTTCGCCTTTTCGCCATCTTCGCCATAACTGCCTTGATACTGGTGGTGCAGCCTCAGAAAGCTGATTTTTTTTCTATTTGTACTACCTTGAAGGATTACCCAACCGCCTCAAATCAAGCCCGAGATTGACGTTGCTTGCGACGGCTACTGCCACATTTCTGCCAGGGCAGCCACTTTCTGCTATCTGATCACCAAAGACGTTTGGCAGGCCGAATCAGAAAACCAATAATCACGGTCAAACGGTTTAGCATGATGTTCACGGTTCACGCATCTTGAAAGGTGACATATTCTGATCAGTGGAAGTTGCCCTCTTCTGCTGCGTCATGTTTAATGATTTACTTCAGGTTCGTTCATCTTTGGAGACTAACGGTCCTAAGAAGCTTGATGTTGGTCAGTTGTGTCGTCAACGGAACGCAGAAATTTCTCTTTTGGGGCGATATTAGGAAAGTTGTGAATTATGAAGTGGGCGACACGAAAATATTGGCTACTGTTGGCTTTTAAAAACTTCCATTCAGAGCCTTGAGACATTCATATCCAGCAGGGGTTTGTTAATAATTCTGTTTAGGTTGTTGCTACACTTCTACCAGAAACATCAATATTAGGCTGGTTTGGCAGGGAACTTATCAGTGGCTAAAACATCTTACGTTGATATTCTTTCTGGTCTTCCACTATGAAAGCTCAGTACGCTTTCTCAAAAGTTTCGCACGTCAAATCTTTTCTCGGGGCGTTTCTTTGCTTCTGTCTTTCTTGAAGGGTGTTCGGAGACAGCTTACACTGAAATCCTCGACCTTCAATCACACTTATCAGATCCTCAAGGTAGCGAGATACAACAAGATAATCCCGTCGAACAAGACGATCAAGAATATTAAAGAACAAAAGAAGGAAAGAACAAAAACTAGTTGCTTTTCAATATTTCGTGTTCAACTTTCTCTTGACCTAGGACACTTTTGTGAATCCGATGAACCAGCAATCACACCGAGCAGTCGTCTTTGTAAAACATCAAATCAACCGAAACAGGAATTATTCACATTGTTCTGAAGGTGCAAGGTGCAATGTGCCCCGTCACAGTTGCAGCCATAGCTTTATGTGTTTCAGGTACATTTCAATAACAATAGTCAAAATTCGAGATAGTCGAGACTTTCCTCAGCCAGGAATCTGACCACGGATCGATGTTTGGACTGGCGAGGTGTTGACTTGGAGAAAAAAAGACGCCAACGTGCTTATATATGATTACACCTCTTCGGGAGACGTGATCTCACAACGGGAACAACATCATGTTCTTCTCACATAGTATACGGATATCTCCGAGCGGGGAAAATCCAAAGGACAACGTTCGATCTTCACCTCTTATAACCAAGTTCATGTATTACTCATGCCGACCATCTCTCCCTTTCTCTCCGTCGTTCATCTCCCGGCTGCTTCTATACCGTATCAAGTTTTATCCGGATGAGAGGTTGATAATGACGACCAAAGCCGTGCTCGAATTGAAGCAAGGCATCCTCCCACATCTGTAAGAACCACCATGGAGGCGACCTCACATCCCTCCTCGCTTCACTGTCAACGTGTGAAGTCGCTGTCAGTGTAAGTGACGTGATTGCCGAGAGCGTTCCTCCAGAGCTCTGTTCGTCTTTTGATCACCCACTGCTTTGAGCATAGATAGGCCGGTCATGATCAAGATTGATCTCGTGTCATGAGATGCATGGCTTGATCGCCACGAGGGACGTAGAGAGACTTGAGCATGCATGATATGGCTCTGACGGTGCAAGAAACCCGAGACCGCACAATGTGCCGAGTAATCAGAACGTCCTTGAGCTTCAACATATGCTCCCGTCCCCAGTTGTTCCATCGTCCAGCTTTCCCTTTAGACCCTGAGCAGAGCGGCACGAAAGGAGCCGAGCTCCATCAAGCCCTCCGTTACGCCAAATTCCTGATTGCATCATTCGATGGTTCCCTCCCTGGTGTATTCATCCACGTCGCCATGTCGCTGCTGTCGGTGTGCCTTGAACGTTCTGGTGAGATCAAGTTGCAAAGCGGCGTGGTCGAGAGGACGAGGAACCGAACATGGCCGTGCTGATACGAAACAGCAGTCGACGTCGAGAAGGACTGGTCGAAAGAAACAAGCCATGCCGGGCTGAGACAAGTGATATCGGTCGTAAAGTCCCTAGAATTAGTGAAGAGATCTCGAATATCAAAGGTAGACAGCAAGCAGGTGGCACAGGGACAAGTGTGTTGTTCATCAACAGGTGCTCATTATTGGTAGACTACTATTGGCCTGGTAACCCTTTTTGTTCGAAAGAACCCATGCCATTCCGATTCCGTTTTGTGTATCCGGTGGTTGCCAGTTCCTTTGCTCCTATGCAAAAAAGGGCCATGTTATGATATCATGTGCCTTTCGGCCTTGTGTTCAATCCATATACCCCCCAGAAAACCGGAATGCCGACCAACGCAGAAACGCCTGTTAACCCCGAAGCTGGTTTGTCGCAAGGAAGCTAGTAAGGTCGCCTAATTTAGGCGGTGGTCTTACCACCCTGGGTAGGGGTGACCTTCTTGCCGTCCTTGTTGTAGCGGACGCGCGGAGGAGGAGCGCGGTTGCGGCGACCGACGCGCGAGCGGACACTATAATCATCATGTCAGTTTGGGACGGGGGATACTTGTTTGTATAGAGTTTTGGCGGGAGCAGAGGTTCGACCAAGGTTCATCTCAGCCGCCCACGTCGCTTTGGAAGCGAACGTGGCTGTCCCCGCCGGGCGGACAAACGTACCGGACAATCTTGCCGTGAATGGCGCAAGAGACGCAGTACTGCAGCTTGAGGTACATCTTGGGAACCGTGTACTCAGCGAACACCGAGGCATCCGAGATATCACCTGTAGAGGGGCAGGACGTGGTCAGCAAATATTTCTTGATCAAACCGGTGGCATCGCCGTCGACGTACGGATGGCAGCGGACTCAACCATGTTGCGGATGGTGAATCTCTTGATGGCCTTGTCCTTGGGAGTGCATCGCGAGCAGTTGGAGCAGCGGATGGGCTTGACGTGGCCGCGGCCCTTCTTGTTGCGGCCGTTGTTCTTTCTCTTCTTGACCATCTTGGCGGTGTCTTGAGGATACGGTTCTCAAGATGTTGCTGTCGATTGGAAGGACGGAGAAGAGAAGTTCAAGATTTCGATAAAAGGCAGGACGTGCAAAAGTACGACGGGCGGAGCGTGCGCCAAGCTTGTGTGGGGCCCACAATTTGGCACCAATGGTCTGTGCACCACACAAGTGGGTGCTTGTGCTGCAAGTGCTGCAAGTGCTGGCCAGTGCCAGAGGGCTTCAACCCACGTGAATTGCCGCTTGGCCCCAGGGCTACCGCTCCCAGAAACCCTAAGGTCTGCTTGCTGTGTGCGAGCCGCCTGCCCAAGTCAGCTGACTCCGCTTTTGTGTGGGGCACGGTTGACAAAAGAAATCCGCCTTTCGCGGCCGCCTTCAAATCCCGACTTCTTTTTCTCCTCGTCAAGCACCTTCACACCGTCTACAGATTGCTGAGGAAGACATTGTGTCTAGGTACGTCTGCACGATGCTGTGATGAATCGTGGTGCTGTGCTCGGCTTCTACACCCATCTTTTTTTGATACCCCCCCCTTGTTGTTATTCACAAGTCGATATTTTCCATGATCGCTTTGCTGGGGATTTCTCCTGCGGGCGGGAGGAAGGGAAGATACACGATATTCACGCTTCGGCGCTTCCCATCACAATCCCACCCCCAGTCAAACACTTGCGCGTTTTAGCCGGGCGCAGCATCACGAGGAAATCGCAGAAATCGCATCTCCTCTCCCCTGCTGTGTCTCTGTCTCTCTAACACTTCCTTACCACTTCTCAGTAGGCAATCATGCAGATCTTCGTGAAGACCCTCACGGGCAAGACTATCACCCTCGAGGTGGAGTCTAGCGACACCATCGACAATGTCAAGCAGAAGATCCAGGACAAGGAGGGCATCCCCCCTGACCAGCAGCGCCTGATCTTCGCCGGCAAGCAGCTCGAGGATGGCCGCACCCTCTCCGACTACAACATCCAGAAGGAGAGCACCCTCCACTTGGTGCTTCGCCTCCGTGGTGGTGGCAAGAAGAGAAAAAAGAAGGTCTACACCACCCCCAAGAAGATCAAGCACAAGCGCAAAAAGACCAAACTCGCTGTGCTCAAGTACTACAAGGTCGACTCCGATGGCAAGATCGAGCGTCTTCGCCGCGAGTGCCCCAACGAGACCGTGAGTTACCACCTCATCTCTCAGCAATGTCCATCATTCGCTAACCCAACATCTACAGTGCGGTGCCGGTGTCTTCATGGCTGCCATGCAGGATCGTCAGTACTGCGGTCGCTGCCACCTCACCTACGTCTTCGAGAAGAGCTCTTAAATTGCTGGAAAGCTTAAGGGCATGATCCGGGACGGGGAATGACAATACCACATCTCGCTATGATTGGGACTACATGTATGGGCGTTTTGAGCGGACATCAGGTTACCTTTGACTGGCGAGGGAAAGCAAAAATGGGAATGGCATGACCGACTTGACCGAATACTTGTCTCTCCTCAATTCGATGCTGCATGTGATTGTGATTGTGTTCATTGGCATTGGCACTACTACAAGACCCGATCGCATACGCTACTCAGCATACCGACATCGACATCCACGACTACGATCTAATTCCCCGGAAAGCCTTCGCGCAAGTTGTCGTACTTGGTTTCCGGGTACTCGATGCAGTTCTCGTCCCAACGCAACGCCCCCACGCCGCCGAAACCCTCGACGACAGTACCAATCAAGCTATCCGGGCCTTCCTTATCAGCACTGCTCTCCCACCACATGCCACCGCCGAGGCCTCTTTCCCGGATATACTCGGCCTTCATCATGGCCATGCCAGGCGTATCGTAGCTCACCAGCGTCTTGGTGTCTGGTTGATAGCAATACGTGGCGCCAGACTCGTAATCAATGCGCTCCTCGGCTCCCTCCAACGGCAACTTCTTGTAGTCATGCACGCCGTTCTCCCACGTCCCTTCGCCCACACCACTATACGGCTGCCCCAGTCCCTCGGTGCCCTGGAACGCGCGCCCATACAGCGGCATGCCCAAGACAAGCTTATCAGGCGCCACGCCCGTCGACAGGTAATACTCGACGGCGCGCTGGGTGCTGAAGGGCGTAGCGGCCGGGTTGCTGTTGCAGTGGAACAGGTTGGCCTGGTGGCCCGATACCTGGTCCCACGAGCCCGCGTAGTCGTACGCCATCAGGTTCCAGAAGTCCAGGTACTGGTCCATGCCCGGGAGGTCCATCTTCTCGTAGTTCTGCGGGCCGGCGGGGCAGGCGACGCTCATCTCGAAGTGCGGGTTGCCGGGCACGGTGGAGGCGTAGTCGTCCAGGGCGGAGCGGCAGGCGGCCAGCAGGGAGACGAAGTCGGCGGCTTCTTCGGGGGTTTGAGGGTATTCCCAGTCGATGTCGAGGCCGTCGAAGCCGAGATTTTTGACCTTTTTGGGTTTGTAGTGTTAGTTTATACGTTTTCCCAGATGTAGTAGTGAGAGACGGGGAATCGGTTAATGGGTAATGAGGCACATAAGGAACCGAAGTTGAAGATGGACAGAAAAAGAACGTACAAGCTCAACAGCACTCTCAGCAAACTTTGCTCTCCCCTCTTCTTTACTGGCCGGCTCCTTGAAGTTGCTGCTGTACGTCCACCCGCCGATCGACAGCAGCACCTTGAGGTTGCGGTTGCGCCGCTTGAGCAGGTTCAGCTGCTTCAGGCACCCGTACAGGTTCGTGCCGCTGTCATTCCAGCTGTCGTTCTCCCAGTGGATGTCCGTGTCCGCCCACTGGTCCGTCAGGTAGACCTCGCCCGACTCGGGCCGCACGTTGGCGAACGAGTACAAAATGTGCGTCAGCTTCTCGACAGGCAGGTCTTGGGGCCGGTGCTTGCGGCCATAGATAGCCCAGTTGACAAAGTAGGCTACGGTGCGGTAGCCGGTGGAATCTGGACCGCCTCCCATGGTTGTTGATGTTGGTTGTTCTTGTTCAGTTGTTGTGGTGGTGGTAAGAATGGGTGTTGTAGTTTCCGTGGATGGAGTGACGGAGGATATGGATGTCGGTCCTTCAGGTTGATCCACAGAAGAGATGGTGGTTGTGACTGTTTCCGTAACAGTTTCTGTGATGGTGGTAGTTGCTGTTACCACTGTACTCCAAGGCGAAGAAGGACTCGGAGGAGGAGGAGGATGTTGATGTCCAAAGTAATGCTGGTTCAACAAGGTAAAGTTGAAAGCGTAAGAGGGTATCGGGGAGAAAAGGAAGAGGACGACGAGGCTTATAAGGAACAAAGCGGCGGGCTTAAAAACCGCGGTTCTAGTATTACTCCGAGGCCCTGATGATGGCATATGGCATATGGCACAAACACAGCCTTCTTTCTTTTTTGGGGATTTCTAGGATTGCTTGTACAGAAAGCGATGACCGGACCCAATGGCACGGATAGGATTCGATGGAGATGGATCTCAATGCGTCTCGGCAGCCGGCTTGGCGTGGCCCGGAACGGTGATTCTGGGGTTAAGTGGACGAAGGGGGATGTCGAAGAGGGGCTGAATGCTCGGAGAGGTGGGGTTTGTCGGTTGGTTGATTGGAGTTTCCTGTGACTGTTGTTTGGCGATGCCGAATTGCGCCTCGTTTTGATGGTCTGGTTCCTGTAGTATAGTCGAGGTAGTGTAGTCTGTTTGAAAAGAAGGGCTGCCCTGAATGTTATCACAGGCAAGAAATCAATTCACATAAGTTAGATGAATGGCAAATGTTACTGCCAACACATCCTCCGTTCCTGGCCACCAAGGACCTGACCGGGTTATTGATTCGATGCCCTGGTTTGACTATGTTTGGGACCTGGTAGGGTTGAGTCCTCGTGCCGTGACGACTGATGATCATGAAGCATGGCATGTCATATCAAGCAGCAATGAGTGAAACGAAACATGACGGATGATTGAGACAACATGGGCTAGCAAGGGTCCAAGGCTCGGCACTGCTACGCCACTTGTCTCCGCAAAAAGGACCCAGTCGTGTCAAGTGGCTTGAGAGGCCTCAAAGTGGATCCACAGATGACGACGACCCAAACTTTGGGAAACCAAACAACGAACGGGATGCACAAGCTATCACCAAGTCGAATCGACGACATGTGCCCATGCTCTGGGTTTTGGAGACGACAAGCTCGAGAAGCCGCGGCGATATGACGTGACACACAGTCATTTTTCACAAAGCTGTCGGGAGGTGTTCATTACAGATATGATGGACCTACCGACTTCAGCTCAGCTGCTTCGTTCAATCTTTGGCTTTAGAGGGATGAGCAGCGAGAAGGAGGGAGAATAGCCCGGCGTTAAACAGGGAATGCGTCATCGTCATCCAGCCAAACAGTTGGGCATCCAAGAACGCGTTCCTTCTCCGAACTGTCAGCAACTGAATAAGCTCATCTGCGCTGCATCCAGTCGTCTCTTAGGGATTCCAAGGAGTGGATTTTTTTGAAGCAATGGATTTCTCTCCTACAAAGATATCCCGAAGGGGCGTGCCATAGGTAGACTTGGGAACCCGTATCTTTGATCAATGCACAAAACTCATCGTCAGAAGGCTGTTACCGAATAAACTCGGGAAATTGGCAATACACCTTCCCTCTTAGAGCGTCCGACAGTATACACAAGAGGCAGCATACAGAATGTGCCCTGTACCAGTTGCTTTCGGCAGCCGTCAAGGAGCAAGTGGGTGGTTGTTGGACATCTTGAATCCTGCGTTGCTTCCGCATATGGACATGCCGTCGGATAACCGATATCATGGTCAGAATTCTGAACTCCCAAAAACATGCCTCTGGTGCATAAACACCACCGGGCAGCAGGCGGCATTGCAGCAGCTGCGGCAATCTTGAAAGAACGAAAGTGTCCTTGGAATGATTCTTGGAATGCGACTGGCCAACTCCTTCTTTCCTTTTCCTGTCGCACTTGCTAAGTTCCCTCCAAGTCAGCAAAGAGAGAAAGACCACACCACGTCTCGTCAGGAAAGTTCAGTCAGAGAGTCGGACCAGAGAGACGACAACCTAGAAGAGAGACGGAAAACAACAGTAAGTTTATTCCAACCATCCAACCACATCAACATCCTCAAAGAACAGCAATATTGCCCGCCCAACATACCAGACAAGAACCTAGGGCCCCAGTCCCCGCATATCACCTTAACTGTATCTTACACTAATATCGTCCAAGAGGGACCATTAGCAAATAACCACCCCAAAATGACTACCGAGAACGAAGAGCCCCAATCGCATCAAAAGCAGACCGTTCCAATGCCGACGGAAAAGGACAAGTCATCGGTCTCAACCCCTGCAGCCGCCGTTCAGAAGGGCCTGCCGGCACTCAAAACACCTGAGTCGAACATTCGCCCGGTCATTTTGGAGGTTGCTCGTCCACGGCGTCATCGAAAGAAGACACGACCCGCCCAGGCCACAAAGGGGTCTTCCTCATTGTTTGCCTCTAAGAGCGGAAACTCCACGGACTCCTCAGACAAGGTCAGTCGGTTTATTTTCTCTTTTCGCCTTTGTTTGTCGTATCCCCCTCCTTGCTTTGCCAACAGAATGAGGCCTCCAACCTTGATATACCTGCCAGGTGGTTTGGAAGAGGACGCTGTCGTGTTTAAATAGACCGGAGGCACCACTTGGTCTATGACGGCAAGACTCGACCCGAACGGAGATGAAGGAGATGCCACCATGCAAAGAAGGCATCGAAAGCCATCATTTGCAAAGTCCGGCAAAGATCAGACAGATCTGGGTTGGGAGGAAAGCGCAAGGAAGACACGCTGGATCTGTTGTTTTGAGCACAATCGATCCCTTTCGTTCTCCCCTATACCACTTCCAAAAAAAAAAAAAAAAAAAAAAAAAAAGAAGGAAAACGCTAACACTCAAACCCCCTTCCTAGCCCCTTGCAAGGTCCCAGAGCAGTACTCAAACCCGCAATGCCCGCTCCAGCAAGTCAGCGGAGTCTTCCGCATCCCAACCATCCAAGGCTGGCAAGGCCTCCCGCTCCCAGTCCGCCCGACCATCCAAGGCTGGTAAGTCTTCCCAGAAAGCGAAAGCTCACAAGTCGACGTCGAAAGGGAAGCAACCAGAAGAACCGAAGAAGCCGAAATTCGACGGCCGCTTAGTCCGCTCCGTCACGGCCAGCTGCGGCTGCTTGTACATGGTCGAGTGCAGAAAGAGCTTGTACCCTTCACACAACGACCTCCACGAAGCGGGCTTCCCCTTGAAAGGTCGCTGTCAGCGGTGCCACGTCCTTGTTACTGAGATCCGGATCAATGAGGAGAACGGGAAGGCGGAGGTTACGGAGATTGTTCTGCCTGGTGGTGGGGAGGAGAGAAGGCATGGTGGTTTCGAGGACGTGCAGGAGGCGGTGGATATTCACATTGATGATGATGATGAGGACAAGGATGAGTCTGATCATGGGGAGTCGTCTTTTGAAGCTGCATCGCAGTTGTAGGGCGATGGCGATGACGATGGCGGTGGCCGTGGTGCCGACAAGATTTTGGAAGTCCCGAAGAAGACGTTGGCGGAGCAGATATTGCAAGTCGAAGACATGACGATGGAAGACCGAAAGAAGACGTTGTTGGAAGCCCAAAAGAAGATGAAGGAAATTGTGATTATTGATGACGGGAGTTAGTGATGAGCGTCGACGGATTCCCGCCGTCTGCCTGCCGCAATTCCCTCTTGGGTAGGTAATTAATTTTTTTCTTCTTCCGGGGGGGGGGGGGAGTTTGGTTTGTTTACGGTCAGGAAGAAGACGATGGATTGGTTGGTTTAGGTGACGAGGTGGATGGATGGAGAGGAGTCCTCAGGGCGGTGGCGGTTCCAGGGAAGACCGACCATAAAAAAAAAAGGGATCAAGGGACTCGCAATCACTTCGACTTAACTCGATCATCGCCAGGCGAACAAAAGAGCGGGGAGACGGACAGGGGAAAATTACGGTTGTTGTATACGAGTAACGACCCCCAAAGCGTTTTCAGGGTTTCAATCTGTGTTTTTATCATCTCCTGGACAAGTCAAGGAATGATCATATGGTGGAAAGGGTGGCGTATATTGGGCCGGAGAAGTTGGAGTGTACACAGCATCTTCAACCAGTACTCTCATCTGCCATTCTTGGCTAGCTAGCGAACGTCCGTAGTAGGTACTCTGTAGTATTCGACGGATAATGTTAAACTCATCGATTGCTTATCCACATACCTACCTATGTACTTGGTCACGATCATCGAGCGTGCCCTCGTCCGAGAGCTGGAAGCTGAAAGCTACAACAAAACAGTGGACATGCCTATTAGATATGAAGCGATAAGCATCATCATCCAACGTGTCACATTCCAGCACCACCTACCCACCCGTACCTACTGTACAATCTCGGAGCGTTCCTTTTCAGAAATCCGTTGCTCGATGACAGACGTACCTAAGCTATGCATAAGTACAGCAGGGTGGGTGCCTTGGTTTGGGTCCTAGTCTACAGCCTAAAGAGATTCGAACAGTTTGCAATCAGTGCCTGAGATTCCCTCAAGCGCACATATTATAGCTGATTTTTATCCATGGGACGAAGTTGGAACGGTCGCCCCAGGATTTGCATGCTGCAGTTGGTATGAATTACCGCATAATTTTGGTCAACGTATTTTGAGGGTTCAAGGCGCAAATGGCCGAGTATACCAGTGTGAAACCAGTAGGATTAGCTTTGGGGTTTAGGTTATGGCAGAGTTTCTTTGGACCCTGAAAATACGTTGACCGGAATTATACGGTAGTTTACAACCTCGTTTGACCCTCAAATTGTAACTGCAGATAAGCGCGCTGCATTACCATACCTTACATGACAGGACTGTGCTGCAATTAGCGGATGCTTGGAAGTAGGAGCACGTGAGCATTCAGCAGGAAGTGCGGGGGGACAGGGCATTGACATTCACGTCCTCTTCCAACAAATATCACAAGCAGCTAATGATGCGATCTTTCACCTACCTACCATCGAGACACTCGACGAGAACATGAACACCATTACACGCCTCGAAGCAAAAGAGGGTCTACAAACAAATGACAAGCCGATGGATTCAACCGAATTTAAGAGACTCACGTCGTGGTTCGTCTGCTTGTCCCTTTTGTTCCCAACCACTCCCGGTTGGTTCTCGACATCACTCAGCTGAGCCTTGCCCCAGGTTCTATATTAGATAGCAAAGCCAACCAACCCACTCCCACCAGTACTCCTACTTCTACAGGAAATACGTGTTCTAAGCACCGTACTATCCTGGCTTCTCGTCCACCGCATCCATTCTCGACCGCGGATTTTTGCTCTTGTGCTGTTGTTACGAACGTCGCCAATATGACCCGTGTCAAAATGACTTCATCAGCCTGTGGTGGCTATGGCCAAACTAGCTAACAGCACCGATCACTGCGTTGCCGTCGTCTTAAAGCCGACCACAGACGGCAGCTTGGTCGACGGCCACCGTATTATCAAAAGTCGTTGTCAAAATGTATGCAAATAGAGTGGAAGAGAAGCCATATAATTCAATTGAACTAGTGTAGATCTACGATGTGACTGCTTCCTTTTATATCCGCTTACTTTATCTACTCTTGAAACACCCTTATCTACCCAAGTACCAGTACCTTGTAAAGCTCTACTTACAAGGCTAATAAAGTTTAATACTATAAAGGTTTACAATGGTTACTACTCCTCTTTAATAAATATAAATAATATTAAAACTCTCACTTATTTATTACTGTGACGAACGGCAGTCTGATCTGCTTAAATGAGATAGCTGAAGGTAGAACTATCAGTAGACGTTCGGTAAAGCCAAAAGGTTCACAACAAGTATGCTCCTAATACTGGTCTCGGTGATAATGATCTATTGACTACTGTCGAACTATCTAACAATCTGAGTTCTCCCGTAGTCCCTTTATACCTGCTCGCCCTCTGCGAGATATCTGTTTCCGGATGCTCTGCTGAGCCCCATAGGTCTATCTAATAAGTGTTGGCTCACTGTGAGCCACTGCGCCTGTGAGCGCCTGCATGTGCCATTGGATCCTATGTCGTCCCTGATAGGCTGTGTTGTTTGTCCGATATGGGGCAGCCGGGTCCCAATGGTCTGGTTGTCCTTTGTGTCACTTAAGTTCGTAACAAGAAGCTATATCATTCAGTTAAACTAGTGTAAATCTACGATGTAACTGCTTCCTTTTATATCCGCTTGTCTTGTCCACCCTTGAGACACCCTTATCTACCCAAGTACCAGTACCTTGTAAGGCTCTACTCACAAAGCTAATGAGGCTCAACACCATGAGGGTTCATGATATTTGCCAGTCGTTAACACCGCACCGTCGACGAGTCTCGAAGCTTTAGCAGCCCTTGCCCATGCCCACATTCTTCCTTCTACCGTCCTGCTCTTCTAATTTGGTACCTCCTGTCCACCGCAGGCCCCACGGCGATTGTAATCCGGCTCTCACCGCTCTTCGAGGAGGACTTTACGACCGGACTTTGGCGCTACACAAAGGGCACCATCCTAGTATATTGTCTTTATAGTGCAGGGTCAACTGTTTCCTGAGACGAGGTGGAAACTCGGAATACTGAGGTTGATGGCCAGAAGCGGCAGAGCAGCCGCGCAGTCGGCAAGCAAGAAGATGGGAGAAGCTGTGGGATATGCCAGGGGGATACGTTGGCTACCGATATGCTGTGAAACATGTCTATGCCATCTTTGGCTACTCTTCTAGCGAGATTGACTAGTTGGCACTCGAGTTTAGGGGAGTACAACAACAACCTCGTTTTTCGTGCGCGCTTGATGGGAGCCCGGATATCCATCGAGGAGTACGTTTCCAAGCTGTGGGGATCTGGCTTTTCGTTACTCCGATCAACGTCTATGTCTCACAGCTCTTCACGACCAGATGGTATGGTTTCTGGAAGTCGAAAATGTGAATCGGTTTCACATCTTTCCCCTCCGATGCTGGCCGGTCCCACGATGCGGACCAAGTCTCTTAGCACATCATACTCCGGAAACACTTATGGGCCGGGTGTGTAGTGTCGCAGCTTGTCCATGCTAGCAGCCAGGCCAATCCTTTCTGGTGCCTTTGTGGTGGGATTCATGTTGCCAACCCCATGATGTGTCAATTGTTGACAACGCCCAGGTTTCGTCGATATGAAATCCCAACCAGCGTCGTCGGCCAAATTTGTTCAGATTCTCGTTCATTGTGGAGCGAAAGCGGAACAATATGGAACCTTTCGCCTGGGAACTATTCCTTTATCATGCACCGGAAAAGCATCAAACGTCCAGTTTGAAGGGCCAGGCTTCTGCGGTATCTTCTTCGACAATCATGTCTTTCTCCTGTTTGAGGTCACCGGCATAGTTGAAAATCTGGTCAGTCTCATAAATGTCGTCTTCCATCACGCGATAAAGGACCTCCGAAGCCTTGCCCTGGATGTTCACGGATTTGACCTGAAGCTCTCTTCCCAACAGTTGGAAGAGGTAGCCCTGAATATTAGTTAATGTTAGTGTGGATCACAAAAGCTTTGAGATGGGGATGATGACGTACAGCACCGGGATAGCCAAACTTGATAGGGAACCACACAGTTTCTCCATCGAGCTCCGTGAGGGCTTCGAGGACAGGGAGATAGAGCTTTTCTGCGTCAACACGCAGTCCTACCTCGCTGCGAATCAGGCGATGGAAGTTGTACTCGATTCTCTGCAGCGTGTCTGGAGGCAAAGGTCGCTTTACCACTGGGCTGAGAATGTCGTAGAGGTGGAAGACTTCCATCTCGTGAGCAAGCTCGAGCGGAGTCAAGTTGGGAAAACTGAACTCGGAGCTTCTTGTTCGGAGTGTTTCTGTTCCTGTCAACAATCATGATACGAGAAAGATCGATACAAAGTGATATGGACGACTTACTGAAAGCTCCATACTCTAGCAAGCGCTCAACGACATGGACTGGCGCATGGTGGTAGACTGCCTGGTGAAGAGGAGTCCACATTGAGAGGTTGTGATACTGCGATCGCTCTTCTGTGTTGTCGTACGTCTCAGCCCATTGTTTCCCCCTCCACTTGGTTCAAAGTATGTTCACTTACTCATTCGCGGCGCATTCCCCCAGAGTTCGCCAAAAGTTTGAAACCCTTCCTCGAACTTATTGAAGACAACTTCCCAGTCACCCCAGTACACGGCTTCGGATAATTTGTCTCGCATCTGGAGATACTCCGGAGAGTGGTGATCGGTTATGGTATGCCCAAGCCAGGTCCGGACCCTAGTTGCGGGCTCTTCTGAGCTGTTCCGTAATGTAGAGACATCGGAGAAGCGCTCCTCCGATTCCTGGCAAAATGCAACTGTGATCTCAGAACGTTCGTCAGATGACCTGGTGAGCTTCTGCAGCTCCTGTTGGGTTCGAAGTGAGGTTAACCTGTTAACGGTTGTTAGCGACAAACGTTTACTCGCCAGAAACATGGCCATGACTTACGAGTTGAGCATCATGTACGAGTTGGTAACCTCCTTCTCCTGTTCCGCCAGTTTGCGAACGAGTTCCTCAACCTTTGAGTGGCTCATTGACCATCTCAACCGTCTGGCAATACCAAACCGAGATTGACCGTTGGCAATGGTTGATGCCTCTTGGACCAGATCTTCCAGAGTTCGGTTGAGCCCATCACAGGCGGTGATGAAGCCTGCAGCAATACCGGGGTCAGTCGATTTTCGAAGCTCGATGAGCGTCATCTTCATGAGTTCGATGCGGTTTCTTGTTCGTCCGACCAGGTTCAGGATCTTGTTGAGATCCTCCCTTGCTTCTTTGACCGTCACATAGAATCTTTTGAGGACAACGATGGCCTTGATGCAGAGGGTGAGGGACTCGGTTGCGACGGCAATGCCAGTGAGTACTTCGGCCATGATGTTGCCTTGTGGTCAGCCGTTGGCTGACTTGGTATCTAGACAAGTGATGAGGGTCTTTCGTTACGGTGATAGCTTATGCACGGAAGGGAATACAGGCTGAAAATGGCAAAGACTTCCGTTCATCTTGAGTTCTGGATCGTGGTTGTGGGGTTCTATATGTTCCCACCTGCCTATAAAAGAATTGTGTGCTTGATATCGTGGATGACTGGGGTTCTAGATGAACAGGCCGGCCGAGGCTGTGGCATTTTGGTACCTGGAAATTCGACTTGGTTGCTGTTTTTGTCTGCCTTTCCATGCGGAGTGTCGGGCGTGATGGGTATGGTCATTGGGCTATGCCGCCTATAGGTCGTGCGCCACATTCAATGCTCAAGCGGTTCTGTGACACCCTCCACCTCAGCCCAGGCTTGGCTTGAAAATAAGGTTGGACAGTGAGTCAGGTGCGAGGCTTTTATGCGCAATGAATGCCCAAATAGGGCTGCTTGGCCATCTTCCCAGTCGTCACAGGAGGCATTGATACCGCATTGTGTGGAAGCCTCTTTTTGGTGGGAAGCCCCCGTCTCCTCGTTTCTTTTCACAGCATCACTTCTATCCAACTAGAAGTGTAAGAAACAAATGTACGGCTCTGCTGTTTAGAGCACCCGGAAGGACAGCATTTGACTAAGAAATACCCTAAGGACACTCACCGAAACCTAGGATACAACACGACTTACAAACACAACCATGCCTCGTTTCAAGCCCAGCTCAGCAGCCGCAGCAAGATTCTCGGCACCGCTCGATGCTGTGAACCTCCAGACGCTGAAGTCCGGGTTTTCCGGCCAGGTTGAGCGTGAACGCATGTCCAGACTTCGGAGTAAGATTGAAGAAGTGCGGAATGCTTGGTTGGATAATGACGCATACACGCAGCTTGTCGAGGCAGTACGGAGATGGTGCAAGCCTGAAAGGCTCCCAGAAGAGGTGCGCGAACCACTTGAACGACTCTTGAATGGCTACCGTGACTACGGAGATGTTTCGGTTAGTCGCCCTTCCAATGTCAGCACCAGCAGCAGCAGCGAGCAGTACGACGCCTTGGAGATGTACTGCTCCATCCCCGGGTACGATTACCTCTTTAAACTGGTTAGTGACACTCTCCGAACGGAACACGCTGCTGAAGAGCACCTCCTGGTTGCCACAACACTCATCGAATTCCTGACGATTGACCTGTACAATCTCCGACTGTCTCAACTTGGTGATCCGCGGTATAATAACTTTGAAGGCCTCACTCACCGCGGTATGCCCGTCCACCAGGAAACTGTCCGCTTCTATGAGGACATCATGCGGAGCCCTGACTTGACCTTGCGGGGATTTGCTATCCCGCTGGCCTTGACCTCGACCAGTACCGACCCCAGGGTCATGGAAGACTTCGCTGCAAAGAAGTCACCGGGAACCGGGCGGTTAATGCACATGCACCTTCAAATCCATACGAGAGGCATTGATGGGAGCTTGCTTAGGGCATATTCGGAAGCGATACCCAGACAGCGTCGTCACTTCCATCTGTGCCATGCCGGTGGCCAATATTTCGACAGAGCGTGAAAGGGAAATCTTGCTCAGAGGCGCCTTCTTCCAGTTATTGTCTGTCACCACCAAGCGAAACGGAAAGAACGGTGTGCCCAGTGTTCAGGTCATTGTTGTTACAATGAACTCCAATCGCGATCACTCGACCGAATCTTCCTCAAACATCGACGAGAAGAGAGTACAGCGCGAGATCTTTCGTCGACTTGTTGATGCATCCAAGTATCGGGCATGTGCAGAGTTGGCGGCAGAGTTTTCGCCTGAAGACGTGTATGGATACAAGATGTTGGCAGACAGGATGTTGAGCGAGATTCGTGACATGCACGAACTTGACCTGGGAGAACTCGACGAAGGGTCTGCCGGTGTGCATGGCATAGAGAAGGAAGATGTGGCGGTATGGCTGGGTGGAAGATTGGTTAGCAGCTATCCAAGACAGTATGCCCTGCGACGCAAGCAGTGGCACCAAGCGCTGACGAAGAAGGACTGGACTGTGGCTTTGAAGACACTCAACTATGAGTACAGCTGGCGACAATGTGACTGGTATAACACTGGGCCGTTGGATGCCGAGAGCGATGAACTTCCAGCACTCCACATAATTGCTAGCAGCAGGCCACCCGAAGACCAGTACTCTGACGAGTATCGAGCGTGGGAGGAGCTCGTCGAAGGCGCTCAGGCAGATCCCCGTGTGTGGAGTATGTTCTCCCATTTCCCCATGATGCTGTCTCAAACATTAGCTGACTGCGTCGATATGCAGAGACCCTGAAGTCCTTTGGCGGAAAAGCCAAGACCGCACAAGAGAATGCACATAACCAAGAGATGGCGGAGGCATTCAAGCCGGAAATAATGCATCATGTGGATGAGAGAAGGCTCGCTCACCTGGAAGAGCAGCTCCATAGGTTGATGAAGGACACTGCTGGTTCTCTTGTCAGTATCCTGAAACGTCCTTCATTGTTGTGACTTGGCACTGACCCCAGAGGCAGGTCGACCCTTCTCAATTCAGGATGCCACAACTGTCATGTTTGACAGAAATGGAGAACCCAAGACTGTGGATTCCAATACCACACATGTATGGAGTGAGTACCGGGTTTACCTTTGAACATCCCTGGGTGATCTTGTCTGACCAGCTTTTGTGCAGGGTTTCAATGTTGAGTTGCTTCCATCTGAGCAAGCTCTCCGGGTAACAACGATCAGAACCATCGCTGGTCAGATTCTGCCTCAGTCCACTACCCGGATATTGGAATCCACTCCAACGAGCTTCGGAGCTCATAAGGTGGGAGACTTGGTGACAGAAGATATCACCAAGTTGACTGTCCAGTTGAGTATCGTTCCGCTTTTCGAAGAGGCGGTTGAGGTCTAAAAGCACCTTGGGGTCACAGCCATTGTCACGTTGTGCTGCAGTGAGCAAGCAGACTTGGAAGCTCGAATGGGAGTCGGCTATTCGCTGTGTTGGCCAGCGGGGTGTAATATATATATGCGGGGACCCTCCATCAGTGCGCCCTCCATGCTGTCCCGATATCACCCTGTCCTCACGACAGTCAACGTCAGGTTACACTTCCGCGTTGACCGTGCAGAAACATGGGCAGGTGTAGTGTTGTCTGCGCAGCCTAAGCGAGGGGCAGTCAACGACTCAACGAGAGGTATAGGGTGATTTCAAGTGAAGCTTTACGTACCTGTTTGCGGCAAATGGATTCGAAGACTGTCGGTTTTGCCAGATAGCAACGCCCAGTCTGTCAACAATGGCCCTCCGTCAGCACATTGCATAAACAGTATATGGATGAAGTCTTGCAGACCAAGAGAATGGGCTTGCCGACCGGGGACATATCTCATGTCTCCCGTTTGCTGTCAAGCCAGGAGCCATCTTGTGGTTGTGAATGGCTGGCTAACCCGTGGCAGACATTGGACTCTTTGATGGTAACTGAATCAAGGGATTGGATGACGAGCGTCAACAGTAAGGGGTAGGAAGATCAAACATTGGAATGATGCTTCGGGAGATGCAAGCTACTCACCCGGCGGGCAATAGTGCCTGGCTGAGACTGCAGGGGGATTGGAGGGGAACCTGGACCTCGGGTGGCTTGCGGGGAATATTGGCGAGGGTGATGATGTTTGGGGAGAATTCAGGCGACACACTGCAGACGGGATTTTTCGAGCAATTACGGGCCGCTTTCTTCCCGAACGGCTCCTTCCATGAAACCTCCAACAACGGGGACTTGGTTCCTTCCTTCTCTAGTCACGACTCCAGACTCCATGTCTTGGCACAGATTGGAGGCAGTCGTTGTTGCCAAAACGGGAGGCCATTGGCGGGACACTGCGTGAATCCAAACTCGGCTCTTACACAATCTGAACCCGCCAGGGAGGAAACAGAAAAAGTCTTCATGTCCTCCATCTTCCACTGCATTTGCAAAGAGGAAGTCAGGGAAGTCTAGGCCACCTCCCACGCTTTCTAAGCACCACACCCATCCTTTGAGGCTACAATCAAACGACATGGACACCAGCTCAGAAAGACGCATTTTCCTGTCGATCTTTTCTCCATTGGATACCCAACTTTTGTTTGTGTTACATTCTTCTTGAACGTTCTTTATTCTGTCTCCCCGTCTTGGCTTAGTAGACCCTGTATCGTCTTCAACACAGTATCTCTGCGGCCTACCCCTGCTTTCTGGGCACTAGACTTACTCACCTCTTTCCTCGTATCAAAAGCGGCTCCCGAGGTCTTGGATAGGTAGCAGGCCAGGGTAGGACCGCCAGTTACACCGCGTCTTACTTGCATTCGATTAGTGATAGTCACCAGTATGGGAGACGACCAACCACGGTACACACACGATAATGCATACAGCATCGGGACCAATACACGGATTCAGGAAGAAGCTCCAACATATCTGCTGGCAATGATCCGAGAAATGGGACGACCAAAGAGACCCTGAGGGATACGGGAGAGATCTACAGGATGTTTTCCTGATATAAAAGGTCGCCGTTGTGATCTTCCATGAGGCGTTTTTGCTGTCACTCTCGTCTTCAACCCTCGAGAGCTACCGGCATTGTCAACATGCATCTTCCTTCAGCACTTTGGTTGACGGCAGCCCTGTCGACACCCGTGTCGGCCTTGAATCTTCCTCAATGGGGACAAAAGGCCATTGACACGGGTGTGGCTCTTCAAGGCCTCAACACACTGGCTTCGAAGATTGCCTACCAAAGGCTCAATGGAAAATGCAACAAAAATAATGTCAGGGTCAGAAAGGAATGGTAAGTGCTGCCAAAGGGGACAAGATTACCAGTTGTCCAGACTGACACCATGTTGACAGGCGCAACCTTTCCAAATCCGAGAGGCGAGACTACCTCAAGGCCTTCAAGTGTATCTTGGACACTCCCAGTAGTCTTCCTGCAGGCGAAGTTCCCGGCGCTCTCTCTGCCTATGACGACTTCATTTACCTACACTTGAACGTGACACCTATTATTCATAACACGGGTACATTCCTTCCCTGGCACCGCTACTACATCCACGGGTTCGAGCGAGCTCTTCAAAAGTGTGGCTACAAAGGTTCGTTCAAATCCCTTCCATTATTTGATTCCGTTTCCAAACAGACGCCTGGTCTAACCAAAGCCAAACCACAACAGGCCCCTTCGCTTACTGGAACCACGGTCTCGACGTCGACAACCTCCTTGCCTCCCCTATCTTCGACGGTTCTGATACCTCGCTCGGTGGCAACGGCGATCCGCTCCCTCACGGAGACTCAGGCTTCATCTTTCCGGGCTTCACCGAAGTGAATATTATCCCGGCAGGGCCCAACGGCCGCGGTGGTGGTTGCGTAACCAAGGGTCCTCCCGGCATCGCTGGCATGCAGACGCATCTCGGGCCCGTAGCGCTGCCCAAATACGGAGAACCCGGCAACTTGACTACGGCAGAGAATCCGCTGGCTGACAATAAGCGGTGTTTTACGCGTGACTTGAGCGAAGGGTTGGGGAGAAAGTTTGCTACGTTCAGAAACACGACGGATCTTATTCTAAAGAGCAAGAATATTTTCGAGTTCTCGAGTCTGCTGGTGAGTTTCCGTCCACCCAGTCGCTCCAGCCAAGGCTGTCAATACTGGATAACAGACAAACTTCCAGCAAGGCGACCCTCGCTACCACCCTAGGCACGCTGGGGAATTCACTTCACCGGACATTACATGTTCGGTGGTGATCCCGGGGGCGATGGGTTCACCGGACCCGGTGACCCGGCCTTCTGGGTTCATCACGCGCAGCTCGATCGCCTCTGGTGGATCTGGCAGAACTTGGACTTTGGGGACCGGCAGGTGCGCATAGAGCTTACAGGAATTCCCCCCCTCTTGTTTAAAGTATAATGTACTGACTTCTACTGGATTTGCTATACAGGGCGTCTGGGGCACACACACGAACCTCGATTTGCCCCCAAGCGCGAACGTCACGACGGACGAGACAATTGCCATCGGCCCAACAATGCCTGATGTGCAAATAAAGAAGCTGATGGACACTGTCAGCGGCGGCCCCTTTTGCTATGTCTATGAATGAGAGTGTCCAACGATAGATGCATGCAAGTATCGGCTACTTGTTGGATTGGCTTGGGGCTGGCACAGGTAAACACTGGCGGGAAGTTAACAATAGCCCCCTTCAGAGCGTAAAAGACACTCAGTTAGTAGGATATGAGAATGAAAGTGTCATTCGGGTCACAATATGGCACATACGAGGATGGATGTCTAAAATTACATTAACTCTATCTCTTCCCGTGTATGAGGAAGGGTCTAACAAGTATCTGTCTATATGGAGACGTCTATCTCCTTCGTATCGTACTCCTGTGTTGCCTCCGTGCTACTTGGACGCTACATCACGAGATGCATCCCCTGAGAAATGAGCGCCGGCGACTTTCGGCCCTAATAAGACCGACTCCTGCGGTAGCATGTGCCCTCTTTCCTTTTAGTCCACTCTTAAATTAGCAATTACATTAACGTACAAGTACTCGATACGTCGTTCCTGACATCATGCTCTCGATCTTATGGATGCTGGGTTGAAGATTGCTTCCTCTGCAAAGCCATAATACGTGACCCCTCAACGATGTTTCGGTGCATGCTTTGAGCGGACTTCCATTCCGTTTCCTGACCCAACGTATACCATCCCCCACTGGGGGCATAAACTCCCGCCTCCACGTAAGCTTTCTTATACGGCACAAGCTTGCCGATCCATTTCCGTTTAAACACCGTCAAGCCCTTGGGGACCTGACTGGCCTTGCTAAAGATGTGCGTAGTGCTGCCCACAAAATGATCCCAGTTGCCGCACAGCGTGCCCAAAAGCTTCTCGACGTCTGATGATGGGAGACTGGGGTCTCGGAGGAGTCGACGGTCAGGACGCTCCCACGCCCTGGCGAGATAGTAGATGTGTTTGACTGTGCGCTTGAGCAGCGGCATGGTCTCGATCAGTGCCTCGATCTTTCCGCATTCTACTGCCAACGATAGATTGGGCTTACGGTTCGAATGGGCGGCAAGTTGGCTCGGCGTGTGACCAGGACGTTGAATAACGTATCTCTGGAAACCCCGGGGAGACGGAGACAGGTGTCAAGCTCGTGGTCCCGCGTGTTGCATAAAGGACAGCCTTCCATGTCGCCGACTTTAGACGGTGGGCCGAGGCAGTCGACTAATTCGTGGTAAGCGCTTCTACAGCGTCTATTGGCGCAACGCCTGGCAGCAGGCCCGGGACCTCTCAGGTCTTGATGTGAGGTTTCAGAGCCGTATGACTGGTAGCGTGTATGAGTAGCTACAGTCGAGGTGTCGTCGTTACCGCCAGTCGGGCTCATACTGCCCAGCGTCCTCAAAGGAAGTCCTCATGTCTGCGACCTTTTGGGTTGTGGAGCTAGGACCATAGTGTCGGCTACGTCGAGGCCCCGCTTGTTGACACTTTGGTTTGGCTGAGCTGCCGATGTTTGGTGCACCTCTTCTGTCGCACCGATGTCCGGACACTCTTGATCAGCGCCATCTCTCAGCGGCTGGTTGACATCGGCGATTGCGAGGTTGGGTTTCTCGTGCGATTCTTCTGCCTGTTTGGCACGGTAGAACACATCATACTCGCTGGAGAAAGGCTCATGAGCAACATGAGTCAACGGTTTAGCGAAAGGGAATTTGTCGCCAGGGTCGCCAGGGTCACCAGAGCCGGGAGAGTGACCTGCAAGGAGAGCTTGATTGGAAGATGGCAAAAAAAGAAGAAAGAAGTAAATAGTTAAGGAGAGGAGTGTTGTGCGAACAGGACCGCACGTGTTAGGTACTGTAGCCATGCATGTAGCTTCCGAAACGATGTGGGGGAGTTGCGATAAACTTACCTCGCTTCCACAACCTGTACTCCAGCGCATAGAGATGCGCCGCAGTCGACACGCGACTCAGCCCGAGATTGTAAAATCTCATCATGACGTCCTTGGACACCTCAAGGTAGCACTCATGGACACTTGTATATGTCGGGCTTGTCGATGAGTGCGCGTCTGGGTGGGCTATCACCACCAGCTCATTGATGATGCTGTCCATGTCGCGGTCGTCCAACTCCGACAGTGGCGCTGGAACCGAGTTTGGATTCATGCCAGTCTTGGGCTTGTCGGGGAGTGTCGGCGAAGGGTGTGGGCGGTTCTTGCCATGAAAGAGAGAGATGAGGAGGTGGGGTGAAGACGTTGAAGTTTGGAAAGGTACGATGAGGATCAGGTTGAGGGTTGAGATTGGAGGAGAGTGCACAGTAGGCGCAGTAGGTGCGAAGGAAGAAGAGGACTAATTCAAAGCTTTGCAATTGTACCCCGCCTACGGAGAACCAGAGGGAAGGGTTTGCCCCTCGCCCCATGAAGTGAATGGTATGCCGTACCTACTATGGGTGCCAGTACACATTGAGGATGAGCCAATATCAAATCTGATAGCTACCCGGGACCGACACCGTGGTACTTAAGGACGGTGTTTGGGAGCTACAGTCACCAAACAACCGTGGGGTGTGTGACGCAGTTGGCGAAAGAGTAGTTACCTTCCGTCTGACTTCAATCCCTCTTTAGTAGCAGCGGCACGCTCGAACCCAGCCTTGATCGCTTCGAACAACGTTTTTGTCACTCTTTGCCCCCTTTTTTTACCCTCTCAATTTTTTCGACTACGCCCCGTACGCAACCTTCTGCCTTCGCCCATCCATCCATTAATTAGGTAGTATGTCTGCACTTCTGCCTTCTGGTTCATTGGCCTACTGCTTGTATTATTCGTCTCCTCTTCCTTGACTCCAATCGCTGCAGGCTGGGAACGGTCACGGTAACCCTTGGGTAAAGGAAATGTGAACTTAATAGCCAAGTTACCGTCGAGTGATGCGTGCCCGGCACTTTGGTAACTTTCTTTGGAGATATTTATGTCGCGCGTTTGAAGAGTCTTTCACATGTCAGAAGTTAAGGCACGTTACCAAGTACCTACCTAGCCATGCAGACAAGTCCAACACTTCCACTTCGATTTTTTTTGTACAAAGTTCAAAATACGCTCACCGGTCCCATCGAGCTCTCCAAAGAAAAGAAAGAACATATAAAACGAATGAAAAACAAGGGAAGAAACTACCTACAGAAACAACGAAGCAAATCCTGCAAAACTTTTAATTATATTTTCCTGCACGATGGTATCTTCCCGATAACGCATTATTTTGTCCTGAAATCACTTTAGTATGTAGACGACAACAAAAATAACCTTTTTACGTTCCCAAAGCTCACAAGAGACTCAATTAACATCCGAACGTCGAAGTAGCAGTAGAGGTATGCTTCCAACAAAGATCTGCAAACACGCCGTTTCTATCAGAGACCACATACGGCGTGCAAGGTCTGTGACCGCAACAACATTGTAGAAGATGGAACTTAGTTCTGTCTGATTTAATGTACGCACTACATCGCCAGAGCCACTATGATAATGATGACTAGGTTTGACCTGTGACAGTTTTTACAAGGACCCAATAGCAAAATCAAGGGGAGTGAGGTCTAAAATTACATTTATTTCCAACATTTCCCTAGTATGCGGAAGGGTCTAACACCTTTCTGTCTATATAGAGACGGTTATCTCCTTCGTAACGTTGTGTTGTGTTTTCCTCCGTGCCACTCCAGCGCCACGTTGGGAGACCCCCGCTCTTCCCTTGAGCGCCGGAGGCCTTTCGCCCAAACCCCGACTCATGTTTGTAGCAGTATGCTTTCTTCCGCCTTAACCGAGGATGTGAGCTGGGCTGGTCGTTTTGTCGTAACACCCACTCTCTTTGCTGGATGTTGCGTGCCAAAGACCAACCCACACACCCTCGGTTCTAGTCCATTCTAAAATTAGTAATTACTATCCGTACAAGTACTCAACATGATGTTGTTCGCCAATTATTCCCATGGTACTAGTCGAGCCGTCTTTCTCGACTTTGGTACCAAGGCTGTCCACCCCAAACACGCAATGACTTCAACTACCCGTTGAGGGCGTGTTTGTTCTGGCAGTAGCACAGTAACAGAAGTATTCTTTTGTCGGAATTGACGCCTTCGGTGAAGGATATAAGAGCTTCTGTTACTGCACTACTTCCAGAACAAACACGGCCTTCAGGGTACTCTCAAAACGTGAGCTGTCGTTACCAAGCCCGGCATTCTCCGTAAAAATGTCCACGCATCTGCGGTAGCCAGCTGTTTCGTCTATGCGCTTTTAGTTTCGGCCTTCTCTTTGGCTCCGAAGCCGCGCAAGCTGAAACTCCAACAGGCTCTCCTTGGCCATCTCGCGGTGCTGCTTCTGGAGAACTAACAAGTCGGGCTTGGGTATGAATGGGTAGACTCCCCGACCACGAACACGGACCGTCTCAAAGGCCTTGCTATACGGTACAAGCTCACTAACCCAGGCAGTCCGAAAGACAGCAAAGTTGTCGGGCACAGCGAAACCACCGCTGAAATGATCCTGGCGCGTCAAGCCTTGTACAACGAATTGCCAAGACCGGTACAAAGTTTCCATGAGGGCCAGGGGATCTGATGGAAAACGGGGGTCCCTGAACAGCCTGGTCCGGTTGGGGTTTACCCACAACCGCATCTGCGCGTACCTACTTGTGACTGTGCGTCGATCGAGCGGCATGGTATCGGCAAGTCTGTCGAGCCTTCCCATAGTAGCTGCCAAGGCGAGAATTGAAATGGCCGTTTTGAATGGCGGCAGATTAGCCCGCCTTGTTACTAAGACGTTAAACAGCTCCTCCCTTGTCAGCTGGCCTTGGGAGAGGTACCCGCATGCGTCGATATCATGAAGTTGGGTATTGTGGAAGGGGCACCCTTCAAGGAAGCCGCTGGCGGACACTGGCCCAAAGCAGTCCACCAATTTATGATGCGGACTATTGCATTGTGTGTTGCCACAATGCGTAGCAGCAGCCCCAGTAAGAACTATGGCTTGGGTTGTGTTTTGAGGTACAGTCGAGGCCTGCAACTGTTGTTCTGTGCCAAAAGGTTGATAAACCTCGTGGCGACCAAGGAAACCCATGCTGGCCAGCGTCCTCAGCGGGAGCCCTTGCTGTGACCTCTTGGGCGGCGGAACCTCCGCAATAGCGTCAGACTCGTTGCGGGTACGCTTGTTGACACCACGGCTTGGCTGAGATGTCGATTTTGGGTACGCCTCTGCGGTCGCACCAATGTCTGGACGACCTGCATCACCCCCTCCTCTCATCGACTGGTTGATACCGGCGCTAATGAGGTATGGGTTGCCATCACGGTTTGATCCTGCGCTCGAAGTCGAGTTTGCCTCTGTCGCACATGCCACGGGAGGAGCGGATCTAGCTTTCTGCTTCGGGGGTTGGTTCTCGTCGCTCTTGAGGTCAGGCATATCCAAACCACTGCTTGGCCTAACTGTCGAGGTAAGAGGGGTCTCTGTACTAGAGGTCGCGGGAGGAACCAGCATGGTTTCCCATCTGGGCGGTTGATTGATGTCACCCCTCCTGAGAATAGGCGAGTTGAAACTACTGCTTGGCTCAAGCTTAGCTGTCCATGATGGACGTGCCTCTGTCACGGAGGTTATGACAGGGGCTGGCGTGGCTTCCTCCACGCTTCTCAATTGACCCGACGGTTGATCAATCTCAGCGCTCGATCTCTGAATAGCAGCGTCAAGGTTGGTCCTGTTTGGGCCACGCCTTTCTGGGGCTGTCGACGTTGTGGGAGGAGCCTTGGACTGAACTCGCTGAAATTTGTCTCTCACTGGTGCCTCGGTATTGGTGCTGGTGTTGGCAACTTGCTGGGGCCCACCTGGGGAGATCGGGGAAGGCGTGTTGCTGGGTATGGCCAGATGGCCGGCCATGATTCTCTCGCGAAATCTTTCTGCGAAGAAATTGTCATACTCGGAAGAGAAAGGCCCGACATGCGCTGACGGCTTGGTGAAGTAGAATCCGACCGGGCTAAAGTCACCGCTTGGGATGGCATAGCCTGCAGAGGTAGTAGCTTGGTAAGAATGGGCCAACCAGGAAGGATTGTATTGGGGAACTGCAACAAACTTACCTCGCATCCACAATAGGAAATCTAGTGCATACAGGTGCGCCGCAGTTGACAGACGACTCAAGCCAAGGTTAAAAAGCCTCATCATGACAGCCTGTGATCCTTCTAGCCACCATTCTCGGACTTTGGCGGCTGCTGCATATTGCTCGGTGGTCACGATTGCCCACTCCGAGGGTTCCAGAAGAAGCTCTTCCATAGGGTCTGGGAGCTGACTGACATCCAGGTGGATGCTGGCAATCTTGCGAGCCACAACCCAGTTTCGGTACCTCTCATCGTTGTGCGTGTTCGTGGTTACAACGCTGGTGTACGTTGGTGTTTCCCGTCTCTGTAGCTCTGAGTATCCATCCTTCGCCAGTTGCTGCATCAGCAGCTTCATGACGGGATGGTCCAGCGCATCAAGCGGCGCTAGAAGCAAGCCCGGATCCATCTTGAGTGATGCTTAGTTGGGTAACAGCGGCTTCGATATCTGCTCAGATCGCGTTGTCGCACCGAGATTGATATGTTTGAGGAGGATGAGGAGGAGGAGCGCAAAACGTGGATGCGGAAAAACAAGAAGCGAGGTGTGCGGGAGGAGGAGTGTAGGGTCGGATGTTGGAATGGTAGGAAGACAGGTACAAAGGAGGAAGTAAAACGCTTTCCACTTCAGAATTACACCCCGCGTATCCAACGAAAACTCGAAAGTTGTGCGCTGCTTCCCGTTGAGGGGTGGAGAACCAGAGGGAACCTAAGGGTTTGAGCCTCGTCCCAGGTGAATGGTATGCCGTATGGATGCCGGGTCCAGCTCCAAGCTCGTTTGGCAGCTACCGGTACCGACCCCCGGGTACTTAAGGTCTGTGTTTGAGGCCTACTTTCATCACATTACCGTGGGGCTGTGGTGAAGTCGTTAGATGGGTCGCTACCTCCGATGGCTCATCACCACCTTAGTAGCAACGGTTCAAATCGTGCTCCGCGCAGATTTGACAAACTTTTTGCCCTTTTTTTTCATCTTATATGAAATATTCTTGGTTAATTCCACGCCTTGTTTGCACCATCCCCTCCTGAATGATCAAGGTAATATTGATATCAACGCTCCTCGAACTTTAGACCATTCATCATTCATTCCGACTCGCATCAGTCTTTGTGTTCCTCAATTGTAGCGGCGGCAAAAAGATGAAGTGCATTGCCACAGAAGGACACACACTGCGAGTAAAATCCACGGGCAATGAATGAAGAACACCGCTGGCAATGAGGCAAGGAACTGACCCTAAACAACCGTCTCCAATAGTACTCAGTTCGGTTACACAAGAGAAACGAAAGTGGAAGGAGCAAATTCAGCATAGGGTTGATGAGTATATTGACAAGGCGATCACAGTTGAGGTTGATTTCTGGGATTAGGAGGATCTCAGGAAAAAAGAGCTAAAGAGATCAATTCTCCATAGGAGTTTGGCGTCGCCGAGTCCGAGGGATAAGTTTAGGGTCGTTACCTTAAGATTGTGGGCGACGAGGTGTATCCATGCGGTGGGATGCATGTTTATACCACAAGTTTGTTCGGGAAGACAGTCACAGCGGTGACGAGAATTTTGAGGACTAAGACAGCTTGTTTGGTATCTTATGACGTAGAGAGCCTTTGAATTAGATCATTGCCTTGGGAGCCGGAACGCGTCTAGAAAACAAAAGTCTTGTCCCATGGGTCAAAGGGTTGTGGCGTTCTTTCACGGTGTTACACCAGAGAAAAGGTGATGGGTAGATGGAATGAAAGCGTTCGAAGAACTGAAATGATGTAAATTTTTGGCATAGAAAAAAAGTTAGATGTTGGTAGAAAGATAGGTAGCTGCATGTTATGAAGATACCGGAAGTGTATGTGTAAGAGTCAAGTGTATTCTCCCACTTATTCCGACCTTCCCTGCCTCTACCGCTACTTACCTATTCACATGCCTTCTGCAGCCTTTATCCCATCTACCTTTGCTGTCCTTTCCTCTGGTATCCATCTTTTTAATTTTGTCCTTGTCTTTAATCGGGTAACGTGGCATGTACGAATCGTAACCGGCAAACAAACTCCAACCATCGTCAACGAACACATAATTGATCTCTATGTATGGTCCTGGGGATTTCCCACATCCCGCACTTGAAGCTTCTCTTAGGTAACCTTCGATTTTTCTTTTCTTTCATTCCTTATGTGTTTCATACGACGAAAAAGGGGTGTAACCTTATCTGACAAGCGTCTCACCATATCTTTCACATGTCTCATCATATGTTTTTGAGATTCTCCGATTTTGGAAAAAAAGAATTTCTATGCACTTCAACGGCCTTCTCGAGGCCGATGAACGCCTTTGCTACACATGGAAAGAAACTCATTGAAAACGGGACACGATTATAGGGATAGTATCGTAGAAATATCTAATCTACAGTTTATCAGTACACTAATATACAGTTGGTTCATGACCTCAGCAGGATTTTCCTGCTACTCCCCCTTGCTCCCTCTGCTGAACGAGCTGGCTTTCGCTAACAGTCCACAACTAGGTACTGACGCAGGAAGCACGCATGAACTGGAAGATACCCTGTACCGGTATGTTGTTGAGCACGCATCAAGCGCAGGCACTGGCAGGCGGCCTTCTGCAGCATCGCTGCGGCTAGGAGGATGCTTGGTTGACCTCCGTCGTCAATCAACATCCCTCTCTCTTAGCATCCTCATCGGAAGATAGCTACAATCCATCAAGTCTGGCATCAATGCTGATTCCACCCGGCAGTTCACCACTAGTAGACAAATGTCCACCGTAATCAGCACCACTTTTCCTTTACTTCCCCTTCTCCTGCTCCCGAACGCCCTCCTTCTCGCTGCTGTTGCTGGGCTGGGCCTCATAACGCTCCTTCAGGAAACAAAAGAGGCGCTCCTGAACCATATCTCGGTGTCTTTCTTGGACAATGGTTAAGTCTTCCTTGGGCCCATATTGGCAGTTGATCCCAGCGGCAAAATAAACCGGGTTATACGGCACCAGCTCATGCGTCCATCTCCTTTTGAAGACGGTTATACTATCCGGTACAGACTTGATGTCCCTGTCAAGTCTCGTAGTGCCGCTGACGAGTGTCTCCCAGTTCTCGTACAGCTTTCCCATGAGAATTCTGGGGTCCGATGGGAACTCGGGTCGCGGGAGAGCTTCGATCGGTCACGGGTTTTCCACGGCTTAAGCTCGGTGTAGGCCCATCTGGCCGTGCGTCTCTGAAGTGGCATGGTCTTGGCTAGCAGATCAAGCTTCTTGGTGAAAGCTGCCAGGTTGAGAAAGGAGATGGCAGTCCGGATCAGCGGTAGGTTTGCCCGGCGCGTGACCAAGACGTCAAAGAGTTGATCCTTTGTAACGGTAGGGAGAAGCGGGCAATTGTCGAGTACGTGCTCTTGGGTGTTGCAGAAAGGGCAGCCATCAATATCGCCCATATTGGACGGCGGCCCAAAGCAGTCGGCCAGCTCGTGGCCGGGCTTTCCACAGTCCTTGTTGCCGCAAAATTTGTCAACAAACTCGGGTCTCGTTTTGGCTTGGGCGGGGGTTTGCGGTACAGGAGCTACAGTCGGGGTCTGGGACTGTTGTCTTGCCTGGGAGGGTAGATACTCCTCCTCAAGCACGGATGTCGGAACTCTCAAAAGGAAACCTTGCTGTTGCTTTTTTGATTGCGGGGCCAACTTTCTGACGTCGGTTGTGTCGAGGCTACGCTTCGTTGAAGCCTGGCCTTGTTGAACTCTCGACAGCTGGCCAATATTAGCGATCGTAACAGTAGCGCCGACACCATTCCTTTTGATGTTCCTACCACGGCTGGTCCCGCGTACGGCACGGTCTGGTTCAACAGTTGAGGCTGGGTGTGTAGGAAGTCTGAGAGGAGCCGGCCCTCTTTCCTCTTTCAACGGCTCGTCGAGGCCGGCGTTTTTCACGTTTGTGATAGTAGCGTCGAGGCTCCATATGTCCAATCCAAGAATTGGCTGTGCCGTCAACATTGGATGCGCCTCCTCCGTTGCAGCGATGTCGGAGTTTGGACGCTCATTCTCCTCTCTCGACGGTTGGCCAATGTTGGTGCTCGTGGCATCGACAAAATGGGGCCCGCCCGGTGCACTTGGAACAGACATGTCACCGGGTGGGACAATTTCGTTAGAAATCTGGCTCTCACGAGATGTTTCTGCGTGTTTGGCATGGTAGAAAATCTCGTACTCGGTAGAGAAGGGCCCAATGTGCGCTGACGGCTTGGAGTAATGAAATTTGTTGCCAAAATCACCAGCACCGAGGGCATACCCTATAAAGGTAACTTGGTTAGAATAGATCGATAAAGGACAAAGCGTACATGTAAAAATGGGGGAGTGTTGATCCAAGGAGATCGCGTGTGTGAATAGCCTCTGAGCGAGTGGGGGCTCGTGACAAACTTGCCTCTCATCCATAAGCAGAAGTCCATGGCATAGCGATGCGATGCAGTCGACACGCGATTCAATCCGAGATTATAAAATCTCGTCATCACATACTTGAATCCCTCCCCCTCGAGGTAGCCTTCGTGGATCTTGCTTGCGGCAGTGGCCTGCGCAAGGGTTACACCGTCGCCAACGGGGGATTGGAGAGGGTCTGGCAGTTTCACACCGAAGTGGGTTACCGCAATCTTGAAGTCGACGAACCAGTGGCGGTTAAGCTCATCGTGGGGCTTTGGCGATTGCAAGACGCTGGTATACGTCGCCATTGATGAGTGTCCGTCTACGGGGCCCATCGCCACCAGCTCGTTGAACATGTTATCCACGACGTGGTGGTCCAACGCAGACACCGGCGATAGAAATGAATTTGCATCCATCGCAGTCTTGAGCTTGTCGACTGCGGTTGTCAAGGGGCGTGGACGGTGCTTGTCGAAATAGCGGGATAGGGTGAGGTGCGAGGGAGGAGGATGAGAAAAGTTCAACCTTGCGATTGCGTCCCACCTCCGTATTAAATCTGGAGCGAAATTTGTGCGCTGACTTCAGTTCGTAGGTCGCAAGTGAAGGGAGACGGAATTCATGGGCCGGCCCCGCTCCTCGCTCCTGCTGCGTTTATACATCTGACAGCCGGGCACAGACTCCGTGGTACCTAAGGTCTACATCTGGCAGATACAGTCGGCAAGAGTCCGGTACTTTGGCTCAGCTGTGAAATGTTGGGATGCCTCATCTGTTTAGCGAGTCTTTGCCAGTCACTGTCCGAGGAAGTGGTCCGTTCAAATTTTCGTGAGGGCGTTCGGGCGATTCCCTTGGGCTTTTTTTTCTCTTTTTTTCTTTCCCTTTTTTTGCACGCTCTCCCTCCCCACCTCTGTCTGCTTTGTTGACTAGCTCTAGATCTTAGTTATAATGATTCCACGTTCATCCATCCAGCAACTAGTATACCTACACACACTACTTGATCATTTTGCTTGTTGAATGTATTTCTGATCTCCCGTTCGTCAATCGCTGCAAGAAAAGATATCCATTGGGGAATGAAATAGGAACTCAACAACTACCGTCAAGTGCTCAAATAATGCGGCTTGCCTAGCACGTTCGTACTATGGTCGTAAGAGAGACCTATTGAATGGGGGCCTTACCAGACGGCGCACTTCTTGAGTAATACTGACAAGGCATCTTTTCGAAAGCACGAACGAGTCCGAAGATGAATCGACCCTCCACTCACCCACCTCCCCCAAACCACCCACCGCTGCCCTGGTCTGGTACCACCAGGCCACCGCCTCCCCAGTCGGGCGCCGCCAGGAAGGCCATGCTCAGGCAGCATGATACCCAAACATAACCTTCCCATAATCAACCCCAGTGCGTTTAACCTTCAAACATCCACCCTCCTTCCCCTTTTCTCCCTCACAGCTGTGATCCCACGAAATGGCGCAGCTCTCCCTGCTTTTCCACTCGTGCCCGACAAGGTCGTGGACGCAGTACCACTGGCTAATGTCCCCTACCTTCATAAACTCGTCAAACTTCTCCCACGAGTAATCGTGCGCGATAACGCTGGCCACGCGCAGGAACAAGTCCTCGAGACGCAAACCGCCCGTTACTTGCGGCTTGATCAGTCGTAAGCGACGCTTGTGTTCGTCGGAAAGCAGGGAGGGGGCGAGGAGGCGCTCCCAGAGGTCAGGCTGGACGAGGGACTCGACGGATATGGAGGGGCGCGGGTCGATAATTGTGGTGGTGTCGAGGCTGGCCTTGGAGTCGGAGTTGGAGGTGGGAATGGAGAGGGTGAGCTGAGGCATCTCGGCGAGCGACCGCTTGGACTTGTGAGACTTGAGCGTCTTTGGGCAGGGCGTGTCGGGCTCTGGTCCGAGGACAGGAGACGCTTGGGCAGCCAGGGCGGCTTGGGCTTGGGCTTCCTGCTCGAACTTGGCGAGGCGGAGCTCGAGGAGCTTGGTGTTGCCGGTGAGGACATCGCGCTCGTAGTTGAGGTTATTGATGGTCTTTTGTAGCTCGGCGATCTTTTCCTCCTCCGTCTTGGGCTTGTTGGGGCTGTTCTTGCTGGCCTTATCGGCGGCGGCCTTGGTTGCGTCGTTGGCGGCGGTGGGGAGGGCGCTTGAGGGCTTTCCGGAGATTGTGCCGGTGGTGTTGTCGCCGATGTGACGAGTGATGAAGGCGATCTTCTGCTCGAATCTGGCGAACCCGTCGACGAGGAACTTGTACTGGGCGTCGCGGAAGTTGGTCGCGTTCTGGACACTGCGAAGTGCATGTGAGCTGAGCTTGCTGTAAAGAGCCTTGAGACCCTTGTTTTCGGCATCTCTGCCCTCCATGTGACGAGCCATTTCGACAATCTTTTTCTCGAGATGGTCATGCTGGTCTTGGAACATCAGTCGCTCGCGCTGCATGTCTTCCTTTGCGAGCTTGAGCTCTTCCATCGTCAGTACCATCACCTCCTTTGCCTGAGCCGCGGTCTCTTTGAAATCCTTGCATTGGGTTAGCACCTCCTGGCAGTCCTCCAGCAGCAGGACAGAGCGTTGTATTTTCTTGTCAACGTCGTCGGTACTGTACTCCAGGCTACTGATCTGATCTCTCAGGTCGATCGTAGCATTATCAATGGTCCTGTTAGCATCATTGGCCACCTTGTTGAACTCCTTGGTCATCTTCTCGGTCATCTTCTTCGAATTTTTCTGCATCTCTTCTGAGGTGTGCTGCAGTTTCTCGACCTGTTCAACCATGGATTGTCCAGTAAGAGCCAGTGCCTGGACGCATTTGTCTGACATCTTCTTGGAGTCATCCGACATCGTCTTTGAGGTTAGCTCCATCTGCTGCTTGATCTGCTCCTTGACCTGCTCCCTGATCTGCTCCATCGTATCTTTTGAGCTGTGCTCCAGCATCTCTTGGATCTGCTCCAACTTCTTTGACACCTCTTCAATCACCGACTTGGTGACTTGCCTCTGGCTGGCAATCTCCTGTGCACTTGCGACATGGCTGATGAACTGGCCATTGAGATTGTCCAGATAAACCAAGCAGATCGTCAGAGTCTCATCAACTTGACCGGTTTCTGCGATCCTGTTGCCCACGCGAGTGAGAAGTTCCGCAAGAGCGTTTGCGCTGTTGGAAAGATTGGCGATGCTCTGTGACAACACAGTGTCCTGCGCATCCTTCGTCGCTTGTGAGTCCTGAGGGGTTGACATGTCTGCGTAGTGCTGCTTCGTCCTTGATGTAGCTGTGATGGTGAGTTTAAGAGACTGAGGTTGACAAACGATAAGTGTAGAGGGGCGCGCGTTCATCCAAACTTTGATGAAGTCGTTGACGAAATGAGAGTGAGTTGAAGAACCAAACCGTAGACTGCTTGGACTTTTGAGTATTGGGCGATGATTGAAAGCTCAGAAAGCGAAGGCGTTTTGCAGTTGGAGTGCGCAAAGACGGATGTTGGAGTTGAAAGTGAGTGGTGGTTGAGGAACAGGAGGAGGAGGAAGTGGAAAGGAAGGCCCGCCAAGAGATGGAATAAATACCGTGTGGACTGTGTGCGTGTTGCTGTGGTGATCTGCATTACAATAAAAGGGTCCGAAATGGCCACCCAAACTGCTATTTTCTGTATGTCAAGGTATGCACGGATACCACGGCGACAGCTGTCTCCTCGGTCCACTTTCAACGTCAATTGATCTTCCTTTCTCTTTCTCCCAAAAAAACACTCGCGTCAATTCTCGTGAGCAAACACCGAAAACAACCGACAGTCCCCTTCTGTAGGGGCGAGCGAGGATCCATCACGACGACCTGATTCGACTGATTTGGACGTGGAGCTGTCCCGATTGACAACTCTTTGGCTGAAATGACTGGTCAAGAAAGATGCCGAATCCCCTGTCGATTGGTACAGCTACCCGCCACGTATCGCAGCGATGGAGCGTCTGCATAGGGCCAACAACTCATCCTTGTGCATGCAGGGTCTGGAAGTTTTACCTTTGGGCTTCAAGAGAATCAATTCGATGGACGACGGCTGATGGCAGAAAATGTGAGTTTTAGAATGACTCCGTCCAAGCCTTCTGGCTTTCTTGCTTGGTCGTGTCCTTGACCTCTCGTTGCCGTCTGCTTCTTCCTCTTCTCCCTTCCCGCTTGCCTGTGGTTGACTGACGAAAATAAAAGCTCGAAAGCGCCTGGACGGTGTAACTCGAGACGACCACTCCTTGCGAGCCCAATCCTTTCGAGTCTTTCTTCAGTCTTCATCCAAAGACATATCAGCAAAATCACCACCCAATGCTCTCTGAAGCAACATAAAACACCCGCAGGCCTTCATGTTTGGACTGGAATCTTCAGGCTCCGCGGCTGAGCCTTCGCGCCCTGCTTCGCTGTTCCGCACTCGCACACAACGCTCCAACCGCTCACACCAGTCAATCTTCAAGGAGGAGTTCAACTCAGACCTCTCATTGCCACTCTCATCACATACACACGGCCACCATCGTCAGGTTCCTTACCATCACCACAACGGCAGCAGTTACAGCAGCTACAAGCCTGTCACCGCTCCTATTCCCCACCGGCCGTCTACAGATACTGGCGGTAGCACCCTATACAACGACCGAGAAAGAGAACGGGCTGGAGATTCAGACCAGGAGGCAATGGCAACCCCGACACCCAGAGAGGTTCATCGCCTCGCATCTCATCACGACTTCATTTATGACACAAGCTCGAAACCACGGCGACTTGGATGGAGGGCGTTTGTGGGAAGACACCTCTCTCTTCCAGCAGCATTCATTACGGGTATCATCTTTGTCATTGTCGCCATAGTATTTACCACTGTGACGAGCAAACGACCGCTGGAGTGCCCAGACTGGGCAGAAGATTGTCGCACGGTTGACCGATGGACGACCGAACACCTCCCGACTATTCAGGGCGTCATCACTCTCGTTTACATCATTGGACTGGGAGCGCTTGCCTATGTAGCTCTCGCGCTATGTGAAGCCGCGGTTTGGCCGCTGCTGGTCAAGCAGACTATGACAATGAGGGGTCTGGAGGCGTACCTGGCAACAACACGCGGTTCTATCCTGGCTGCCCCGAGAGCCTTCATGGAAGCCAAGACGGTTGCCATGGGAGTGATGCTCGTTTGCGCGGTAACGTCAGTCTTAACACCGCTCGCTGGGATACCGTTGGTTGGGCAGGCTTATACAACCATGTCGAGAGAGGTCGAACTTAAGAGCAACTACACGCCTGGTGGTGGACTTGAAGAGTCATTCCAGCAAACCGAAGCACCGAGCTTTGCCAACATGGGCGTCCTGACCACATACAACTCGTGGGCTATGGACCCAGCCTCGGAACCTCTGCCAGAATACCAGGATTGGTATGTTGATCGGGAGGTGCTCGGCACCAAGGGAAACCTCTCTGCTCGGGCCGTCAAGTTACAGACAACTGTGTCGTGCAGCCCAAGGACAGTCGAACAACTTATCCGAAGTGGGAAGCCGTTGAACGCCTTTCCCACAAACTGGACTCGCGCCAATATCAGCTCTCTAAGAGGTGAGAAACGTACTCCAGCAGAGGTTTACGTGCGTCCGCAACCCGAATTGACGGGTTGGGCCGACAACTTCACCTTTGAGGCATCTCATCGAACCAAAGCGACCCTGGTCTTTGCCGCTCTCAACGGAACCATCGAAGGCGGCAAGGAATCCAACTTTACGCTTGGCACCATGAAGAGCGTGTCAGCTATAGCTTGCGAGGTGATTATCTCGGCTACAGACGACATCCTCACCATTGGTAACCCATCAAGCCGCGCAGATAACACAACACTCCCGACCCTCTCGTCCCTCGAGACCCTTCACACCAACACCTCCAACCCCTCGACTGCCCTTAACGAGCTTCTCCTCTGGTTTACCATTGCCCCCATTCTCTCCGCTCCGAGCGTATCAGGGGCCCAACCAATGTTCTCCAACTCTACCTCCACCAACCGCGCCGTAGCCTACACCGGTCAAGCCGCTCAGCGCAACACCTGGACAATCGACGGCATCGAGTCCTTTATTCACCTCTCCATCGGTGCTTTACTACAGTCCACCACCGCGTCTCAAGCCGGATCCACCGACAACACCACCCTTCTTACCTCCACTTATCCTCTCCAGTTCCTCTCCCGGTTGCGTGCCCTCTTGCTCCTGCTCCTACCTCTCCTTTTGGTCACTCTCATAGTCTGTCTCTCGTTCTACCTGAGCCACATCCACGCCCGCGAGTCCATCCCCGTCCTTCGTCTTGCCGGACCTTGCGAGTTGCTCAAGAGTTCCCAGACACATTGGCTGCGTGAGCAGGCCGGAACGGATGCAGCCAAGACCTACCTCCCGAGCGACTTGGGTGCGACTACGGTCAGATTTGGAGCAGTTGGAAAAGAGGGGGCCGAGATGGTTGGACTGGGAGATGGGAATGGACGAAAGGTTGGGTCGTTTGTGAAAGAGATCCCTCGAAGAGTACAACCCCTCGATAAAGGGAAGGAAAGTGGTGAGAGTCAGAAAGAAGGAAATTTGGGGGAGACGGTGGAGATGGGCGTCATTGCCTGAGTCTACTCACCAATCAGGTTGGCTGGGACTTTGGCGGGTTACGGAATGGAATATGCGAGAGGAAAAGCCTGGCGCGGTTCACAGGATGATGATTTACGACGATATGACTTACGGACATTATTTTAACGACCATTTGACTGCATGATTTGGAATATGAGAAAAGGGCTGATAGGGCCTGGAGCTCTGGGAAGAGGCCGATGCACTTACGATGATGCCACTCGGTTGCAAAATCAACCGCTGTGATGAATGGGCGATATTCAAGAGTCAAAAAAGCGCGGTAGACGATCAGGAAATTTGAGAGCAGCATGCTATTTATGTTCTTGTTTCTCGCGATTGTTTTCAGGAATGAATAGGCCCTTTCGAGTTGGCTAACATTCGGCTACGGATCTGGGGCTTTCCCCGCTTGAATCACTCGCACCTCTTTACCTAACACTTATCTACGCTATCATCTTTTCCTAAATCATTCCAACTGATTTGCGAATCTTTTCTCCTGAACTCCAGCTCTGCCTTCCTGATTTGAGAAGACGTTGAACGACGATAACGGCGGACGTTGAAGTCTCGGAACACTTACCGCATTTGGCATGTACTGCCAAGCTGGGATGTCACCATCACCTTCCACGGCTTCCGTCACTGAAGACATCGATTGTCCCACCCCCGCACTATCGATTTTGTGGCGCAAGCAGTGCAGTGACCATCAACAAGAACCATTGGCTCCGGTGAGCGGCTGAACTCCGATTGTGTTTCAATATGCCTTACCCAGCGCTTCTTTGGGTCTCAAAGCCACATTGAACTGCAGCCGATATCCGAAGAGGAGATGATCTCGATCAGGTTGTGTCTATAAAGACGACAATCCTGTTCACAACTTCACAGCAGACCTCACATTGTAGGGCCAGAACGGATTCTACATGTTGTTCTTTCCCGAGCGTCGCCTCCGCGTTTCTTTCTCCAAAGCACACCGATTATGGACAACGACAAGCAGACTCGACTTCACCAGGAGATATGCCGCGTGGTCGAATCCATCCAGGATGAAGACCTATTCATCCTCGCCCGCATAGCTCTCTGCTGGCTCTGCGTCTCCGCGCGCCCCCTCCAGTCCCGAGAACTCTGGCTCGCCCTCCTGATATCACAGACGCAATCAACCAGAGGCAGCGATCAGGTCGATGTACTCGTCAACAACGGCGTTCCTCTCCAGGTAGAAACCGCCGTCGCTTCACTCACTGGCTTGCTCGGAGGCCTGGTATCTTTCCACCCAGATCCTCGCCGTCCGGACCAGACCAAGACCTATGTCGCCCTGAGCGACCCCGACCTGGCCACGGTCATGTTTGAGCTGAGGAGTTCAGACTTACCTGCGCCGGTGCAGCGACTGGGCTTCAACTTCCAACAGGCAAACATGATTGTTACTGGAGAATGCGCCGTCATCTGCAGTCGGTCTGTTCTCCGGCTAGGCCATGTTCACGACCAGTCTACTGATCAGAATGCCCCGACGTCCTCGCTCGTTCTCTACGCTTGGAAGCACTGGAACAGACACTGGAGTTTGGCCAGGTGGAATCTGGCTGATGCTGATGAAGGTGCCATAGCGGAGATGATGATGGTTGGCGTCATCACGGATACCTTGGTCTTCCTGCTGGTGCTCAACGACTTCTTGACGGGGCCTATTTCCGTCCCCGCGCCTGCAACTGAAGAACGGGTGCGATGTACAGCGCTTATCAAGCAAGCTCAGGAGGCACTGGAGAGACCCATCTATTTGCTATCCATATTGGCAACAGGAAGCTCTTCTACTTGGTGCACACGCCTTCATCAAGCCCAACAAGGATTTGAACGACGGCCCGAGGGATACGTGCCGATGAAACTAGGGACTCCTCCTAGGAAACTCACCAAGGTACAGACCGTCTGGATTGACCATGTCCCCAAGAAAATGCGTCAGTTTTACGACGACACAAACGGCTTCACAGCGGCACTCATCTACATCTTTGCGGACGTGGCTCGAGATCTGCGCTCCCTCGCCATGATCATCTCCCAGAAGCCCATCTACGAGGAACTCCTGAAGGAGTACGACAGCTGGCTACCGCTAGACATCCTCATCAACGTCGCCAACTTCATGGAAGGCATAGCCAGCTACCCCTTCATGTCGGAACTGCCCGACGGCAACACCTACAACCCGTTGATCATCAAAGAACCGAGCGACCCTGACTACGACACTGCCTTGTTGGTTCTTAGTCGGTTGACGAAGGAGAGTTCCCGCGGAAGCAAGGCCCTGAACGCGTCAGTGGATTCCCAGCTGGCAGCGAATGCAGCCAAATCGCATCCCCTCGGCATCTCCCCCTATCGCCTCCGCGCCGTTGTTTTTGTTGAGAAAGCAAAGAGTCTTCGTAAACGTTCAACTACTTCACAAGCAACTTACTACACCATCAACGACATGCGCTTCCTTTCCCAGCGCACCACCTCCTTTGCTACTTTTCCCCAGCTCCTCCAAGGTGCAGGCGGGGCAGGATCTACCCTCACACGCTTCATACCCTCTCGCATCTCCCGCCTACTCCGCGGGTCTTCTACCCCAGAGCCTCAACCCTCTTCCACCGACCCTGCCAACCCCAGCGCGGACACCACAGCCGAAAACACCGGCGGCATCCTGACCTTCCTCGACAAGTTCGGCGCCGGCGCCTTCACAGGCGGCGCCATCGAGCGCTGGCCTCTCATCAAACTCGCTCTCTTGCTCCCCGGCGGCTACTTCTCTCTGATCATCTACTTTGTCGTAGCCATCCTGCTCAACCACATCCGCACCATATTCGTCCCCTGGCTAGGAAACTGGATGTGGTACACACCAATGGAAGACCTGCGCCTAGCACTAGGAACCAACCCGGCCTTCTTCCTAGAATACGCCCTCGGGTTTTCCTGGTGGTGGTACGCCTTTTCTTTCATCCAAAAAATGGCCTGGGATTTCTGTGGCGGCCTGGCCATTGCCACGCTCACAATATACGGGATTCCTGACCCGGACGATCCTGCGCAGTTACATGCCAAGTCAGGTGGTATGACGACTTTGCATCTTTTGGATTCAGATTCCGACTCAGATTCCCCCCCAGAAGACTCCCCAGACTCCTCCTCATCAGCAGAATCAAGTGCCGAGAAGAAAAAGGCAAAAAACGAAGCAAAATGGAAATCCCGCAAACTAGACCTCCTAAAAATCGGTTATCTAGTATGGGCCCTCGCAACACTAGAACACATGTTCGCCCGCACTCTCAACACCATCACCTTCCTCATAGCATGGTACCGCCTCGCCTTCCGGGGCGGCGACGCCGAGCACCTGGCCATGGTCAACGTCGCCGTCAAAAACTGGACAAAAATGCCACTGCACGTGTCGCAGGTGTACTGGTACAGCATGAACGCCCTGTGGCCGATTGTGCTTAGCGCTTTCGCGCTGGCGGTGGCGAGGCAGCCGGGCATGTTAGTGCTGCTGGGGATTATTGTGGGAGGCGTGGCGGCCGTGATACGGTACAGGAGCACGGTGTTTATTGCGTTGGAGGTCAGCGGGTTGTTTGTGGTTATGGGGCTGGTGGTGGTGAGTGCCGTGTTGTTGGCGGTGGAGTTTGTGGAGGATCCGTTGGGACTGAAGATGGGCACGGCGGTGGCGAGGAAGAGGGGGATTAGAGCGAGGGGGGTGTTGGCGGAGAGGGCGAAGGGGAGGACCAAGATTTTGAGGAGGGAGGAGGCGCTTTCGCTTTGGGGAGATCTCCCGCAGCAGCAGCAGCAGGAACACCAGCCGGAAGAAGAGGTTGTTGTTGAAGTCGAGCGAAGCAGCGCTGCTGCGGGTACCTCTACCGAGAAGGGAGGGCTTCAAAAGACTGACTAAGGAAAGGCAGCAAGGCAGGGATGGGAGCAATAGGTGAGGTGTGAACCATCATATATATCATTGAGACATTACGGACTATGTTTTACGGTTTCTTTCTAGCTCAAGCTCCTTTTCCCAGCCGCCACTGTATAGAAGGCGTCCTTGAAGACCTCTTTAACTGATGCCCGCAACTTCTCGATCTGTCCTCTCCACCCATGAATCTCCTTTCATACCCCCACCGCCTTTCCAATAGGGTATCCAATATCCTCTGCCCTAAACCTAGAGCGCCGCAACAGCAGCGACAAACCCAGCCAACGCCGCAGCCGCAGCAAAAGTCTGCTTAGGAGCGCCCGCATTCCCCGAAGCCGAAGTCGACGAGGCACCAGCGGCGGCGCCACCACTTTCACTACTAGCACCAGTCGCACTCGAAGCGGCCGCCGCCGTCGTCGTCGCATCGCCCGCATTACCCGCACCCGCACCCGTCGTCTTCGGCGTCAAATCGTCCGTCAACCCATCACAATTGTGGGTATTCTCCTCGCACGCCAAGCTATGATAAACGCTATAATAAGGCTGCCACCTGCTCGTGCACTGCTCGTAGTTGGTATACGGCATCAGCATGGAGAACACAACATCGTAATAAACGGCCGAGCACGCCTTCTCCAGGCTTGTGACCTCGGGCTGGCGGGCTGACAGGTAGCTGGCGGTCGCCGAGGTAAAGGCCGAGTAGCTCGAGGCCAAGCTGGCCGGCGGCGTCAGGGGGTTCTTGAATGTCCCGCAGGCGTACCTGTAGGGGTCGTCAGAGGTGCTTGCCGACATCCAGGCCATGTCGTCGTCGAGGGCGTCCTCCATCCAGTCTTCGAGCTTGCCAGTCGGCTGGGGCGCCGAGGTTATGAGCGATTCGTAGGCCAGGGCGCACGAGGTGTACAGAGGCTTTAAAGAGGTGGAGAGATAGGCCGGGTAGCCGTAGCCGTCCGTCCCATCGGATGGGACGTCGATGTCATCGGCATCGGGAATCTCGTCGTCGTCCGAGTCGCGTTTCTTGATGGCGGCGTTGACGACTTTGGGACGCGGTTCAGGGCGGAAGGCACGGATAGATGGGGGTTGAGTGACTTCGGGGCCGATGACCGCGACTGCTTGGTGGCCATGGGGAGGAGCAGCAAGCGCGGAGACGGTGGTGGTTACCGCCGCGATGGTGGTGCAGGTTCGGAGATGCATTGTTGGTATTGGCGCGGTTTGTTTTGGTTAAAGGAGGTGATGATAGTGAAGATGATAGTGCAGTGGGGATTGGGAAAACCGTTGACACGGGAAGGACGAGAAAAGGGAACAATGGGATTTTATCAACAACTGTCTTTGAACGTTAGGTAGCAAGGGGTTTACTTACAGTTCCCTTGATGTCATGTCATATCATATCCACTAGACTTGATGTTGGTTCAGTTAGTTCTGTTTAGGATGGTCGCCATCATGCTGTTGTCCTCGCCCCCGTCTCGCCCGAGATTGCGTTGTTACCTTTTTGGGTCTTGGCCTGATTCACACACACCCCCTGAAACCAAGCTCACCAAGCAAAGACAATGACAGGGGTTGTCAACTTGGCTTTACTGGCCTCACAGGGCATTTTGGTGCGGTCTTGACTCTTGACGCGCCACATTCGCTCGGAACCTGAATAAGATGTCGATGCTGCTGTTAGCCTGGTTTCTCCTTCCCTTTGACAATGCCAATTTCCCAATTCCAGGCAACCAGGGCGGCTTTCCGCTTCTGTCATTGGTTCCCGTCCCCAGCTGTTCAGATTCCCGTCTCGTCTCTGGCTCTCTGCTTCTTCGCCTTTCGCTCTAACGGGAAAACGGGACAAGACAGCGAAGGCGCATTTCTTATTGCGGATTGTTGATGGTCAATGCGAATGCGGGTTGTACTGTTGATACAGTTGGTGATCGGAATAGAGATACTGAGGAGTCCGGGTTACTAGTGAGTGTCTATGGAAACGATTCCTTGGAGCCCACCAGACGTCCTATCATGTCTGGCTTATCCTTGTGAATAGGTATGTACCTAGCTTCCTTCCCGGTTACCCTGAGTTCCTGTTGCGCCAACGTCAAGGGTCCCGTCACGCTGGCCTCTTTCCTTCCTTCCTTCAACATCAGCTGATCGGGTAGGTAGTGTCGGCGGTGTAGACAAGCATTTTTGAGCGAGGCAGTGCTCGATGCAAGCTGCAGGTGCATCGCACTAATGCAGGTACCTACCAAAGCTGCAAAGGTGCCCCTGGATATTGTGCGGGTGGTTAATTTACTCCCATGGGCAAACGGATCTTGTTTGACTCCAGTCCGTTTCCGAATTAATTGATTGATTTATTGATCACAGGTTACACGTACATGCCTTAAGCCCATCACACTTTCCCAACAGTTCAATTATAGCCATCATCATTATCATCATTTTGGTTTTCTGTCATATCCAATGGGGTATCATCACTGCATTCTCTGAGGCTCTCCTCCAACAGAATCCCACTGTATAATGACCATAGCAACTTCCCATCCATCCATCCATCCACCCGTCTGTCCGTCCGTCTTATTCCATTATCATTACCGCATCATTTGTGTTTTGGTTTATTGTAGTAAAAAGGGGGTATCATATCGGCATGTTGGCGCGTGGTTGCCGGTTTTATAGACTCTTTAAGACTCTTAGAGAGCAAAGACACCAACGAGGCCGGCAAATGCAGCGACGGCCGCAAGGACGGGAGCTGTGAGGATTCGTTTGTTAGCCATCGCGGACATGGAACAAGAAAAAGACGTAAAAGAAGCCCTGATCATACAGAAGTTGAAGGATGAGGGGGCAAGCGATTCGCTGGTGGGCGAGGAGCGAGAGGCAGAAGAAGATGAAGAAGAAGATGCAGGGGAAGAAGAAGATGCAGGGGAAGAAGGCTCCGTCTTCCATGATCCAGAGGTAATCGTAGGAAGACGCGTCAAGACCAAGGCAGAGGATGAGCCAGTAGATGTGGCGACGGCTTCAACAAAGTCAAACCCGACACAAGGCTAGGCTGGAAAACCACAACAAAAAGGTTTATGACTTACCAGAGCTGGAAGCAGCACCGCTCTTTCCGTTGAGCTTGCTGACAAGCGCCTTGCACTCAGCAGTATCGGTAACAAAGGTGAGCTCGACAAACTCGCGAACCTTGGTAGGGCAGTTGCCGACGGCGCTGCTGGCGCCCTTGGCCGCGTTGGACTGCCATGACATAGCCTCCTTCTCGTAGGATGAGTAGGCCGAGGCCAGGGACGCAGGGGGAGTGGCGGTCGTGCGGTCCGAGGTTTCGCAGGCTTTCTCGGCTTGGTCGATAGGGATCGTGGTAATGGGCTCCTCCTCAACGTTGTTCAAGAGCCAGGACGCGAGATCGGCGTCCGAGGGATACGGGGCGGCGCTCGTGATAGAGCTCATGACCGAGTTAATGCTGTTAACGCACTTGGTGAAATCGCTGCCTTTACCGGAAATTTCCATTGAAACCATGTAGGCCCGCTTGTTGACCCCGTGCTGTTGACCATGGTGACGGATGGCATCGTTGACAGGCGAATCTCCGGGCCTGAAGATGGGGCCGGGAGTGATCAGAGCGGCGGGGGCCTCAGCCCGGGGCTGGGGAACGGCAGAAGCCGAAGCGGTGGCCGCAAGGGCAACAAGAAGAGTGTTGGAGCGCATCGTGATGTGCGGGTTTCAGATTAGTTGCTTTTTGAGGTGAGATTGGAGAGTTGGAGTGAGGTGAACAAGGTGGTGAATGTCGAGGCAAGTCAATTAGTTATCTGGGGCAGCCCGGGTCTTTATGTATGTACAAACAAACATGACCTTCCGCTTCTTTGAGCTGAACCGTTTCCGGTCAGCATCCCGAGGCCGTGAATCGTTGCCTGTGTTCCCGCCCCTAGTAACAGGCGCAGCCCAATAGTCTGGTACCTGGCGCTAAACTGGTGTCTGGTGTAAGGCTCACTCGCTCAGCCCTCTGCTCGCTAGATGGTGGACTGTGAATGGAGGCGCAAGGAGTCCCAGGCTGCCAGAGGTGCCAAGGTATTCCAGGCCCATAAAGCTGAGCCGGATACAGCCTAGCTCCATCCCCAATGGCACTCCAAATCCACTATTCTAGGCAACAGACGGCCCAACACCCTCCATCTCAAGCAGTATTCCGCGCACCGTGATGGCCAGCCGTTGGCACCTTATTTTCTGCAGGAACCTTTGCAGTTTGCTCCCCAGTCCAGCCAGATCTTGCTTTGTGCTCCAACCGTCGAACAGGGGCCTGATACTACCTAACGACAAAGGGGTTCACCGAGGGGAACGGCGAGTGCAAAAGAGTTAAGCGTTCTTTTGTGCGTGAGACTTGTCCATGTGCCATTGGGAATACGGTCACCGCTTCGATTCGAACTGGGTATTTCTTCGTGGTGCAGTTCTGTGATGGGCGGAATACATACACGTGTAGAAAATGGGTGTAGAACAGTGTCGGTCATGACGGTATCCTGGCGTCAGCGGTGTCTTGGAAATTCCTGGACAGTTTCCCACAATAGATCGAGCTCAGTTGCTTTGATTGCCGAGGTATGAAGTATAAGCTTTGTAGATCGTGCAAATCTGGGGTTCTTTCTGGGCTGAATGCTGACTGACCCACAACGACCAGTTCGCGGACTTTGCGGCACAGTCCTAGGGGAGTGCATGATCGGGCAATGATCGACGCCAAAACAAAGGTCTGGATGAACATTTCCAAACGTGTCGTACGGCCACCAATCAGAATCAGGCACTCATAGGAAGGTTCTGAGGATCTGGACACATCGCGGCTGTGGGCGTTGTTGACTATCAGAACTTTCAGCACCACCGCGGTGCTTGAAATGATCCGCATGGCCCTTTGAAGTTCATGGCATCAGCGTCAGAAGAACTCAAACCCAACTGTGATGCTGGGAGGCGAGTAACGATGAATATCGCACCGAAATCAGCAAGTGGGTGCCCAAACATGTGATGGTGACAGACTTACCTGGTTCCAGCCCCCAGTACGTCGTAGTAAAGGCAGATCAGTTCATTTTCCTATAAAAGAGGCGAACAAATCAGCACACTTCCCATTCTTTGCTTCGTTTGCCACGCTCATCTTGAGTCACCGTTTCACCCGAAGGATTCCAATCTTCAGGGCCCCCAGACCTGGCGAAGGCACTACTGCTTCGACTCACTCGATTTGGTTTTGCTCAAAAAGCAAAACCACCGGGGATAACTACTCTTAACCAATCTGCTTACAAGCTGCTGCGGGTCGCATAATTTCTTGGGACAGATGCTGTGACAGAATTGGCTTGAACAAACCCAAATTGAGTGAGTCGAAGCGGTAGTGAAATGGTTAATTTGGCACAGCAGCCATCACAAAAGCTTTCAGGTATGGGTATATTAGAGAAAATATAGGATGATTTTGTTAGCATGTCCTATCGCTCAAGTGGCTGCTACGTGAGCTCGCGAATTTACTCACCTCGCTGCTACTGTCTCGACGTTTCCACGGTCCGGTTTTCGCCTCGAATCCCAGATATGGATCTGGATCCAACGTCGCTTTTCGCTCGAGTGCCCGATGTCCTCCAGAACCTCACATGGTCGATGCTGAAGCCCGAAAGAGACTGCGCGGCAACAGGAGCGTTCGTTGCTCAAGTCGTGCATTTCAAGCTTGAACGCAACGGAGACCAGAACAATTACCCGCTGCATAAACTCTCCGCTTTCATCAAAGGCTGCTCCGACGTGACATTGGCAGCTGTGTCCTATGGGGGATTGGCGGATTGGTTTATCTACAACTCTGCTGTCAATAGCAAAGGTTTGGTTTCGTTAGTGGAAAAAGTTGGCAACGGGACTTGGGTCTTGGACTATTGCAAGAGTTATAACTTTGAAGGAGATCCGGATCTAGCTGGTATTGGTGTGAGTGCTTGCGTTTCGGCCCCGGTGCGTTTTTCCCGCCTCCTTTCAACCTGGGCCCGAAAAGAAAATTACCATCTTCGGGCACTTCAGGCGACACCAGACTACAATAGCAAGTGCCGCATTGTTCGTCTTCTATCTCCTCAGCTTCGCCATATTGTGGATTGATCTTGTCATCTTTGGGCTGTCTCGTCAACGGGCCCACGAGCTTGCTGAAAATTCTGATTCTGAAGATGTATGGAGCTTCGGCCAGGTCGTGTCCCTGACGGGGTGGCATCCTGTGATCATTGGCCTTTTCCGGGTGTGGTTTTGTAGGTCCTTTTGTTGATCTTTTCCCCGCAGGTTTGTTATGATGTCCAAATGAACTAACGCAAGCCAGGGGAGTCCTTCCACGCATACTACACCGGAACAATCGCCCCAGTGCTTCTGGCTGTGAAAGAGGGTGCATTGAGCGTTTTTCGGTCATCGTCAGAAGCTAGTGAGACAGAACTAGATGCGGCCACATCGAGGGGTGGAGAACAGATCCCGGGCACTCGGGGTGGTCGGGGGAATGACGAAAGCCATACCGAGAAAGGCGAGGTGGAAATGAAAGCGCCGGTCGTTGAGGGAGAGTCACAGATCTGAAGACTGGGTTGATGTTAGATGGAGAACCTGCGAGAGCGACGAGTGGGATGAGAATCTAGCAAGCCGGCAGATGTGTCTTTGACCGAGTCATGATCATCATCGCAGCTTGTTTTCACCGGCCATGCGTGGTATATACGGCTCTGGCCTGCGGTTGGATTTGCTGTCGAGCTTCCCTTGCTGTCGTATGTAGCTTCCAAGATTCGATTCTGGGTTATGGAAACCAGGTCATGAATCTTGGGCAGTGTGCGTTTGCGATTAAACCGGCTGAAATCGTTGTAGAATTCATCCCCTAGAAATGGAGGTTAGCTATGCGAATGCTTGTTCGATTGCCCCGCAATCTGTGGCAAAATATTTCACAGAAATGCCGCAGAGTGGTGAGCTGGGACTTACATAAAAATAGCCGAAGATATTCTACAAATATCGAGAACCATGTCATGACCGTGAGTATCTGACCATATGTCCACCTATCCTCCAAGTAAGACTGACCCAGGAACTGGTGTGCCCCTGTGCGCATTTCGCCGAAGATGGCCAGGTCTATCCACATCGACAGGAAGGACACGGCAGATATGGTTCCTCTGAAGATACTCTCTGCTGTAGTTTGCCGGCCCGAGCAATTGCTTATCTCTCCGACAACATACCGGTACCAGGAGAGTATGCAGTAAAGGACCTGGTATGCTAGCCCGAGGGGGAGAATAACCTGGGAGAAATAGGAGACTTTCCACAGAACGTACCAGAAAGGTTCAAGATCGTAGCAGGTGATATCGTCAAAACATAAATCGGTTGGCAGGTAGTAGAAAATACCGTTTTCACAGTACACAACTGCCCATAGCAGGGCGACACATAAAAGTGCCGCATTCGGGAACTCGACCTTTCTCCTGTAGCATGGCCATAGACAAATGAGGACCGTCGTAGCAAAATGTTCTCCAATCACCAAAAACCATGGTGACTCACGCATGCCTTAGTCAGACATCACTGTTTTATCGCCAGGTTGGAAGCGAGTGCGATAGCCAGTGCAAAATAAAGCGATGCAGCCTAGAAGAATTTGATGAAGTTGTCGAGTATATCTTGACAGTCGGCAGCGGCTTTAGCGAGTCGAATGAGCCAACCGAAATGGAAAGAAGCTTGAGAGCTAAGTTTGAATAACAAGCTGAAAGAGGACTCATACAGGATACAGATCGTGGTCAGGCCAGCTTGTATGATGTATGTGTAATAGATCTGGGAAAACGCTGATGAGTAAATGCGCTTTGTTCGCTTGACGAAGAATGCAACATAGACATGTCTCCTTGCTTGAGGAAGTTGTACTTACACCCACGCCTGCCAAGTCTGGGTCGCCTTCCCAGTTATAATGTCGACAATAGCTTTCCTCGCATACCGGGTTGATGTGCACGATCTTCCACCACAAGTTATCGAGCGCGGTGGGGTTGCTTTCTCTATGGTATATATACCAGTTAACGGCATCGCCAGGTGAGAGTTTCCCCAGTGTCTTATTTGAGCAAGCATGGAGGAAGATTAATAGATCCGATACTGACGGTAAAGACGTCATCAACGCTTCCTGGTCGAGGAAGTATGAGATCTGAGCGGCGACGTTCCCAGCTGCAGAGCAGTTTCTCTCGGGCTCCAAGTGGTCCAGCGTCAAGTTTTGGAGGGCGATAGGCAGCTTAGCATAGATGTCGCCGAGATCGAAGATTGAAGACATGATCGCAATTCCAAGGATAAATTTAAACAGATCACCGCCATCTAGGTCACAGACGGCGCCAGGCATCTCCTGTTGAAAAGGAGCGAGGCGTCTGTTATATATCGAAACTCGTGGCATCGTGGGCGAACCAGCCGTTCCCAATAGTGACACAGAAGCCAGGCGGCCGGTACGAGGCCAGTTGTACCTCTTCTTGGTCACCCATCATCTTGGTAGAAGGGTGATAATGCCGTGGTAACAGGTGGCAGTGTTGAAACACCATCCTGATGGCAAGTGGCACATGTGGTCATCAAAGACCGAGTCCTCCAGGCCCCTCAGGGTCGTCTTCGAAGTTTTCGAAGTTGATGTCTTCACATGTCATGATGAACGTAACATGATGATGTTTGCTTGCACGGATGAGTCCACGGCGTGCCTTGTGTTAGGACATTGCTAGGCACGTTCGTAAGTAGGAATGCCCCGAGGAGAATACTTTGGTGCATGTGAAACCAAGTATCAGGCCTTCGATGCCTCGTTTCATCTGGCTGCGTATAGCCAAAAGTCAAAGGTACAAGGAATAGCCAGAGGAGGATTTGAGATGAGAAGTGGAAGAGTTGAAGAATGAAGATGAACGGTTGAAGTTGACTTCCCCACCGAGCAAGCCCCATAGGGCGGTCCAGCCTCATTCAGTTTCCCCACATCCCCACGAACTGCACCCTTTAATGCGCCACACTGCCCCACGCAGCAGTCGTCATCAGCGGATACGATAGGCAGCACTCCACAGCGCTTCAGGGCGGTCGATCTGTCATCAGCCGTCTGTCGCAACTCGCAACGCCAATCTTCCCCGCAACAACAACTACAACAACAACATCAACATCAAACATTGCTCTCCCATCAACAACTCACCCACCGCTTCAAACCTACCCAACCCACACACAAAAGAGTCACCGCGTCACGCGCCCCCATCGCCAAAATGAACCGCCTCTTCGGCACCACCTCCAAGTCCACCGCCGCCCAAAAACCAACCCTCACAACCGCCATCTCCAGTCTCGACACGCGCCTCAGTTCCATCGACGTGAAGCTCGCCTCCCTAACCGCCGAACTCTCAGGTTACCAAACGAAACTCAGCAAAATGCGAGACGGCCCGGGAAAAACCGCCCTAAAACAAAAAGCGCTCAAAGTCCTGCGGCAGCGCAAGCAGTACGAGGCGCAGCGCGACCAGATCCAGTCGCAGGTGTGGAACATGGAGCAGGCGCAGACGATGCAGGACAACCTCAAGAACACGATGGTGACGATCGACGCTTTGAAGACGACGAACAAGCAGCTGAAAAAAGAGTATGGGAAGGTGGACTTGGACAAGATTGAACGACTGCAGGACGAGATGGCGGATTTGCTGGATGTGGGGAATGAGATCCAGGAGAGCCTGGCCAGGAGCTATGAGGTTCCCGAAGATGTGGATGAAGATGAGCTGGATGCAGAGCTGGAGGCGCTGGGCCAAGAGGTGGAATTGGAGAGGGAGATGTATGGGAGTGGATTGGAGGGGGCCGGTGGGGTGCCGAGTTTTATGCAGGATGAGGTACCGGAGTTTGTGGATGAGGAGCCTAAGGTGGGAGGGAAGGTTAAGGAGGTTGCTGGTTAGTGGTTAGGGGGGAGATAGTTGAGCAAGGAGGAGGGGTTATCTTCGTTCTCATCGATGGCCATTGGAAGTAGACTACCTGGTTCCTGCAACTACGAGCAGGATGGCTTGACGTATGAAGGTGTATATGATGAGAAGGGCGGGGGGCTGGGTTGGACCACGTTTTGGGTGGGGAGTTAAGAGAGTTCGACATGTTTGCTTTGGGATTGGAGTTGTGGCTTGATGATTTTAGGTTGGAAGCTGAGGCAGGGTAACTGCAGGCAGTCCGATTGAAGCATATACCGTATACCAATGGAAGAAGGCGGCAATACAGTCAGGCGGTGTTTCTTCCATTTCCATTGCCTTCAACCCGAGTTGTATTTGGAGTGGGAGTCTGTGTTTCTCACTGCCATTCAGGGCACACAACACATCAGGGACATCACCGTACAAATTCAGATAAAGACACTCCCATTGAGCATAGAATTTGACCTTCTCTATCGCGAAAAATATGACAATAGACAACACGGCTATCATCAAATTCATAAAGGATACCTAACAAACAATGATGCGCACTCGCACAAAACACCAAAGACTCCTTGCCATGATCTTGTGATCTCTGTGGCACTTGACCATCCAACTAACGCCTGTACTCCATCAATCTGGGCTACCTTTTGACAATAACAGTGTGCCAAGCGAGCTGGGTACTAAAAGATACCTCTACAGAAAAACCAACCAAAAATTAGACCTACACGCTCGATCACATTACTGCACCGTGTCAAAGAACTGACTGGCCTCCTCCAACTCCTTATCGCCGTTACAAAAATCCCACCCGACGATAAAACTGGTTTGACTACAACAGATGATCCTCCGGGCATCGTACTGCAACTTGAACACCCTCGGCGCATTCTCCTCCGCCGGTGCTGCGGGGATGTGCGGATGATGGCGCCCACCTGCCGTGGGCGGGAGTGGAGGCTGTTGTGCTGCTGGCGCTGCGGTAGCATCCGTGGGAGCAACCGGCACCTGTGGTAACGAGACTTGCGGAACAACAGGTTGACCTGCCGCTGCTCCTGCTACCAGTGCTGCTGCTGCTGCCGTTGCCGTTGCCGTGGTCGTACCAGTTCCAATGACGCCGTTGCCACCACCATCATCAGCAGCGTTAGCAGCCACGACATTTTCTTGGTTGCGGATTAATTCACTTCGAGTTCGGTTGTGGTTCCACTGATTGTGAATATGAGCACCAGTCCACGCGTGTCGCAACTGAGTTCGTATTTCCTGGTCCGACTGCCGGTTGATCGCTCGGTCTACCATGTGGCGTAGAGAGATGATCTCAGGGCGAGCCTGAAGAAGATTCCTAAATGCAGTTGGGCCGCTTTGGACAGCGCCGTGGACCATCTGCTCGTATTGAAGCAGGGTAGCTGGATCCATTGTCTCGGGCGGCCTTGCAGCCGCCGGTCCAGGGGGAGCGCTTGCGGTCCGCGAGGAGCCAGCAACTGCGTGAGGGTGTGTAGGCGCGGGCATGCTGGCTGCACTCAAACCCGAACGCATGGTTGGATGCAGTGGAATCCTGCCAGGCAGATCGGGCGGGGCGTCGTCCCGCCTCGAAGCCGCTTCAGCAGCCTGTTCATGTCGGAGGTGATGCTGTGTTTTCCATACACCCTCCGAATCCCTCCTCCAAATGATAATGGTGGTGTCGTAACTTCCACTAACGATACGGCCAAACTTGCCACCGCCGCCGCCGGGTGGTAGCTTGGCTCCGGTCGCGCAAATGTCCTGCGGTTTGCTAGAGCCGGCGTTGGTCTTGTGGCGTGCCCTCTGATTGTCGTTTTCGTCGATCTCGCCCGCTTCCACGGCCTTGTAATAAGCCTCGTCGACCCTCTTGGCCCTCATCAAGTCTTCCTCTGCGCTATACGGGTGGTCGCCGAAGCCGGCTTGCACTGTCCGCACAAGCGCGGAATGGCCCTTCAGAGTGGTCACTTCCAGACCTGTCTGGCAATCAAAGATCTTGACTTCGTTGTCGCTGCTACCACTAACAATACGGCGGCCATCGTACTGCACACAGGCTATGCCCTTGTGGTGTCCTATTATGGTACGTTTGACTTCCTGCGTGGGCCAGTCCCATACCTTGATGTATCGGTCACCGCTAGCAGACACGACCTCTCTTTCGTGGATCTGCACCGCATTGACAGCTGCGCTATGCCCGATAAGGTGACCGATCATGGTCCACGGCGCTATTACTGGCGTCTCCTCAATACTTGGGGGAATGTTGTAGCCTACGTTGACAGTTGTACCGACCGGATCGATGGGATAGCCCAGGTCCCCCTGTCGAAGCGGCTTCCGGTTGAAGACCTTGATGGATTTGTCCTTGGAGCATGTTACCAGAATGCGCTTATCGAACTTGACGTTGAGGACGGATTCCTGGTGTGCGTGCTTGAGCACCTCGATAATTTCTCCGGTGGAAAAGCGCCAGACGATGACATCCGAATCTGAGCTGCCAGACACAATGATGTCCTCGTCCGGGCTGGAATCAAACTGAAGACAGAGAACGGAGCGACAGTGACCCTTGAGCGTCCGCAAGCAACGTCTGGTCTTCATATCCCACACCTTGATGGTAAGGTCTCTGCTGCCGCTGACGAGGTACTGGGGGTTGTACTGGATACTGTAGATGCATTCCCGGTGGCCTTCGTCGGGATAGTTCGGGTGGGGTAGCTGGAAGTTTTTGTATTTGCCGTGCTCCCAGTTGGCCTCGAGTCGCCGGCGCATGGTGTACAGATACTTCCAGTCAATCTTGTATCGGCGGTCGTTGGCATCCCACCACCACATAGTCGTCTTTTGCAGCGCTCCGGGAAGGATGGGGATCTTGTGAGTCATGGTGTCTCTGCAACGCGTGGTGGCAGAGTGCTGCTGCGGCGGCGGGCTCATGGCTCGTCCCTTTCCCTTGTCCGCTCGACTTCCTCTCCCGTTGACGTCGCCATGCTCGCTAGTCTGCGAGCGGGATACCCCGGGACCTCCACCACCAAAGATACTCGAGCCCGCCATGTCGATATCAGAAGGCTCATCACCCAGAGACATGTTGGTATCCTCATCAGCGGGCAACATGGGGGGTGATGCCTTGGCAATGGCCCTCCTCTTGTGGACATGTCCGTCTTCTTCGGATCGGTATTGCTCGAGATGGCTGGGGGTGGGCATGGGAGTCTGGTTCATCTTTTCTTCGGCGGCGTGAATCTCGTCCATCAGAGCCTTGAAGCCCTCCATGTAGTACAGATGCTGCCATAGCTTCCTATCCATGGCAAGCTCGTACCAGACTCGGCAGGCGCGGGCGACATTGATGAGGGAGAGGGGGTCGAGATAGCCCAAGATCTTTAGACATATTTCGGCCGGAAGATAGCGCACAAAGTCGATGTACAGTCGGGGGTATAGTTGTGTTTCGACGATTTGGGAGATGACGCTCGTGGGGAGGTCGTTGAGGAGCGCCATGGCGAGTTCTAAGACAAGAGAAGAGAAGCGCAAGCAGGTCAGTTGGACTGGTGAAGAAAAAAACAGCAAGGGGAAGAAGGGGGAAAAGAAGGGCCAACCTGTCTTGTTCTCCATGGAGAGGCCCGAGATGTGTTGAATCAGCCAGGGTGGGATGTCTGAGGCTTGGCGTGACGAAGTCAGGGCGCAAGGAGAGGCGTCGCGGGATTTGAGGCAGGAGGAATTGGCCTGGGGGTTCAGAGGGTCTTCCGAGTAACCTTCATCGGGCTGGATGTGGTGTTGGTGTTGCTGATGCGGAGGAAAGCCGGCCATGTTGTTATTCTAGGTCTCCGGGGTGATCCTGTCGGGGTTTGACGAGATGGAAGAGCGGAGAAGCGAAAAGGAAGCTGAATGAGAGTCGGTCGGTCGCGACGGGAGGAGGAGGATTGCCTGACTAGGCTGGGCACGCAGCGGGCATGCAGCAGGCACGGGCGCTGGCAGTAGCCGCCGGTAAGGTCGGGTAGGGGGAGTGGTAAGGAGTGGAGGGTAAGGTAGGTAGCTGGGTAGGTATAGCTGAGCCGAAGAAGGAGACTGAGCGAAAGTGAATGATTGCGAATATCACGTTACGAAGCACTTTGGTGACGACGATGGAGAGGCCTGACTGGGCTGGGCCTAGAAGGGGGTCTGGTCGTTTCGTTTCTTGTCCTTGTCGCTCGGCCGGGGAAAGCTCCGTTGAATGGGGGAATTGGAGGGGGGCCTTGTTGATGATTTTAGGGCATCTCTAGTAGTTGAAATTGATTGACGCCGCCGCTCCTTCTTGACTGGCTCCTTTGACTAATGCACAGGGCCAACAACCTAGTAGGCAGACGATGCGATGGAGATGACGGGACGGATCGAGGAAGTGGGCGGCGTGCGGATGGCGGCGGGTACAGTAATGATCCCTGCTTTTGCAATTAATTCCGGCGCCCTAAATATTTTGCAAAAGAGGGGGTTTTGCAAAAGGCGGTACTGACGCACAAACCAGGCAAAGGCCTTTCGACTATTGAACAATGGAAGATGGTCTGAAATAGTGGGCCACTGGGCCCCCGGTAGACAGGTATAAGTGTCGACGCCCACTAAAATCGGACCCCTGCTTTTGCAAATCCGGCCTTAGGTGTTTGCAATAGCAGATAGCAGTCTTCACCACCAGAGGGAATGCGGGCAGCCCAAATCTTTAGCAAAAGGGGGGGTTTTAGCAAAAGGAGGGGCTTGCAACTGCAGGGGTCATTACTGTAGGGGAGCGGGTTCAGGTGTCAGTCCAGCTTGTAGAATAGTGTCGTTGGCTTAAAGTTGCAGTAGTACAGGTAATGTAATCTCTCCACTACTGGCAAGCCAGGATTGTCTTCTGCAGGTGATAGGTTAGTCGGGTGGGTGAGTGGTTCGTTGGGTGGTGAGGTCGTGTGAGCGTCAGTGCTGTGCGTCAAATCCGTTGCTTCTACTGAAAGGTAAATTGGTCCACAAATGCGATCGACGCTGTTTGGCGATTTTTTATCCAAGTGCATCTGCTTCCAACGTGAAAAATTGCAAGAGGATGTTAATGCTGGAAACGGACGGTGTTGGTAGTTGGTTGTTGGTCACTACTTAGCAAACCTGCAGTGGACCTGAAAGAAATGACAGAACAATGAATGCTGGGATGGATGATCAGATCAGGTTCGAGATCAAGTTCACCACCCGACATGGGCAAGTGTGCACGAGTACAGATGCACTGGCGCCTGGGCACGAATCTGTCACCCGTCACAAGCACCAGGACTCATCAGGGTTCGGTTTATATATGGACGAGGCAAACAAATTTACCAACTGAAATGCACGTTGAAATGACAAACAAGGGGCCCTTGAAAGAAAGTTGGCCCGGGCGGTGACGTTTTGTCCCGCTGTTTTGCGGCGGAAAAGTGGTCCAAAGTGCTGATCTACAAATCAACGGCCCTGGGCCATTGCCTGTCGCTTTCCACTTCCAACTTCACTTCCACTTGTCACGACAATGTTCAATCTTCCAGATCAATTTAACAATTTCTTCAACCACCTTCCGTCTCTTCCTCCCTTCTTCGCTTCACCTTCTGCCCCTTGTCATCACACCCGTAGCAATCACCACAAATGACTTTCTTAAATCATCATGCTGTTGCAGCCGGCCCGTCAGTTAACGGTTGTTGGCATGCCATACCGCATTTAGCGCCATTTGCATTTCTTTCCTGGGGATGAGGGCCAACATCTTCAACGGCCAAAACCTGGCGACACTTTTCTCTTGATTGTTTACTTTTTCGACCCAAACAGGAAGAAGCCCCTGAGCTCCTTCTTTTACAAGGGGGTCCTCGGGTGCAAGAGCTGGACTCGATATCTCTACTACACGGACCAAGGTACCTTAGCTCTCACAACTTGCTCTTCTCATTCAACAAGCCATAAACCCTCGGGCCACTTTCCAACAACCCCCCCATCAATCTCTTCCACGCTCCTCACCCCCATCACGTTCATCAAAATGTCAAAATCCGCCAACAGACTCCTCAACACATGTCTCACCCCTTCCTCCCCCATGATCGCCAACCACGATACCCTCGAACCCCAAATCCGCCGCCTTTTTGGCGTCGGCTACGCTTTGAATGCCCTTAATCAAAAAGGGCTTATCCTTCCCGGCAATCTCCTGCCACCGTTCTCTAGCCCAAACCGCCTTCTCCCACGACCACGCCCGTCCGTGCCAGATGGTGTCGATCCACATGGTCGCCGCCCTCACCGGGCCTTGTTTCGGGTCCACTCTGTTCTCGCGCATCCGTCTCTGGAAGACGGGATCCGTGAAACCAAGATCGCCTCCCATGCCGCGGTGGAAAGCATAATTGCTCGTCGCCACGTCGTCGTGCCGCCATCCCAGCTGCGGCGTATCCGTCGTGAGGATACACCCCTCGAACCCGCTCTGATGCGCTCTCTTCAGCAAGCTCAGGGTAAGTTCGTCGTCGTGCGGTATGTAAAGCTGGAAAAAGCGCGGGCGTTTCGGGGACGTTCTGTTCATTCCTATCGTCTCCCAAGTTCCTGTTCGCTTCGAACCGGTTCTTCCGCCCGTCCATAGTATCTTGTCGTTGCGTTGTTTGGTGATTGAAAAATGATAAGCGGCGGGTCGAAAGAATGTCTCGATGGCTCGAAACCAAATTATCGAAAAGATAACAAAGGGTTTCAGGAGCCAAGAAGACAACCAACGATGGGAAGCTTTGTACCCGTGGCCGGAATTAGTGTGGACAGACAGACAGACAGACAGACAGACAGACAGACAGACAGACAGACAGGGTCGCAGCTGCAGAGGTAACTAACTAGTTGAGATCGATGATCGATGATCGATGATCCGTCGTGTAAACGCCGTCGTGACGTCAAGAGATAGGTCATTTAATACTACTACCGTACTACACCGCAGCTACCTAGTGGACCCCCACAACGAGCCAGTTGTCATCATGATAAGAGAGAAACAAGTCGAACGCAGTGAAGTACACATGCAATTGCTGCAGCTAGGTAGGTAGGAAATGTGTGATAGAGTGTCGAAGACACCAACCAACAAAAACTTGCAAAAGTACCGTCGTAACTCATAAACTTCATTAACAAAAAGATCCTTCCTGCTATCCAGAAACCCTCATCCATCAAAAGAACTACCTCTTCAAAAAAACAATAACTTCCGAAATCTCAAACCCAAATACCGACGTGGATGCTTCCATCTTAGTGCAAACGACCCATACCACTCTCACCCTGCTGCCCCTGCTCACCCTTCAACCCCCGCAAAGCCGTTTCTACCACCTCACTAACGTCATTATCCTGTCCGCAATGGCGGCACTTGTGAGGCACCGGCTTATGAATACCAACGACGCTAGAATGTTGTTGTTGTTGTTGCTTACCAGAAGCACCCTGACCCTCACTAGTGTTTTTCTGACCATGACCACCACCACCGGTCAGACCACTGATAGCGGAAGAAGCAACATTGGAAGCAGCAGACCAAGCCCCACTGGCAGCCGCCAGGGCTGGGTTGACCAGGGACGAAGTAGTAGAAGTAGAAGGAGAAGTGGAAGACCTTGGAGCAGCCGAAGCGTTGTTGTCATTAGCGGTAGCGGAAGAAGGCTTCTCGGCACCAACAGAGTGGCCCGGGGCAGACGCGGTATAAGCGCTTGGCATCTCTTCGGGGGACATATGCTTCTCCGGCTGCGCATGCTCATGCCCAATGGTGGGGTAGACACGACCGGTGACACCAGACTCGAGAGGAATACCGTTGTTAGTCTTCTCAGCACCGGAGTGACCGGGGACGGAAGCGGTGTAAGCCTCGGGCATCACTTGAGGAGACATGTGCTTCGTGGCCTCCTCAGCCCTGTTTCCAGCGGAAGGATAAGGAGAACGTTCGGTCGTAGACTCAGGCACGTGTTCTGCCCTATCTCCAGCGGAAGGGAAGGAAGGGCCGGTGGCCGTCAACTCGGGGATGCTGCGGTTAATCTTCTCTGCACCCGAGTGACCCGGGGCGGAAGCGGTATAGGTGTCGGGCATCACCTCGGGGGACATGTGCTTGGCGCGCATGGGCTCGGTGGTCGCAGGGGCGACGGAGGGCCCGGAACCGGCACCGGAGTTGCGTCCGGGAACCGAGGTGGTGTAGGCGTCCGGCATCACTTCGGGGGACATAAACTGCTGCGGAGGCTCGGCGGAGAGGACGGGCTTGTAGTGGTCTTGGGTGCGGCGGGTGGTGGTGGGGATGGCGGATAGGTCGGAAACCTGGTTCTGGTTCTGGTTCTTGTGCTGGTGCAAAGAGGTCGGCATGACGACGGCGGAGTGGCCGTGACCGGACTTGGACTGGGACTCGGCGGGCGGGAGAGCAGCGATGGGCTGCGACTCAGCAGGGGGAAGAGCTGCCTTGGGCTGAGACTCGGCAGGGGGGAGACCGCGCTGGTCGGCGCCGGTGGTCTCAGACTCAGAGGGGCCACCGTACTGGGTAGACCGAACAACAGGAGTAACAGCAGAATGCTGACTAGTATGAGCAGGTTGGGCGGCAGCCTGTTGGGCAGCGGACTTGGCAGCCAAAGTGTTCGTGGTGCTCTGCTCATGGATCTCATCCTTGATATCGTCCTTGGCCTTGTCCCGGTTGTCATGCATGGCAGCAACGTTCACGCCGGTGACAGTGCCAGACGCAAGAGTCCGGTAGATACCGTCCTTGTCCTGGTGATCAGCGCGGGTGACGGGCTCGGTCATCGCAGCCGGACCGGCTGACGAGTGAGAGCCACGGGGGGAATGATGAGGCGAGATCTTGACGCCCGAGGGAGTACCGGATGAGAGCTTGTTGTAGAGACCTTCCTCGGAATCAGTCCGGACGGCGTCGGTGGGAGCGTTGTGCTTGACGCCCTCGGAGGCACGGCGAGCGGAAGGCTGCTGGTGAGAAGTGGCACCGGCGATGACGCCCGAGGGAGTACCGGTGGCGAGGTGCTTGTAGTTACCGGGCTGCTGGGTAGTGCGGGGTTGATCCTCGGAACGGGCACGACCGACGTTGGCATTATCGATGGCGACGCCGGAGGGAGTTCCGGTGTTGAGGTGGTTGTAGTCGCCCGGCTGCTGAGTGGTAGGTCCCTGCTGCTTCTCCGACTTGTGAGAAGGAAGACTGGAAGCCAAGATCATGTGGTCAGCTGGGTTGATCGGGCTCCTGTTTTCGGTGTCCTTGATAACGGGAGCAGTGGTGTCGACACCGGAAGGAGTGCCGGAGGCGAGCGTGTTGTAGTTGCCAGGCTGACTGGTAGTCTTATGGTGCTTGCCGAGATGGCCATGAGTGGACATGGGCTGGGCACCGGAGGGAGTACCGGACATGAGCATGTTGTAGCCGGGTTCCTGGGCAGTGTTCCTGGCGAGCTTCTCGTTGGGCTTCACTCCGGTAGGATTAGCAGTGAAGTCAGCAGCATGCTGGGTGGGGGGAGAAAGGGCATGTCTGGGGTGCTCAAGATCAGCAGGAGCCTGGCGGGAATTCTCAGTGTGATACATGCCGCCCGAAGTTACGGGCCCAGTACCAGCAGCAGCGGGAGCTCCGACGCCACCGGTAACCTGGGAAACGTCGCGCTCAGGGTGGATGGTCTGCTTGTTGTCTTCGGCAGAAGCATACTTGGCAGCACCGATGCCACCAGCAACTCCGGCGAGAGCAGCACCAGCCATACCAGCGCGGGCAGTGTTACTGTTCAGCTTGTCGTGGGTGTTGTTGTCCACAGCGACGGGGATCTTGCTAGCCGGGGCGTGGTCACGCTGAGCCTGGGAAAGGCCGTGGGAAGGAGCGTTGGTAGAAACAGCGCCGACCGCAGGAACAGCGGGAATGGAGCTCTGAGCGTCACTAGGGTTGCGATGGTGGGAAACAGGAGCAGCCTCGGAAGCCCTGCGCTTCTGGTCCAAATCGGTAGACTGGTGGGCGGAAGGTCCAGAGAAAGACTTGCGCTGGTTCTGATCGGCGGCGGCGGCGTCCTTGTCGTCCTTCTTGTGGTGGTGGGAAAGACCGTAGCCAGCAGCAGCTCCAGTGCCGGCGGCCAAAGCAGCGTCCTTCTTCACCAACTTGTTGCGGCCCTTGTCCTTGGGGGCTCAGTGGCGGTGGTATCCTCTTCCTGGTCGTCCTTGTGGCGGTGGAAGATGCCGAGAAGACCACGGTGCTTCTTCTCTCCCGTGGAGTCGCTCTCAGCGGGTGATGGCTCCTTTGCGAGCCTGTGCTCAGCGGAAGGCTGTTGGACAGCTGCGGCATGGGCAGAGTGGTGAGACGCGGGCTTCTGCAGGTTCTCCGGGGTAGTGTCCCAAACATCGAGGGTGTCCTCTCCAAGGGGCTTCTCTTCCTCCTTGGTCTTCATCTTTTCCAGTGTGCTGCCAGAGATGGGAATAACACCGGCCTCGTCAAGCTCCTGGCTCTTCCTCCTGTGAGAGACGGCGGCAGCAGCACCACCATCAGGGTGGTTGCGAGCAGGATGGTCCAGATTCTCGGGGACAGTGTCCCACTCCTTTGAAAGGGTATCCTCGCCGAGGTTCTTTTGGGCGTCCCTGTCATCATGGTGCTTCTTGGCCAGAGCACCTGCACCAAGACCAGCAGCGCCGGCGGCAAAGGCCTCCTTGTGACGCAAAGGGTGCTGGTTGGCAGACGAAGCAGCATCGTCCTTGCGCATAGCGTCGTCAACAGTAGTAGGGTGCTTGCCAGTCAAGGGGAAAGCACGCTGCGTCTTCAGGTCAGTGTTGCGGGCGTTAGAGCCGGCAGATGTAGCACTGTCCTTCTGGTAGCTATCGTGGGCGTGAGCATCAAAGACATTACCGTTGTCGGTGCTGCCAGCGCGTTGCTTTCTGTTGGCAGCTGAATCGGCGAGGAGCTTAGCATCATCAGCAGCGGCAAGCTCGGGCAGGAAGCCAGGAGCAAGGTCCTTGCGATCTGTGCCGGTCACCGTTCCAGCGTCAGGAGCATTAGTGGGCGCCTGAGAGAAGTTGTCAGAAGCCAACGGCTTGTCCTCGGGGACGGCAGCCAATGGCGCATCAAAGACAGCATCGGTGCTGTTGATAGTGGCTGCGCCGCCATGACGAGGCTCGGGAATGTTCACCTTGAGGTTGTTGTTGTTGCTTTCCTCCAGATGACGCCTGCTCTCCTCGTCGTTGCTTCCATGGCCCGCGACAGTGTTGTAAACGCCACCACTTGGAACGTCAGTACCGAGGCCCGTAACGTGTGTCCTGTCGTCAGAGTCTTCTGCTGACCTTTGAGGTAGGTGATGGTGCTCATCATGATCATCATGAGCACTGCCATGACCGGTGACCGTGTTGTAGATGCCGCCTTGGGAAGCCTTGGGAAGGTCTCCCCAGTAAGGGGCGGCCCCGCTGGCGTCGTCAGAGCGCGAGGCGGCGTCGTCATTGCTGGATTTGTCGCCAATGTTGGAAAGCTGCTCGTCGGCGCCTTGGCTAGAGGTAGCGACGCTCTCACGGCGAGCCGCTGGGTGGGATTCAACATCGGGGCGGGAGTCGACCTCACGGAAACCCTGTTGGGGAGCTTGACGAGCGTCAACCTCGCGGAAGCCCTGCTCCTTGGCAACGGTTGGGACGGGCTTGGAAAAGGTGTATTCGTGCTGGTCTCCAAAGGCGGGCTCTCGGTCGGTGTTCTCCAAGGAGACGGAGGGCCTTGGGAGTTCGGAGACACGCGGGTGGTTGGAGTTGAACATGGTCGGATCGTTGCCGTGGTTGTAGAAGCCACCGCCGACGGCTTCGCCTGAAGAGCTGCCGTAGAAGCGTCTCTGGCTGACATCGGACTTGTTCTCAATGGGTTGGGACTCGATGTTACCGAGGCGGGCGTCGGAGAAGTTGTGAGAGCGGGGATCGGCGGACTTGTGAAGCTTGTTTCGTTGGTCGTGGCCTTGGATGTAGGTCTGGTTCTGCGGCGCCAGGCCCTGTTCGTTGGGGGTGGCCGGGTTGGAATCGGGGTAGGCGCCCGGAAGATGATCACGGTGTGTAGAAGCCATTGTGTCGGGTGTTTCGTGAATGTGTCGTAAGAGTCGTAGATAGTGGTGGTAATAATGTGTTGGATGTTAGTGTGATAATGGGAGATGTCGTATATGGGTATCAAGCAGACAAGACAAGACAGAACACAAGCCAACAGGTTCCTGCGTTGATTACCTAAGGGATAGGAGTAGTCTCGCGCAGGATATAGAAGGACGGGTATAGCAAAAAAGGGGCAAGTCGTTAATTGTCGTTAAGATATGTGGTATATGGTAGGGTGGTGATGGGATGACAGACAGGAAGTGATCAGTTAATAAGAGGAGGGAAACTAAGAAGATATCAGATAGCATCAAGGGTGCTGCCCCAGAGCAATAAGTAGGTACCGACAGCTACCTTACCTTACCGTGGGATGCCGACGACTGCAATGCGGTCCTGACGTGCAGCCGCGTCATACCTCACAGTATTCCATCCATCTCCATCCCCTCGTTTCAGGGAAAGCAAAAATGGGGACCTTCAATCGTAAGGCTATGACCTCAGTTTCCCAAGTTATCGTATGTAAAAAGGGTCATCGCTCAGCTGGGCTGATGAGGTCACTGGATCCAGCTGATTGTTGACATCATCGCCCAGGAAGGAGTCCGTGCAAACAAAAAGACGATTGAGACCTGGACCATTTCCCAATCGGGACCAGTTGGGAGGCATTGGGCCAACCAGGTGTGTCGGACGCATTGAGGAAAGCGGGAGATCAACCGGTTATCCCAGTTTCAATAACGTGTGAAAATGGGAATGGGGGCATTGGAAACTGTGAGCTTTGTTGTTCTCGAAAGAGTGATGAAGCTCTTGATTTGTTGAAAGGGAGAAAGATGTGGACCGGTTTTTGGAACAGGCTGTCAAAGAATTGAAGAATCCATTTCGTCAGTGGTGCCAGATCACGTGCTGTGATTGGTTCCAATGACTTACACGCGGCTTGCTCGGCTGAAGTTCCAAGACTGCGTGCACGGACCTTTCCAAGTCTCTCTCCTTCCACATGAGCTCAATGCAGTTAGTGAACTTTGGGGAAAATGCCCGTGTCCAAACGAAAAGGAAGAAGTCAAGATTGACGAGCTCTTGTGAGGAAGGACTGTATCAGACTGCGAATTGCTCCTGCTTGGGTTTATTCTAGCCTTTCGGGACTCACAACTCACAAAAGGGGGGCAACCTGTGTCCTGTACCGAACAACCTAGTGCCAAGAGCCGTCAAGGGCGGTGCCGGAAACCAAACAGAACACTTCCATAACATGACAACTCATACAACACCTGAAGCTTTTACTATGACCTCAAAAGAAGTTACTAAGCGGGTTCATTTTCAGCTTGATCTCATATTCACTCTTACAAGCCTGTTTTCCGGGTGCCAAATCGTAGTGTCCCGTGCAATGCCAAGTAGATTTGTTAGCACCTGTTAAGTCTCTCTCTCAGTAGGGCATCTGAGTTGGCTCGTGCAGTCCATCAAGCTGTCTTGGACTGTTTCCCAATAGCGCGTTTTCAAGAAATGCACCCGCAGTAGAGGTTAAATATGGTATTTGCTCAACAGCGCCCACTCTCCAGTTATTTAGACAGTGTCACATCTCGGCAACCAACAGACACTTGACCGTCTGCCAAGAACAACTCCAACTCCAACTTCAACCACCAACCCCCAAAGGGTGGATGACGTGGTACAAGCGCCCGACAACATGCTATCCCGTAACCGATCGGCTTTCAATCACGGCACTGGAAAAGATCGCAAAGATCATCTTTCATGGATATGTCAAACCCGGAGACTTAGATCGGATGCCATGTCAATCATATCACCAGAAAAAAAATGGAAAGAACATAAGCGGAACCAGCAGGTGATAGGTAAGTGTTGACAAACTTTTTATTATTGTTGTCTTCGTTCTTGTTCTTGATATTGTAAACATTAAGGAATAACTAATCCCAAGAGGGAAACCCTTCATTTTCCCTTTCCCTCTTTGCCTCCGGATTTTGTTTTGTTTCGTATCCCAGGTATAAAAACCCCCATTTGGAATATGCTTCATGCTGCTCATATGCAAAGCGTAAATGCTAATAAATCATCAAATCAAATAATATGCATCCCTTCCGCACTTTGCGTGTCGCGTTGTGGTTTCCAACCATGCATGCCAACATCAGGGTATCATCCATCATCCATCTCTTTCTCTTCTTCTCTTCTTCTCTTCCAACTCTTTTGGTGAACGCTTACTCGCTATCGCCGTGGTTCTCGGCGTGGCCAGCAGCAACAGCGGCCTTCTCCGTCATGCCCATCTCAGCGGCAAAAGTGGTGTGAGGCTTCCACTTGGCTGAGGTGCGGGGGGTAGACTCGGAAAGCATCTGGTCGACCTGCTCGAGGGTGAGACCCTTGGTCTCGGGAACGAGCAGGTAGGCGTAGACGAAGCAGCAGGTGCAGAGGCCACCCCAGATGTAGAACACCTTGGGGCCCAGGTTGCCCTTGTCCTCGTCGACCATGTAGGGGGTGATGACGGCGATGATGCAGTTCCCTGTGAGAAGACAAAAAAGGTATTAGTAAACTGTTTTTGGAGGCTGGTTGATGTTGATGAGACAAGAGCTAAAAACTTACAGAGCCAGTTGGAGGCGGTGGAAAGGGCAACACCCTTGGCACGAATGGGAAGAGGGAAAACCTCGCCAATGACGACCCAGGCACCAGGGCCCCAGGTGGTAGCAAAGAAGAAGATGTAGATGCAGATAAAAGCAAGCATGGCCTTGATGGCAGTGTCGTCGTCGGGCTTGCAGGTACCAACAATGGCGACGATGAACTCGCAGGTAAGCATACCGAGAGCGCCCCAGATGAGGAGGGTACGACGGCCGAGCTTCTCCATGGTGTAGAAGGAGATGGGAGTGGAGCAGACGTTGACGAGGGTGGTGACCAGGGACATGAGGAAGGGGTCGTCAATGGTGCCGAGCTGCTGGAAGAAGGTGGTGCCAAAGTAGAAGATGAAGTTGCATCCCGTCCACTGCTGCATCATCTGCATGGAAGTGCCGAGAATGGTACGGCGGATGTAGGAGCCGCCCTGCCAGATGGAGCCGCGGAAGCAGTTGGCCCACTGCTGGAAGTAGTTGCCGTGGGGGACGACCTGCATCTCGAACTCGTGGTTGGCAATGATCTCGGCAAGCTCATCCCTGACGTAGTCGGAATCAAGCGGCTGATCGCGCAGGCGGGAGAGCACGACGGCGGCCTTGTCCATCTGTCCCTTGCGAACAAAGTAGCGAGGGGACTCGGGGAGGAGGAAGATGCCGCCAGCAGAATTAGGGCCAGGCCATCTGGAGAGCAATGGGGATTCTGTAAGAGCCGCTGTCGGTGCGGTCCTGGGTGCCGTAGTCAACGCACGAGGCCAGGAGCAGACCCACGCAGATGCAGAACTGGTAGCCGGACACGAGAGCACCGCGGACCTTGCGGGGCGCGATCTCAGACATGTACAAGATGATGATAGCGGAGACGAAACCGACACCGAAACCAGCGACGAGACGGCCGGCAACGATGAGGCCCAAGCCCTGGGAGGCAGTCTGGAGAATGACACCGATGATGAAAATGAGGCAGCCGAAGATGATGGTAGGACGACGACCGACCCAGTCAGCGAGATCACCGCCCATGAGGGCGCCAAAGAAGGTACCGGCAGAGAGAATGGAGGTGATGAGCGACTTTTCCTTGGAAGGCAAGAAGGTGGCACCGGGTCCCTCGATGGTTTCGATAAAGTACTTCATGCCCATGACACCAGAAATGTAACCGGAATCGTAGCCGAAGAAGATACCGCCGAAAGCGGCAAAGACGCACATCATGTACGCCTTGAGGGTAACGGGAGCCTCGACGCGGGAGACATCGCCCTGTGGCCGGGCCACAGTGACGGCCTCCTTCTCAACGTCGGAGGCGGAGTGATCGTGCTCCATCTTGAGTGTTGTGTTGTACTCGGGATGTGTCGTCTTGATAGTGTTCTTGTCGAGTGCTTCTATGTCGAACCCGTCTTGGGAAAGGTGTGGTGGTGGAGGACGGGAAGAAGAGATGCAAGAGACTGCAATGAAACCCGGGGAATCTGCTTCCGTCGACGGGATCGAGGTTAGGATGATGGAGATGAGGATGCAGCTAAGGGAAGACAGAAAAGCTTCTTTCGAGACGACGAAGCCTTCTCTATATGTACTGCATGTTTCCTCCTGTCATGTCCACTTCTTTCCTCATTCCTTCCCCCCCAGATCTACCAACAATCTGTTGATGGATCCGGGGTCACCGACAATTTCCTGGTTCGTCCTCGGCATCGCGAACGACTTCGAACCGTCACGAGACCAAGAAACTGGACCAGATGCTTACGGGCCATCCCCGCTCAAGTCCGGCCCTGGCGCCGCTTTGCTGTGGAAGCATGGATGGGGAGGCAAGGCCGGCACTTGCGCAGGAAGCTCCAGAGCTGGCAAGCACTCCGAGACGAACCTCTCATCCAACCCCGAGTGGGATCATCCTGGGCGGACCCCGGAAGCGGACATGGAGAGACAAAGGCCGGGGAAATTGGAATTCATGGGGATACAGTGGGATGGACAGCCAGCGGCCTTGGAGGAGGAGAGTGTCTGAGTGGTCGAGGGCATCTGAATGTGGCTTGTGAGAGTGGAGTAAGCCACCGGAGCCTCATGGCAATGGATCCCCCAGGCCCATCCCAGGCCCGTCCCCACGGAGTCTGGCATGATCTGGCTGGGGAAGACCCAGTCGGGTGGGAAAGCATGGGGTTGTGATGGAGCATGTGGAAACCGGCTGAAAAGTAAACAAGAGCGGATCCGGGTTAGGGTTCTGAGTGGGATAGCTCAGGGGGCGATGGGCCCGCGAAGGCTTCAAGGCCCAGAAGAGACCAGACCCCCGAAGAGAATCCACCGGAATGCGTCAGGTAACGTAACAATAACCAATTGGGTAAAATCTAAGCTAATTAGCCTAAATTGAGCAGGGAGAGAGGATGGGCTTTTGAAAACTCGGTCCTATTGTGGCGCCTTGTGGCTCCGGTGTGGATGAAGTGTGGATGAATCGGTGGAGTGGCTGATGGGTTCTCCGGACTACAAAACACCAACCAACCAGCTCGCAGCATGCGCGAGACGGTCAAGCATCTTGACTCGCCCCCTCCAGGTTAATCCAGAACACTCCAGGTTCCCGTTCGACGAAAAGCTCAGAAAAACCGGTGACCACCAGGCACCACGGCGACGATCTGGAAGCCGCCGAAAGAAGCGGACAAGCGGTGCACCGCCGAACCGGCAATTGCTCCACAGCAGAGTTCGCAACCGCATTCCCAACGAGTCAACGACATCCGATTCCCATCCCATATGATGATAGCCGCGGGTGTATCAAGCAAAATCCTTTTCCGAGGGTCTCCGAGACATCCGTTGTAGGGGGAATCCGGGTGAAAATTCTGCGAGAGAAAAAAACATCAACAGCATCATTTGTCGGTGAAACAAACAATAGATGCATAGGGATGGACAGAGTTGAACCGAAACACCAGACGAACCACCCGAATCTAATCTCGCACCGAGATCCGATATTGTACGGGTCGGGGACCTCAGTTTGTCAGCTCCAGCTCCAGCTCGACCAGCGCACGCGAAACGATCAGCAGGACATGGAGAAGGGCCGATAGCACCAAACGGTGTCTCGCGTGTCTGTGTATCATTCTCTCCCCCGTATTTCCCCCACGAACCGAAAATCCCCAAATAATCATCCTCGGATGCCTCCTGGCTTCTCTTCGTCACCCAGAAACCCCAAAATCCTTGGTCGATCCCCAGTCTCCAGTTGCATTTCGTGCGTGCCTGCCCCTGACGATTTCTCCCCAGGTTCTAGCTTTTCCTTTCTGCCCAACGGTCGTTGGTCGTTCTTTGGTCCTGTGCCTGGCGTGCCTGGCGTGCGTGCCACCATCCGGCCCATTCCATGCATGCCAACAAGCAGACAATCGCAGCGACCAGGCAAGGAGTCCACGCCGTGTCCTGTTGTGATGCGTGGGGAGGGAGAAGAAGGAGGAGAACCTCCAGGTCCGCTCTCATTGTTACCTCCCGGATTCTTACCCCGTCCACTCTGCCCCAGACTTTCTGGGTACACGTAGTTGAGACACTTCCCACTCCATTCCATTCCAGATTTCGTCACGGTATTTTTCAGATCGCAACAACTCCATCGGCAGCCAGATCGAGCGTCAACGGTTCTACCCCGAGGGGAAAGAATGGTTGGACCTGTGGACTTTGTGGACACTCGTTCCCCCATGATCCCATCTCCATCGCATCTCCAGGTTTCTTTTTGGCTTTGTTGCTCCAGATTGCTCCAGGCCACACAATACAACAACCAGAACACAACCGGGGGTTGCATGAAGCTATTTTCTTTGGGATTGTTTTTGGATCGATCGATCTGGTTCAGTTCCAACCCACATGACATCATATGAACTGTGAACCGTCTGGGGAAAACAAAAGAAGAAAAGATCCAGGTTGAACTGATTCCTCCACATGCTGGAGCAGGGAGACACCCAAACTTTGGGGTTGGCGTTGGCCCGCACACAGACAGGAGAGAGACCAATGCAAACCGCAAGCTCACAACTTCACATGGGCCACATGGCAACGAAAGCCTGTCTGAGCTGGGCTGTCGGGTTTCATGTGAGGGTGAACCCTGGCATCACGACTCGCTCAAAACCCAAAGGCGCGGACATGGAGACGAACGAAACAGTTGAGAAATGAATGTCATGCGACAAAGCGATGGATGTTCCTTGGATTTTGCGTGGTTTCGCAATTTCTTCGTCGTCATTGCCCTTATGCCGCCGTGGCTGGTTGGCGTCGGCTTTGCTGTTCTCCCCCTTTTTTTTTTCGTTTAAACACAGTAGGTTGCCATGGATTGGAATTAATAGTCGCAAAGTCTTGAACTATTTTGAGAGCGTCTGGAAGTCTGGAACAACATGATGGTTGATGGTCAACAACAAAAGGTCAAAAGGTAAGACAGAGCCTCAAAGAGGTGGCATGATCCCGACCCACCTGGTCTTTGCGCGGCAATACGGCAGCTGAAATGGTTCAGGGGCACCGGGGCGCTCTTGCTCGCTCCGAGAAAACAAACACGAGAAAAGCGGCG